CTCCAATAGCTCTTCTGCCAACTCCTCGTTGTCTTGAATGACACTGCGAATGAGGTCAAGAGCGTCTGTCGCGAGTGCTTCATCACCCCCCTCGTCAATCTCCATCCCGACATCTTCGAGCCTTAGCGCCAGAGGAATAGATCCAGGGCCCGTACGGCCGAAGGCAACGTCCTGGTATAGGTCCACGGTGCCTGTATACATCCTCCGCCGAGTCACGTACTCAGTAAGCACATCCAAAACCACCTTCCATCCGCTGTGCTCGTGTTGCCAACATACTGCAATATGATCCCCGCCATCCCCACTCAACAGCCGGCCCTTCGAGCGCGCATGGATCACCGAGCCTCCAGGAAGGCGAATAGCACGTAAGTTCGTATATGCGAAGGACGGACCGGCAGCTTGTGCTTTCTCGTAAACAGCATTGGGACCGGTGCAAGATGCCAGGGGAATGACCAGCGAGAAAGTAGGCAATTTATCCATGTAGTAAAATACATGTCGACTACAAATCTCGCGGTCACCATCGTCACTTTCGTCGGCAGGGGGTTGGCTGGACGATGCCGCAGTGGATAACGGATCAGTATCGATGAATCCAGACGCAGTCATGGCTCGAAGAAGGCGGATAAGTGGTCGGAAGTGAATCGGGAAGCGTGTTCGTGCAACATCAAATATGGCGCGACGTGCAAGGCCCTGCCGCCAATCCGATTGCCAGAATTGTCGGCATATCCCTGCTATAGATTGACGCTCACTGCGCCCAAACAGCGCAATCCATACTTCAACCAAAGAATCGAAGTCAGGAATGAGTTCAATAGGGACCAGTTCGACCATTGCGATGACAAAGCCTAAGGAAAAATAATCTTCAGCATGCTGTTTCATGCAGAAAAATGTTGTCACCTTTGAGTACAGAGCGGAATGCGATAGCATTTGGGTCGGTCACAGTCGACCCTGTCTTCCAAGCAATGGAGGTAACAAATAACGGGGAGGTTGTAAGGAGAGTCAACAAGAGTTTGAAAAGGCCGGCTTCTGGACTGAAAGCCGCCCGTGCCATAAGTACATGCGATGGCTCCCTTTCCTTGGAGCGATTGTGATGCGGATGCAGGGAGTCTAAAAACCTGCGATACGAGTCTGGAATTTCTTTCAATTGGTCAGCTTTTGAGGTCAACCGCGACAGAACGAAGGCCCATGCTAGGTGTGTGCATGCGTGCTGGCTAGACAAGTTGGATGTCACGATCTCGTGGATACGTCTGAGCGACTCTGGCGAAGAGGGATAGAACATTCCGTCGGAAGGAGTTGCCGAAATTTCTATTCCTCCATCCTCTGCTACTCTCTCCAGCTCGAGGACCTCTACAGTGACGAGTATCCATAACGCTGCGCAATCATGCTGCAGCTGATTGCCTTCGTCATCTAACAAGAGGGTCGAGTTTTTCTGCGAGGAGCCAAGGTTCGTGTTGTAAGCAGCTTCAAATATCCGAACAACCAAAGGTCCATCGCAAGGAACATACCCCCAGACTGTCCAAAAGAGCACCTCTAGCATCACGAGTTGCTCCTTCATGTTCTGTTTAGCCCAACGAGTGGCAATACGCGCATCGGATTGCAGGACTTCTGGGATGTCCATTTCTGTTTTGTGAAGGTATTCCGTTATGAGGTCGAGTGCGAATTGATGACCGTCTTGTAAGATTTTGGGAAGGCACTTCGTAGCAACGGCATGTATTGAGTCGCCAGTGTTTTCGTGGGCACGAAACAGTGGAATGAGCGCGCGCAATACGAAGAGGCGTTCAGAGTAGTAGAATGGCATGATTGCTGCGATGAGCTCGTCCACAACACCTTTATCGGTCGAACCTCCATTGCTTGAGAGACCTTCATTATATAGGAACGATCGAAGGAGAACAAAAGCCTGAATTTCATCAATCCCGAACCGAGCACTAATCTCGAGTGTGAACTCCCTCTCAACTTCGTCGACTTGCAACATAACACCATCCGCAAGCGTGACTGAGCCAGCTTCGACTGCTTTTCGTGACGCCGACGTGGGCTTTCCATAAGGTTGGGCAACATTTCGAAGCTGCGAGGAACGCGCAGATACGATGTCGCACAGTTGGTCTGGGGATGAGCCCTCGAGTCTACCTGAGAGGAAGGAATGTAGTTGTTGGTTCGTTCTGCGCAAAACACTAGTCAGAGAAAAAAGTAGCGTGGTGAATAAAAAGGACAGAGACATACACATCTATAAGAGTCGACCGCGATGGTTCTCCGGGCATTGCGAAACCTTGCGAGGCAGCGTAACTTGAAGGCCGGGACTTGTCTGCCCTTCAAGTTGAAACAAGGACTTATTTGTTTTTGTTTGATCTCGAAGCTTTTACCACATAATTTAAATTACAAACAACTCGTTGTACCCTCGTCGCTCGATTCAGCTACATACCAGAAGCATATGTTATGTACAGCTGTCAGTATACTGTATACCTCAGGCTCGTCAGAGACAATATCACAATACATCCTGGTGCGTTACATACTAAATGCCAATTGGCAACTGTATTGATTGTGTCAGACATCTCACTGTGACACAAACTATCACGAGTGCGGTTGGACTGAGGACGTGAGACTAGTTCGTGTGCTATACAGGACCGAAAAGCGATCGAAAGTGTCCATACTGGTATAGAAGACTGAAAACATCCGACGGTATCAGATGGATGCACGTTAAGCCAACTGCCACCACGTTTGCTACCCGTCGATCGCGCCATCCTGGCGGAGTATGTCAATACGCTCCAAGCGTCATCGTGATGATCTCAGTCAGTGTGTATTTTCGAATGTACAGCGCTCACTGGGTATAAGCATTCAACAGATATCAATCACGAATGTGGCAGTGCAATACATTACCATCACATTAAGGGTGCAAGATGCATTTATTATAGTGCACTTTGTTCCGGATTCCCTCTATGCTAACCATATCTAGGCCATGTTCATCATTTTGATATCCCAGTGATTCAAGTGTACAAGGCGACGGATAAGGTGAGATATATTTGATCTACTTCGACCCACGGTTTTTCATTTGACCTCTCTGGTGCCACACCGCAGCATGGTCCTTGCCCCCTAAGAGTATTCGGAGGGTTGTTACGCCCTGTGCTCGGCCAGTGAGGCCGAAGAGAATGTACTAGCGACGAGTTGCATAATCACTGGTTTTCGAATCAAACTCTACTTTGATTATCGAGGGCTTGCTCTTTTTGCTTGATTTCGCACCGCATCAATACTCACTTCACCTGATTAAGGCTCTTGAGACGGAATAAAATATTGATCTTTAGCATGCGGATCGTGGCAATGGAGGCGGTGAATGGTGATATATCTAGCGTGAACACTATCGTCATGCACCACTAACATTCCCCACTCGTTCACACCCATCCCTCGAACATGACCGTAGTGTCAAATGATCCCAGTTTGTGGCCGACAATCAGTTCGAATATTTCTATAAGCTATTGGACAGGTTCGTCGCATCAAGATGTCGCGATGTAACATTGACTTGCGGTTTCGCAGTTGCCGCCGGCGTCATGGTATTATACGACTGGGGTAAGCGGGACAGCATTCGAAAACTGTTGATATTCTCATGGTATTTCCAGTACTAACAGTTGGACAAGAGGTAGGTTGGTGCTATCAGAGCAGCCCACTTGCTAAGAATAGTGTCATAGATTGAACTGATCTGGGTGAGTGACAAAAGTCCCGTATCAGAAGAAAAACAGGAGAATACAATGAATTCGCGACAGAGACAACGTTGGTCTCTCATGACTGTGCTGTATCTGGCTGTTCGTACTTCGTGCTCATGTCATGGTTGGCAATTGTGCTGACTCCACAATTTCTAGATACGCTATATTGGGCCACCGTATTCTGTGTATGTATGTTTCAGAGTTCGACAGATTTGTGCTGTGCTAATAGCCCATCTTTCATCATCAGTATCAGTTTTCTGCGTATGTCTCATGTGCGCTGTATTTCATCCTTCTGACTAGCGGTACAGAATCAGCGCCGTATGTCTCGCTGACAGATGCAGTGAGTATTGCGTAACCATCTCGCTCCTATCTAATGAATGCACTCATTTGTAGGAGTGAGCGAGATTTTGACCATTGAACTTGGCTCAAATAATCACTCACTAGGTGTAAGTTGAAGTGTTTGATACTAGTACGGGGGTGATCGCTAATTGGATGTTTCAGGCAATATTATGTTCTCCTCAAAGAATGGGACTTACGTGGTCGTAATCACCATGTTGTGTGGTGAGTTTCCTAGCTGCAATACTTTGGTGCTATCGACTCGACTGAAACATCATGCAAGTCATCATGATTGCTCGGTTGTATGCTATGTATCAGAGCTCTAGAACGATGCTTATTGTCCTTGTTATCATCTTCCTGGCTGTTAACATCGCCGGCGCAGTAATTACGGCAATAGGACTCAAGGATACTGTAGCGGGTAAAATTTACTTGTTTACTTGGAGAACGCGACTGATTGGACGAACACCAGAGGAACTGATACTCTCTGGCACATATATTTGCAACAATCAATATACGGGGGATGTTCAGCTTCTGTTTTCAATGGTTTGGACGCTCGAACTTATTTGGGAGATTCTCGCACTGGGTCTTTCAATCTGGATTGCTGTGAAACACTTCCGTACCAATCGGCGACAACTCGGTCCATCGGCAGGGTCGACCATCGAGGAGTGTTTCATCGTGCTACTAAAATCTCACGTGCTTTATTTTGCAAGGTGAGCTTGTGATGTGATTGTGATTATCTTTTCTCAAGTTCCGCACGTAGCTTTGTCGGTGCCTCTTGCCTCCAACTTGGTCTTCTCTCTTCAGAACTCTCGGTATAGCAACCTGTCGCTGACATCTGCTTGTAACCGCTGATCATTCCTGTAGAATCTAGATTCTATCGGAGTTCGGATATTCTATGGTGCTGGTCCGATTTTGTTCCGCGTGCAGATGTTTGTGCTGGGACCACGTCTCATCCTTAACATCCGAGAATATCACGCAAAACTCGTGGGAGACTCCTACACGGACACTAGCATGCATTCGATTGTTTTCCAGGAACGTGTACATGTACCAACTAGCAGTATTGTGTAGGGAAATATCTGCCGAGCGTTCTGCAAGGAGAAAATTGCCCTCTAGGAGGATCTCTCAGAATTTATTCAAAGTTATGGCGTTTCGAAGTACATTTGAAAGGTCTAGGCAAGCCTATTTCTTCTTGTATCAAGAACGAAAGAAGTAGCTAGTCTCAGCTGGTGAAGAAGCAACAGCGATGCCTACCGGTATAGAAGACTGAAAACATCCAAAGGTATTAGATGATTGCACATTAAGCTAACTGCTACCCGTTGCGCCATCCTGACGGGGTATGTCAACACGCTCCAAGCGCCATCGTGGTGGCATCCTCAATCTACCATGAGACAAGCATGAATAATAACAAAGGAACGCCTTGAGCCAATGCACATCCGGGAGCGAATCGGTGTCAGACGATTCAACGTCCTGCGGTACTCCAGGTTGTTGGTTCAAAGGATGTCGTGTATCATCGACTTTCCTGTACTCGGGTAATTTGGCAGCAGCAAGACGCTGTAAGGCACTAGTGAGAAAAAGGAAAGTAGTTGTGAGAAGATCTACGTTACAGTAACTTTCCGCCCGGGTGCGACTTCAACGACCGGCGGCCCATGGCTATGTCTTGGTACGAGGAAAGGAAGGTGCTGACGTAGAAAATGTGTGACTCCATTTGAGGAGTAAGGCGGAGAACTTATTTCGAACTGAAAATACAGAGTAAGTCATACATTACGAGTTTAATAAAATCGATGACCGACATCATCAAACTGAGTTGCAACCTGCCGCGAGAGAGATGGATTGGGTGGTAAGGGTAGCGTAGCAGGGAACTGCGGTGTCATTTTTGAGTTAGCTGTGAAAGAACTAACATAAACGACCTACATCTAGGGGATCACGAGGTTGATTATTCCGACGAGAGGAAAAGTGAAGGAGTTTGCTAAGGCGAAGGTAAATCGGTTGTTGCTGATCTGTAGTAGACAGAGGTCTTTGCCGCCTGGGGGTAAAGGATATAGCAGGCAATGTCCCTGGGTTACGACGCGCTGCAGCAGAACGACGGGTTGCATCTGACTGCAATGATTCATGAAAGTTAATAGATCGCTCAAAATGTATGCGACACATACCTGAAGTACGCGCTCAAAAGTTTTATTCGACTTTAAGAAAAGGTCAATCTACAGAAGATAGACTCGCACAAAGACGCACTTTTTGGAAGGTAGACTGCGCTTCCAGTGCAGTAAGCACAGCGGGTGGAGTGTTGCATATATAGATGTCGCGACCAGCGGTCGTATATACCAGGTGGCGTGAGTCAGGTGAGGGCATGAGTAACTCTACATTCTGAACGTGAAAAGAGGCGAGGAGCTGGCGGGACTCGAAAGCCCACAATTTGATGCTATGATCTTGGGAAGCGCTGGCGAGGAGAGCACCGCCAGATGAAAGTCGTAGATCGCTGATACATTTGGTGTGGCCTTCGAAGGGAGTTTCAACAACCTCCAACGTCAACGCATCAAACTCATTGATCGTTGTAGCCTCTTCATTATCCACGAAGTTGCATGCTGCTATGATGGTTTTCTTCTTGTTGGTCCAGCGCACTGGCGCAAATGTCATGTTCGAATTACCACCAGATTTCCCTGCGCTAATGTCCAAAGTTTCTGTAGGGATATCCCAGACTTCTAGGCAAGTCCCCACCTCTGACTTCACTGCGAGTTTCTCTGAGTCTGGTGAAAATAGAACTGCGCCCGGCCAATCAAGGATTGCGAATGGACCCGCCACAAGTTTACCAGTGTCCAAGCTCCATATTCGCGCTGTAGCATCCCATGATCCGCTCGCTAACAGGGTGCTGTCTGCGGAGATATCAATACATGCAACTCTCTGTGAGTGGCCTCGAAAAGCTTTCGTGATCCCCGTCTCGACCTCGCAGGATTTGAGCTCCCCGGTATCCATCTCTCCACCACCAACGGCAACATATCGACCATCGTGTGATACCGTCACCGCATACACGCCCTCTTCACAAACATCTCGCGCCTCTGCAATCTCTTTACGATTCTGCAAATCCCATCTTCGAACGGTTTTGTCCCCAGATCCGCTGATGATCTGCTTACCGTCTGGGAAGTAGGACATAGATGAAACACCCCGTTCATGGCCCTTCAATGTCATTATGGGTGTCAGACTTGTACTGGTTACTAAGGCTGGAGGCTGCGTCGATGTAGATGCCATGGCCCGCGTTTTTGCAAGTAAAATCGGCAAGTAGCCAGCTTCTTTGGCACAGTTTATTTAAATGCGTCTGAAGGAGTGGGGGTGAGCTGTTGTGTGCTACAGGCCTGTAGAGTGGTCACATTTTTGAGATGCCCAACTCAGTTGAGAGCACTTTGCCTCCTAGACTAGGAGCTCCAATCGTCAATTGCTGGGAGTTCAGATGAGGGTTTAATATTACCAAGAGGTGAGGATGAGGAAATGCGAGGCATGAGTCAATGCACGTTGCTTGGCAGGTCGTCCCTGGTGCAGGCCCTGCCGCATGATGTCCCTTGAGTGCGCACTGCTGCATCTTGTTCTTCGGCTCAGCCATTCATTTCCTTTCCGTTTCTCACGGGCTATCAGTCCTATGAAATTCAATTATTGATATCTCACAGTCTTTGATCATGTTGCACGATACTCAGCCTCCCTCACGAGCATTGATGATCGTAACTTCACGATGTATGTGAGGAAGGTTTTGTAGAGATCAGATCGACTACTAGCTAGTATTTTCCCTCCTTCACGCACACATCTTGCTGTTCGGATCCAGATCCTGTTCCTCGTCTTGCCAGGGTTTCGCCGACTTCTATCTGATGCCATTTTATCCTCAAATACACCTGCGACAGCTTCACGAAATTCTGGTATAAGAATTATCATATACCTGACTTCACCAATCTAATCGTAGTGACCATCGACGATCCCTGGCCTAGCATCATCCCGGAGGCAGCTTACGCACCTTCCGGTATCACCGGAGTGTATCTATCCAATTGTGGCAACAGCGGTGATATTTCTGCGAGAACGTCAACAGTCAGTATATTGCCATCGAGTCCTTGATCATAGTACTAACCTCCCTTGCGCGTATCGTGAAAGACGACAACTTCCACGATGCGTGCAGGGGAGGTTTCGTAGATCCAGATCAGATCGGCTATTAGTGTTTTCCCCTCCTCTGGTAATCTTCTATCTAGTGCCAATTTATCCTCAAATACGCAACCGCGAAAGCTCTACGACCTTCTGGTGTAAGAATGATCCTACACTCGACTTCACTGCGATATCAATGATCATCGATGACGATCAGCGGCCTATTATGCACCTTCGGTATCATCGGAGTGAAGCCTATCGCTTCAATATCGATGCCATGAGCACCATTACGCACTCCTTATCAGCCCGTACCATATCTCGAAAAAGACTACAGTCGCATTCGTCGAATTGTAGCTTAACACATCCAGCGGAAGCTGATTGTATATGGGATCAATCTCCGACATTTGAATATCGATAGCTCCGGCACACAAGTTTTCTAATTTAGTTTTATTTAACCTTCACTGATCAGTTTATGTTAGTGACATCACTGGGATAAATGTTTGTTCCCTTGTTATCAGAGCTCCGAGAAAAAGGACAGTGCAATCATGTACAACAAGACACGCTGGAACTTTCCTTGCGGCCCCGAATCACTGGACGACTTCCTGTAGGTAAAACAACGCGGGCTATTATATACCAGACTTTGAAAAACATATTATGCGAAAAACCAAACCGTAGGTCATCAGAATACCATGGATGTCATATCAGTACCAAGCGCTGCGAAATAAGATAGTGATAGAAGTAATCAATGGAGTACGAAACAACAGTATCACGCTGCGAGAGGTGCGATAGAGGTGCAGCTGTCCGTACGATCCCAGGGTGCGGTTGCCGCATCTCAGTTCAGTCGCGACTGTATGCATTGCCAGCACGATTGTAGTGTAATGTAATTCAGTCATGAGTATAAAATATATTCAATAAAGTGTAATATCAGAGAGAAAGGACCAGAATCAACGAATGCTCACCTTCTACTCCTCGAAAGTGTCTCTTTATACGCCAGGAGTCCAACGAGACGGGTTGGAGTAAACATTTTTGAGTAGACTTTTGAATTGGACGCAAGTTGCCAGTTGCCCGCCATACGTTGATGTTGAAACATCCTATCCCTTGGCGAGCGCTAGCGCCGGGCTCATCGGACATCTGGCTCATCACAAAAGTTTATTTTACATCGGTACGGAGGAGAGGGGGGATGAGTAGGAGAGGGAAGAAGATGAAGAAGGGTAGTGGTGGGAGAACGTTAAACAATGCACTTTAAAATTCTGGAGACGCGCCGGGTCGCGCCTGCTTATTACGCCGCACTAACTTTGAAACAGGTTATATGCAGTATCGGAAAATGCCGCATTTACAATTACAGACGAAGCGTCGACAGCGACCGTTAAAAGGTACTGGAGGATCTAACGCAGCTCGGCTATTCGGCTAAGACATGAGGATTAAGGGAAACTCCTCTGCAAAACCTCACCGGGAACTTGAAGCCACCCATGCCACGGACTCACGGAGCATGACCTGGCATTCGGTTTATCCCCGAGCATGCGAACGATGAAAGTGTTTGGCTGCACATACACCAATTGTGTATAAAAGCCGTTCTACTCGTTTCAACTCGAAAAAAACCATCAATACTCCACCATGAACCTGAAATTCACTTTACTCACCACTATTATCATTTCTGCCCCAGCAATGGCTGGAATAGCTGCCAGTCCACCGGATCCGATGATAGGCCAACCCTGCCTCGCCATCAGTGAGCACTCTTTCGGCCTACGTACAGACCTTAAACTGCGTACTTACGGTTACCCCCAGATGCAGGACGATGCGTGAAGGGCACCGTAGATTATAACAACGGCAATGATTACGCGTTTACCTGCGGATCTAAAGGCACGATCACAGCGACTAGAGGATGTAATTGCCAGGGCTGTTGTGTCCCGCGTCCTGATAATGACATAAGCAAGGTAAAGCCAGACTCAGTCGGATGAATAACAACTGATTTTCGTAATAGTTCTGTCATAACAAAGCCGCACACATCAAGGATTTTGATATTTAGGATAGATCAAAATGTCGTAGTTTTTGCTCTTAACTTGAAGTTCAAGCCACCCAAGGCATTTAAGTGCGGTTTAAATTTTGTCCTTTTAATGTTGGAGATAAGAAACGCAAAAATACAACATGACCGCACTCGTAAATAACGAAAGAGGTGCGATCATGATATGCGCGAAGGATATGAATGAAACCACCTAAAAACAGAAACACAACTGATCGCTTCCATGCTCTTCAGCGTTCAATTGTACTACAGTAGTTGGTTCTCGTGAATTTGGACGTGGTGAAGGAGGGTCAAGATATTCATCGGGTACTATATTATTGTCTTTTTTTGGAGCACCCGCTGCGGCGTTGCGCTGTAATCAATCCATGAGACTTGCAGTTCAAGGAAAAAGCCAACTGAGCACACCTCTTTAGCCTGAGCGTGAGAAACATCAATGACAGGTAGCGGAGCACGGCCGGCACGACTGTGATTTGGATATGTTGTGAAGATAGTGGGAGCGCCGAAAGAGGACTGGGTGGTGGGCAATACTGGTGTAGCTCGAGACTAAAAAGGTGTGAGTTGAAAAAAAAAAGATTAGATACCTGGAGACTCACGCAATTCGTCTATTCGGCTAAGACATAAGGATTAAGGGAAATTCCTCTGCAAAACCTTACCGGGAACTTGAAGCCACCCATGCCACGGACTCACGGAGCATGAGCTGGCATTCAGTTTGTCCCTGAGCATGCGACGATGAAAGTGTTTGGCTGCACATACACCAATTGTGTATAAAAGGCATTCTAGTGACTACTCGTTTCAACTCGAAAAACACCATCAATTCTCCACTATGAAATTCACTTTACTCACCGCTATTATCATTTCTGCCCCAGCAATGGCTGGAATAGCTTCATCGAATCCGTTATTGGGCCGACACTGCAACCCCCCCAGTGAGCACTCTTTCGGCCTACTTACAGACCTTAGAATGCGTACTTACGATTACCCCCAGAATCATTACAATGCGCGATGGGCCTCGACTCGGATGAATTTAACAACGGCAACGATTGCGCGTTTGCCTGCGGACCTTCAAGCACGATCACAGCGTCAATACTATGTAACTGCAAGGACTGTTGTGTCGTGATTCCTGGTACTAAGGACATGACAGAGGTAAAGCCAGACTCAGTCGGATGAATGACAACTGATATTCGTAAATCGTAATAGTTTTGTCCTAAGTAAAGCCGGATCCGGAGCACCGTGCTCATTTAGTCAGCATTTTCAGCCACAACTATTGCCCAACAAGGCATCTATGCGCTGCAATGCTACGTGTCTAGATGATTGAGTGTTATCGTGGTTGAAATAGTCAGAACGGTGTGGTTACTATTTCGTTAACACTATTGAGAATAATGATATAGATGTTGGAATGATGTGAGATTCTAGATTGATATGCGAGAACGAGGCAAAGGTCATTGAATGTTTGGGCGAAAGCCCACAGGGCTTTTCCGGACTGAAACAGGGTCCGTGCCTAGGTATCAATGGTGAGCTGTGTTCCCGAAAATTAGGAGGACTACGACACATGCAGCGAAGCTTGATGCCCCGGGAGAAAAGGAGTTGTACTCGCTTATACAGTGTGACTTCAGCGTACTGGTGGCATGGTATAACACGTGAACGGTTCTAACGCGGGTGAGGATTGGATATAGGGTGCTAAGATCTTCACGTGGTCTCGAAGGTATAAGGTGAACACTTCGCTTGACCACCTTCCCATCGTTTTGACGACGTCGAACAGTACTCCCCGCAGGAGATACTCTAAGGTTCCTCTGATTCGTAAACCATGACCTTTGAGGTGGGAGAGTCCTGCTGCGGTTGCCGCTATCATCATTTTTTTTTGCGAACTCTGTTTTTGAGAGAGGTCGCAAACCTTTTTCGTGCTTCCATGCAAATAGATGCGCTCCTGGCTCGGCCGCGTTGATTCTAATGTGATTCTCCATAGCTGCTTTGGGGTCTGATGGGCCGGTTTGAGCTGCCCAGTATGCTTCTTCGCCTACTACTGGGGATGATTTTGTGCTAGGAAGTGAAAATTTGGTTATTGGGAGGCCATTGTGGTCTGTTGTTTCTGCCATTCCTGCCCTGGATATGTGTTTCTTCGGGTCGAAACCTTTGACCGTTCTAACGGTGAATTCTCCCACTCTGGCTATACAGTAGAAAGTTGTAGTCATACAAGCAAAGACCGCCGCGTCGAGCGGCTTGTTTAAATCTAGGTGTTCGTGGATAGAAGCCAGGAAATTTGGGGTAATGGGTTGTCTTTTGGGCCATTTAGAGGATGATGGCGTGAGTGCGGTAGCTCCATCCAGCATTGCTTTGAGTTCGCCCACTCTGACCAGCCAAGGTCTGCTGTGGAGCAAGTGCCAGGCTTTGATGCCGGCTGCATAATTGGCTAGCGCTGATCCGGAGTACGCGCCTGCACAACTGGATAAGAATTCGAGCAGAAGACTGGAGCTGACTGGGCAGTGTTTGCTTTCTTCTATGCCGTTGACGTCGCAGTAAACGTTGTCTTAATAACCGAGGGTCTTATATAAAGTCGTGTAAATGTAATGACACCACAATTACACTTTGGATAAGACTGCTTGCCAGTCCTCGATTAACACAGTCTACGACTTTTCCTATTTCGTGGTAGATAACGTGTGAGTTCTTGGGAGGCTCGCTAAACTAATCTTTTTATAAAGATCAACCTAGCCGGAGCTTTACTTTTCTTTATTGAAACTCAAATCTCTTGTCTAGGAATAAGCTTCTAGACATGTAATTCGGTTTCTGGAATGTATTTGCCTAGGAAATCTCCTTCTAGGCTCTGGACTTGGATACTGGAACTAGTGAGACGTGGTCTCAAATATACGAAATATGACCAAGATCGCTTGGTCTATGGACACCTGACTGTGAGACAATGGTCTCAAATATACGATATATGTTCAAGATCGCTTGGTCTATGGGACTACTAGTGAGATGTGGTCTCAACAATATGATAGATGACTAAGATTGCTTAGTCAAAGGGCACAGAGCAATGAGACAAAGGGGTCTCAAAGACAATATATATGACCAAGAACGCTTGGTCTATGGCACTAATAAGTTTCTAAGGTAAGAAACTTATAATCTCAAGGGAATTCTTTTCCCTGCACTTGTCTCACTTCAAAGGGACTAACTTTGCAAGTGAAATATCTGAGAGGCAGATTGCTACAAATGGGAGATCATATTTTTTTTGGGGGAGAATGGGCTCTCCTTATATACATTTTGTGTGGGAAAGTAACCTAGGTTCACAAACAATAAAAAATAAGGAGGACCAATCAAAATATTGGGTCAAACCCAATAAAAGAATAAAATACAAGTGAAAGATGGAGCTATGACATCATTGTGGAGCAGAACATTCTGGAATGTGGAGTAATGACATCATAATGACATCAAGAGTGACATCATTGTGGAGCAGAATATTCTAGAAGGAAATGACATCATGAATGATGTCATTGTAGAGTAGAATAATCTAGAGCTTGATGACATAATATCTTTCAACAGAATACCTGCAGGAGTATCTGTGGAGTCTTATGACATCATAATGACATCATACCTTATGGGTACAATTTTATGAAGTGTCAGGTGAGTCAAAGCATCCTAATGAAAAAGTAAAGTAAAGAAACACTAGAGAAAAGTAGGTAGCAAAAATAAGACAGTTGGCAGGAATTGAAACACGGTCTTTTTGGATAGGTTTTTTTATTGGCTTTGTACTTTTCTCTATGGTTTTCTCTAGCCAAAGTGAATAAGCCAAAGGCAAGGCTATACCTTAACCTTCATTTCCCTTCTCACATCAACTAGGTCTAAATGTGATTCCCATCTCACATTAGACTTTTTCCGTCAAAACATATTCAGATCATGAAACTTGGGGAAAACTGGAAATATGGACCATGGTTTGAAACCAAGGTATGGGTTGACTAGTCTGAGGACTAAGCTAACAGACTTTATCTTTTGAGGGTCACCTAGTATTCATGTCCATGCATGATTCCCACATCATGCAGGACAACGTGGAATACTAAAAGACCTGCTTCATAGGTTTCCTTCGTCGATAGGGCCCAAGCTTGTTCCGCTCTGCTGCCTGCTGTCTGAGGAGTGCGCGATTGATGATCTTTGCTGTGGGAATGGAGTATCTTCCTTCTCGCAGCATCCGTACCTCGATGGGTGATAGTGGCAGTGTTGCGTCGATGATGAACTGATTAAGTTCGGTGGGAAGGCTGATGGGAGGGAGAAGAAGGTGGGCGGGTCCGAGTATTCCTCTGGAAGGGTCATCTGCGGGATTGAACTTGCTTGGGATGTAGGCTGTTGTAATGTCGAGACACTTGGGTAGATGGTGTAGGAATTCGTGGACCCTCCGAAAAACTCCGTTGACCTCTCTGTTGCGGTGTCTGTGCTTCCACCATCCTTCCACCACGCCGGTGTTGTCTCCGTGGATGAGAACATTGTTGCTAATGTTTGGGAGAGAGGCGAGGGCATAGATAAGCAGCTCGAAGCCGATGGCTTCGGCCCACCCAATGTCTCATTTTCCATGGAGAGTTTTCCAACCTGGTATTAGCCTCCACGCTCTCCAGCGTTTACCTATAACAATGCCTATCCCGATGCCTGAGCTTGCGTCTGAGAAAGCTAGGGGGTTCTGAAGTTGGGTCGTAGGATAGATGTCCCGCGCTACTCCTCCTGATTGCAAAAGGTCTGTCCACCAGTTTAAATCTTCGCCTACAGTTTTTCCCGCTCTGTGCGGCAGAAACTGTTACGACTTGGATAGTATCTGTTGGCGACACTCAAACAGAGCGTGTGTTGTCAACGGTCGAGGACGTCCTTGGGCTAGCCCAAGGTTAGGGGTCTTACTTGGCAAGGCTTCGGCAAGTAAGATTTGACGCCTATGTCCTACTCGGGTAGCTTACGTCAAGCGGGTGCGAGACGATAAGCTATATCGGCCTAGGCTTACGACACCCGAAGGTTAATCGTAAGATCGTCGTTAATTAGAAGGACAGAAGTCCGACTAGTTAACAGGGGCTTTACTCGTCGACGGAGTCGAGGAGTAAAGATCGAGACTATAGGCTTATCCGCGAAGAGCAGATAAGAAGATAGAATATAGACTGCTGGCAAGGCAGAAAGGATCACTCTGGTGAGAGTAGGAGGTCAAGAACCAAGTAGATTCAAGTTAGGGAATATAGTACATGGTAGCAAGTTTATATAGAGGACAGGAGACGTATTAGTGGGTGATAACTCGTACTACCAGGAGAGGCAATTGGTAAAGAGTATAACCATAACAGGAAGGCACGTTTGGTCAAGGTAGAACGTGCTAGATAAGAAAGTGAGTCAAGGATCGAAATAAGAAGTGAAACGCGCAGGGGCACGATCGTGCAGCTGCGGATCTAAGTATAAGTCGCATGTGCGACTGCGCACCGAGTCAGAGATCAAGAAAGGAAACAGGGCAAAGGGGATGCGTCGTGCATCATATCATAGGTTACCGTCCAGACGGTAAGGGCGAGGGGACCGTCCACAGGATCAGTCAGGTGGTGGAACGGAGCATGGGTATGCTTCGTCAGCAAAAGGATCCGGCCAGATGTACTGGCTTTACTGAAGCGACAGGTAGAGAGCAAAAGGGAATGCGAGGATGACAAGGATGACCAGGGTAAGGTCGGGGTGAGGGTATGATGCAAGGGCTGATACGAGGAGGATCAGGAGTAAAAATGGTAGGGGCCCAAGCGTCTAGATGTTCTTGTAACAGAAACGGTCTAGCTCCATTGGTTGATAGCATGTCCTCGAGGCTTGTGAGGTAAGCTCGTCCTCGAGGCACTGCCGCACACGCGTGAAGTAGTTTACCATACAATTCTTGTACGTCCTCAAGAATGTGAGCACGTCTCTTCCTCCATTTGTGAATGGCCTTGAGGTATTTTTCCACTTTAGCGGGACTCAAAGCTACTACCATACGTTTCAAATCCCAGGTGAAACCTATATAAACGGTGGAGGTGTTGAAACACTGATCTTTTAGGTGCTCCCAAATGATACCTAGCAGATCGGATATATCATCCAAGTCCTGGAAGCAAAATGTGAATAGAGCATCGTGAGCTGAACGGTTCGAGCGGTGTGATAAATCTTTTAAAGGTTTTGAATGGTCTTCACTAGATTCTTCCATTTGGCCTTTGATCTGGCAGAATTCGCCAAACCAAAGCCGCCCGCCTGACTGCTTCATCCCGGCTCTTGCGAATTCTTTGTGCCATGATGCCCTGCTGACGTTGTAGCTTTCGAGGAATTCACGCCTTATCCTGAAAAATATATGGTCATCGACCCATTTGTCTAGGGGGCCGATTCCTCGGTTTCGAAAGATCTCAGTTCTGGCATCTGCTACATGTCCATAAACTCCTGCTGATGGCGTGGCGCCAAAAGCCGTGCAGGTGTCTATGCAAAACTGAGTGTCTGAAGTTCGGATTACGCCTGCTGGCCACTGTGAAGGGTGAAGTGGGACTGTCCGATACACTTCTGCTATGTCTCGGGTTGCTGCTTCTGAACCAGGTGGGAGGGTAGATATTAAATGATATATTATCGAGAATTTTCCCCAGGTTGTTGGGAAATCGTTGGCGTCTATACATGAATTAACTGATGGGTTAGGGAAGAGCATACTTGGAGAATGCAGGAAGGAGAAATTTTGTACGATCCGAAATTTTCCTGGTTTCCTGGGTTTCGGAATGATAGCTAAAGGGGAGGTTTGAAAAGGACCAATTAGGTGTTCTAAGACGTCTGCTTCGAAGGGGCCAATATATCTCCCTTTGTTGATCTCTTTCTGGATGATTGCGTTAAACTCGGATTTGAATTCGACAATTGAGGATTTATTAGGTGGGGTTTGTACATGAGTGACAGAGGGGAAATCTATTTTGAAACCGGTACGGAGACCTTCGTGTATCTTTGCAAAGCGTTCAGAGAGTCCGAGTTTATCTAACTCATGCGCCCAAGCTTCTACTTTATATGGTGTTAGTGGGTTCTGCTTTCTGTGCTCGAGCACATTTCTGGGCTCCATGGGATGAGTCTCCACATCCTAAACAGATGTGTCGTGCATCGTGTCTGGGTATGGTGCAGCCTTCTTCGCGCTGCCATGCGGTGCAGAGTTGTTTCCCATCCTTTGTCCACAGGCTCTTGCGGATGCGCTCTGAGAATGTTTCATGTTGCTTGTCCCATGTGCGGACAGCCACGCACTCAATAATTCGGTGCGAGTGATGTCCCAAGCATACTGCACAGCATGGGTGGGGCCTGGAAGCAAGAGGAGCACGATCAGTGCATACCTTTTTGTTACTACCCGTTGTTTCTTCGGGAGGAGGTAAAGGGCACTTCTGGGATGCTTGCACGTGTTGCGCTGACGCTGCATGTTGCGAGTAGGGATTCCGAAGCTTTGGCTGAACAAACTGCCGCTGCTTGCTGCGTGATTGCAGAAGTGTCACGACACACAATGCGTAGAGTGAGTGGGCACGAGATTGAGCCAGAATGGAGGATTGTTTGGTTGCGATAACCAGGGTTTTGTTGGGCGCGTGATTGGCCATAGCCAACAGGTTGTGATAACCAGAGGCGTATTCATGCGTGATGCATGAGTGCGATAAAAAGGGGGGGTTGTCAGCACGTGTTTGGCCGACAATTGGAAAGTTTTTAATATAAGGCGTGGTGCGCGGTGGGAGAAAAGGAGAAATAGCGCGAGGCACAAGTGTGATGAGCACTCGAACTTTTACAAAGGAGTTTGTAGGTTAATTTGACTGACCTGTATTGCGAAAGCCGTGTCTTTGTCTCGCTTCTCGTTAAATAATTCCTCTCTTGCTTCGAATAAAAGGTCTTGGTTGATCTCTTCTAGACTCCAACCTTGAGCGGTTCCTACTGTGAGGTGCCAGCGTCGATGCTGTTGCGACTGGTAGAGCAATAGAGCTTTCTGCTTGAGGACGTCTGGCACGTGGCGCCAGCGGTGGGCTTGTAGCGCCGTCCAAAATTGGATGTGCATGTTGACTCTGTCGTCCGGCCAGTCGTGTACTTTCATGAAAGAAATTATGCGTGGGGCCGCTTTGTTAAACTCTTCCCATGTGAGATTCTCATCTTTGGTAATGGGGGCTGCTTTGGGATCTTTGACCGCTGCAGCGGGAACCCAGAGTGTACTCCGTCCGATGCTGGGAGCATCACTAGTGCATCTGGTTCAGCAATCAAGGCCGAAGTTTTGGCCTCGTCGAGGCCTTTGTTGGTAAAATAGTGCAACTCGCAGTAATCTCCTGCTTTCAATCTCCTAGTCGCGTATTGTGCTGGGAGAATAGTAGGGTCGGAAGGTACTTCTCCGTGTTTGACAGGCGCGTACTTATTCTTGTTCTTCTTCCTGTCTTCTAAATGAGTTGCTTCCTCTTCGTCTTTAAGGTCTTGTTGCCTCTGGGCTTCGTCTTCTTCAGCTCGTTGACGAGCCTCTTCTAGACGTTCTTGTCTATCTGCCCATCGTGCCTTCTCCGCGTTATTGTTAAAGTTCCATAACGCTGTTAAGGATCGAGCAGCCTGCTGTTCGGATAATCCTTCATCTACTAGTTGTTGCCACTCTCCTTTGAACTCTGGTAGCGTATAGTCGGGTCTAACTGCATTGTTAGAGTTCATACTGGCAAAGTAGATGTTCGAAAAGCGAAAAGACGTAGAAACTAAATGTTGGACTGAAACTGATAGACTGATGCGAGGTGGTCAGAAGCAAGAGGCTTTCTGCGCCACCTCGCTTATTTGCGCGTAGACTAAATTCTACGCTATTCTCATGCTTCGGCTAGCTTAGAAAACCAACAGTGCTACGTCTATGCGTGTCGGCGCTAAGTGTCACGCGGGAAGTAAGGCGGCGCGCACTTGTGACCAGTGCGGCCGAAGGTTAGTAAAGGTTTTTCGGCCCGAAACATGCACCCGAACTGGGTAGCAGGGTGAGCTGTGACGGGGCGGGTGGGCCCCGATCAGGTCACCGACATTGCAAGTGTCGAGTGCAGTGCGAGGGACAAAGGTAAGTAGTGGATTACATAATGTAACTACGAAGCATTTGTCTGCACCCCTGAGAGAGGGAGTGGCGGGTGGGTGCAAACAAAAACGAGGCTTTGCGGCGTGAGCATACTGCAAGCCGAGTCGAAGCGGTACCGCTGATGTGGACGGCGGGAGCAAGAGCGCTGCACCACATCGCTTACTAACACATAGACTAAATTCTACGCTGCCTCGTACCTCGGCTCGCTTAGAATAACCAACTGGAGTCACTGGACTGGCACAGCTCGGCACAGCTCCAACCTGCGTTTTCCATTCGAAATCATATAATCCACCAAGTGAACCAAACAAGTAAATACATAAATAGGTCACTACACTTTCTTCCTTTTCCACAAAGATTCTTCGCCATGGCCGGTCAGTCTGTTCTAGTACTTAGAACTGCCAATTCACCATGATTACAAACCATTGCGCCGTCGATGATATGTAGTACGTATGCGTATTTGTCCACTCCATATTCTTGAGACAAGATGATGGAGGCTAAGTGAGTCATACTACCTGGCGAACCTGGCTTCATCCTAACATGATTGATCCGGGATGGCACTGTACCAAGTCAGGGCTGCACTGAACACGAAAGACTCCTCAGTCGGTCAGAGGATAACCACAGGCAGTGCCTTGGTCAGGCAATCTTTGCGTGCAACGCCCTAGTCAAGGGCTTGGCACCTGTAGCTCTACAATTCTCGCGTGCGGTAGGTGGGGCTGGCATTGATTGGGAGAGACAAGGACCGCGAATCGTTTGAAGCAACCTAAAGATCAAATTACCACGAGCATCACCTTTGAATTCATATTTCGATCTTTGAATGCTGAAGTCTACAAAGATAATTTCTGTCTCCCAGATTCAAAAGGACATTCGACGCATACAATCAGACTGACTGTAAGAGTGAGAATGACCGGTTCTTGTCGTGCCATCCCGGTGAGGTGGGTCCACATTCTCCAAGCGCGCTGTAGGTGATGGTAGGTTTGATCCAATATCGATGGTAGAGATGAAAGATGCCAACTCACTGCTCGAGAGCGCTGAAGTTGATTATCAATGCAGTGCGTTAGGAGTTCAGATGAGACGTTGATGTTACCCTCGGCCAGCAAGTGAGCGGAGAAAGTGACTCACCTGATGAATATAAGCGTTTCTTTTCCCTGTTATCCCACCCGTATGTGTATACCGTATTGATACACACGTCCCATGAAAATCTGTAGGGCAGTGGCTGCTGTAATTATTTGTCGAGCCATGTTCTCCTAGGTCCACAGTCATGGCTATCCAGCTGTGTTCGGAGGTGTCCATCAATCATTTTCGCTTCGTGGACCCACGTGCACAGTGCACCTCAGTGTGTGGATGAAACGGCAACAAGTTGAAGTTGCTGTAAGCGGTCACAGTGTTATTGTATATGTAAACATAGAGCACACCTATCTGCATTCATCAGTCCTATTGCTGTAATTCAGATAATGCTTGAGGACCGTGACAATGAATTCCTTCATATCGCTCTAGTAAGCCAATCAAGCTGAAGATTCATCAGGTGAGCGCATTGATGACATGTCACATTGTACCATTTGCGATGCTCCGGTTCAGTAGTCCACCACAAACTCTTCGACGCCAGTAACTGTCCCTGATGCTGAACTGGCGGAACCCTAATTCTGTTCAGACTTGCTCGGCTTCGATACACTATGCGGCTATCCAACTTGCTATGTCATCCCCGACCGCGAACTGTATGCCTTGTGATTTATAAGGGTGATGGGCGTCAGGCTCTGGTAATTGAAGGTGATGAGATTTGAGGACACCCCTTCGACCTGTTCTTTGATGACCAATTGTATTTACAGTAGCAAGTTTGGACATACAACATTAGCAGAGTCTTGTCCTTCGTTCGTCTCTGCGAATAAACGCATTGTGTCTCTTCGCGTTCTCACCCTCGACAATGCCGTGTATAACTAGTCGTGTGTAACCCAAATGTGTGGTGATGTTGACCTTGAAATCTGTTAAAAAAAGACACTTCGGTTGTGACAAGATGAGTTACCGAAATATTTGGGAAGCCTGCGCGTACTCAGAGCAGTTTAAGAGGGAAAGGTGATCGAGCCAAACCGAAATACAAACGACCAACCATGAAGTTGGGGTGAGACAAGGAGATTTGACGCGTTAATGATACTAATTGTAGTGACTTTGGCGATGGCTGTGAGGCGAGGAGAAACAAATGCTATGAATGAAATGATTTAGGCGCGTTGCACAGCTGCCATACGGAAAGGGCGTGTCAGGGCTGTGCGCAAGGCCATTCTCCCATTCAAGACTGCATTGCTCCCCGACGTCTTTGCTGCTAACCTCTTGGGAACACTGAATTCTGGTTTGGACTTCCGGCGCGGATAAACTAACGATTGGCTTCAGCAGGGGGCATATTCTTCAAATCACTATCAGCGATAGTAGTACATCGATACCAGGAGCTCTCACCTTCGAACTGTCAAAAAACTTGCTCGTACCTGACTATTTCACAGTTTCGCTCGCGGAGACGTAGCCATGGCTTCTACTTCGACAAAGAAGGAATCGATTCTGAAACCATCCATAACTTTAAAGGTCCATGGAGACTGGATCGCATCTATATCCTATTTTCCAGATGGCCAGAAAATGATCAGCGGATCCTGTGCCAAGATCGCCCGGCAATGGGATCTGAAAACGGGCAAGGAAATTGAGGAAGCGCGGGATGTTCGAAGGGAACAGGTATCGGCGGTGGCGGTGTCGAGAGATGGTCGATGGATTGTCACTGGTGGTGGAGATTTTAATGGTAATGCTGAGCTGACAGCCTGTGGGACTGGGGTAGTGAAGAGATTCGAAGGTCACACAAGGAGGATCACCTGCATTGATATCTCTATGGACAACACGTTGATGGCAAGTGGGTCATGGGATGACACAACGCGGATATGGAATCTCGACACCGGAAAACAAGTGGCCGGTCCATTCAAGAGCGAGGATTGGGTGCTGGCAATTCGAATTTCCACAGATTCAAAGAAGCTTGCGGTCAGATTGAAGTCATGCCTTGAAATTTGGGATGTCCGATCACAGACATTGGATGTCAGACTCAAGGGAGAAAATTACACATCTACGCCAATATTCTGGACCAACAACAACAAAAATATATTGACTGGATTCACCTTCGCGGCCAATGACCACTCAATCTATGAATTTGACGCATCGACACTAAAGACTGTTGGAACTCCCTTCAAAGGGCACACCTTGGGTATCCGCGGTCTGGCACTGTCATTTGACCATACTCTCCTGGCCAGTGCTGCTGCTGATGACACCATCAAGCTATGGGCTTTCGGGTCCCGTCAGCTCCTTGCCTCCTTTGACGTTCAATATCTCAACATCCTTGTCCTCTCACCCGACTCACGCCAGCTGGCTTACACAACGTACACCAACTTAGATGATGACAAAATCTACATCTGTGATACTCCACCCGAAGTCCTTGCTCAGGTGTGTGTATGCATTCCCCTCAAACATCCACTTTGTGTGCTGACACTCCTTTACAGACTATTTCACACTTAAAAGGACCCACAGAAGATCTTCAAAGCACAACAATATTGCCTGCCATGGCCATGGCGTTTCCCCCTCCATTGCAAATTCCCTCTTCTACAGTGGCTTCGCAGCTGCCCGACCCCCCCGAGTTCCTTCCCTTCTCTTCCCACACCCATACAGTCGTTTCTGCTTATAATGTTGAGCCTGACGATCTCAAAGCAATGCTCCAAGACCTCTCAAAATATATCGTCAAGGATGGAGAATACCCTGTTGCTCGTGGCGGGTTCGGGGAGATCTGGAAATGCAGCTTGTACATCGACCCTAGCCCGACCAAAGTTCGTTCGCCATCTTTCGTCTGTCCAACTGTCTAAATTTTTATCGTTTTGCAGGTCGCCGTGAAAGCATTGCACGTGTACGCTGATGATCAACTTGGGCCAGCAAAGACCAAAAAGATCAAGGCGAGTATCTCACCGAAAGATCGAGTTTGTCACTTATATCACAGGATGCCACTTCGTAGAGGATCATGCATGAACTCAGGATATGTGCCAAGCTCAATCATCGGAATATTCTCCGTATTTGTGGTTATACGCATGGCTTCGGCCCATTTCCAGCAATAGTCAGTCTTTGGGCGGAGAACGGTAACTTGACAGTCTATTTGGAGCATCAAGGTGCGACTCTGACTCTCGTCCGACGATTCCAACTGGCAAGTCTCTCTTCATGCATATTGGGTAAGCCACAAGACTGATACGAACCTTAGTTAAGAGACATCATAGCTGGTCTGCAATATCGTATGTCATAGACTTTTCTCTTGCCGGACTGAGCTGTAACTACTCTTCATAGTTCACACCAACAATGTCATCCATGGCGACTTCAATGGGGTAAGTTCGATCTTCTCGATCAATCGTTCCAATTTCAACGTGAGCTTCAGCCTAACGTGTTGATCCATGGTGATGGCACCGCGTGTATTGCTGACTTTGGCCTTTCCTTGATGTATTCCGAGTTCATAAGCGCCTCTCAGGCTTCATACACGTCCACGCTTAAAGGAAATGTGCGCTGGATGGCTCCTGAGCTGCTCGTAGAGCCGGAGGATGGCTCTCAAGTTCGACCAAGCAAGCAGAGCGACATGTATTCATTTGGCGGTGTCATGCTGCAGGTTTGTCTAGGTTAACTTTGGCCTCTCATTGATGACCCAAGCTCCACTCGTACTAGGTCCTCACCAACAACACTCCCTATTATTACCTTCGGAATGATGCTGCCATCATCTGGGCTATGCAGAAGTCGCAAACGCCTTCCCGATCCCGTTATGCTGAGCTCCATGAATCATACTGGCAGTTTATCGAGCAATGTTGGTCTATTGATCCTTGGGTCCGTCCCTCGACGGAGCGAGCTGACGAAGCGATCAGAAACGAATTTTACTCTCTTTCCTGATCTGATTGATTTTTGGATGTCTCGCATTCAGAAATCTGTTTACAGTACAACCAGATGGATAAATATAGGTACTCCTGTATAGTACATGTAAGCTCATTCTAAGATCTCTCTTGTGATGTTGAAGAACACCTGTGCTACGATGAAAAACGTCTGTTGCAGTCATTGGAGTCGGAAGAACGTTGTCATCAACCACAATTATCCTGTTTGCGAATTCTGCGACGAAGCATGTAAGTGAACACCAACACGACTGAGTCTCCCGTTGTTAGGCCTTCCAAGACAGACAGAAAATGTATGTCTCTTCTTCACTACGGCACAGCTTTCGTCTTGCGAAGAACTTGCTTGATGAATTTCTCTGACACGGTGTAGTTGCGCATTCATTAGAGTGTCATATCAATCCTCTTATACCATAACTCATACACAGATTCTAGATAGTCGACGCGCTAGGTATAAGACGTTGCAATTAATAGGACACTCAACAGCTTTTCTAAGCTTCCGGTTTTCGTGTGCATTGGGAGGTGAACCGGTGACTTCCGAATGTTGCTTTAACAGAGTAATGAAGGAGAAGGAGATGATCATGTGGTCATGATGCTTGGACACTTACAAAAGGCAAGTAAGGCCGTTATTCCGGTTTGGCGAAGCAACTTGCTCTCAGATGCGCACTGCATGCCAAAGGCTCCAAATTGGCATCAACGCGAAGGCCTGTGTGATATTAAGTATCGGGTTGTGTCGCTTAGAAGTAGACATTTGGGACGGCTCACTGAAGAAAATCAATTGGCAAAGATCATGTTACCACAAAGAAATCATACTGAAGCTCGAGATGCCTCCAGACAGTGACTAACACAACTTGAACAGATCGTACTTGCCTCATGATCTTGGGGTTCAGGATACACGAGTGCTGAAGAAGCTACATCCTGTATAATAAAAACGCAATACTTAACCATAAACTCACGAAGAAAGCGCGGGTCCCTGTGATACAATTAAGATTGAATAACCGAAGTGAAACATCCGCGATGATACTCACCAAAGCTCGCTCGCGTTATTCAAGGTATTTGAAATCTCATACGAACTTGCAGCACAAATGAACAGATGATCCGATTCTGCTTAACGCACTCTTGGGTGAGTCAATATCTCAAAATCCTCCATCATTATCAACGCTAGGGCTACTCACAGGCAACGCGCTGCTGATCGGGGACCTCAGTCAGAATTCAAGTGCAGACACAAAACTACTCATAGGAAACAAGCAGCCAGTGATTCGGATGATATAGACAACACAAGCAAGTACATGCAAGTGGCTATGACCATCCACGAGCGGATCCACGACCTCCTCCATGACCCCTTTCCTTCTCGATGGCAAACATTGCATCACGCATTGTGACTAACATCCGATCGTCCTCCTCTCCCGTTTGTGGTGATGTCGGACTGCCTTTCTTTCCCCCTATGTACGGCCGCGCCCATGAAGTTGCAGGAGTTGTTGACGCTGCAGGAGCTGTAGTAGTCGCAGGGGTTGTAGTAGTGGCTGTACTTGTTGTAGCAGTCGAGGATGCCGCAGGCTTCGGTTTGGCAGAGGCCGCAGAGGCATTTGCAGCGTTCATCCATGAATACTTCCCACCAAGTCCAGCAGCCTGACTTGCGACAGCGTTGGACATCTTTTTACGTACATCTTCAGACATATTCCTCGCCGTTACACCAGGTCCCTCTTTTTTCTTCTTTTTCTTCGTACCTCCCTCCTCGTCTCCATCTACGGCCATGGCATTGCCACCTGACGCCTGCGCGGCGAGGTTAGCAGCATGTGCAGCGGCCATATCAGCGCGTTCTTTGCGTTCTCTTCGAACTTTCATCTCTTCCTCTCGCTCAATCTTTTCTAATGCAGCTAGTTGCTTAGCGACATCGCTCTGCACGACTATGCTCCACATCGGTGTGCCGTTCTCGTACGAACATGCTGGACGGTCAAATTGGGTGTCCGTGCGGTGGTTCGCTGCAGCAACCATCGCAGTAATAAGGTCTTGTAGGCGGGCACGAAGAGCGATCGCCAAGTAATTCACCGAGTCTTCGGGTATTTTTGTCACCTTGTGTTCCGTGCCGATAGAGCGCATGGTACCACCTAGGAAGCGTGTGTCAAAGGAAGGAGTAGCTGGTTGTTTGCGTGATCTGTCTTCAAAGCTTCGATATGACTGATGTGAGTCATGAGACCTCTGCAGGCTTTCCTCTTCTGCCTACGGAATAGTTACTACCAAAACAATACCTTTCCAGTAGCAACGTACCCTAAGATCAACACCCGCGCTCCCAAGAGCATCATTCAACGTTGCCACGTCGGAGGTATCCATCCCACTATTCGCATTTGCGGGCTGGGTGGCCGCTGCTGTTGCAGGAGCTGTTGTTGATGCCTGTGGCCTCTGGACTTGGGGTTGTTGTGGGACATATGAATAATGCGAATACGCAGCTTGAGGATAGTGGTGAGTATACTGGTAGGAATATGGGGTTGTTCTGGATAAGATGGATATATTGAGTATCCGAACGGAGAGGAACAAAGAGACAGCTTGACGTGGCGTGTTGAGACTGCTGCTGAAGCGCAGGATCAATTGGTATGTCTGGATTATATAAATTCATTATTGACCACTACAGGGGATATTTGGACGGCGCCACATACGTGCTGTACCCCATTGTGCAGTATACGATGTTTGCGCGTGAGTTTGCGTGGGCGTTGGGGTCTTCGGAGCCTCGCTTTCAGTTTTCATGGCCTGCCTTCTGACACAGAATTGGCGTTAAACTCTGCAAGATGTGCAAAGGGTTTAAAGCTTGTTCGAAAGGTGGCGCAAGGAACTGGAAGGCATGCATGTGTTGTATTATTTGGCCTTATTGAAATCTAAAGCTTTTGCTAAATAAACACATAATACTGATCACTCAGTATTTTCGTGTCTAAACGAAGTTCTGCAATGGACGTCTCAAATATCCTAGCATCGCATGCTGCAAAATTGTACGAGTCTTTTTATTTCTACAATAATTACTCATATTCTTATGCAGTCAATCTGTCACGGTCGAGAAAGAGACACCTCTCGACGTAGACACTGGCTTCCTGACTGTCACAGACCTCACCCCAATCGACGAGGATAGTTACAAGTACGATCGATCGATTGTATCATCACCTGAACTATAATCAATATGTTTATTTTAGATCAAATCTTGAAGAATACCTACAAATGACTGCTCGAGATGGCATCCAAGCATTAGTAGCAACACTATATGGCCTGCCCACCCAACCATCACCAGACGGCCCACTCGCCCAACTTCCCCCACCAACAACACAGCTTCCTCGTACTAAACCCCTTCCAAAGCCCAAACCACCAACCAAATGGGAACGCTTCGCTGCTGCCAAAGGTATCCAGAAGCGTGTGCGTGAAAAGAAGGTGTGGGATGAAGAGCGACAGGAGTGGGTCAACCGCTGGGGCAAGGATGGAAAAAATAAGGAGAAAGAGGAACAGTGGATTCATGAAGTCAAGGCTGATGCTCGTGCGTGCTGTTTTTTTATATTTGGAATGAAGCCATCTAACCATCACTTAAGCCGTGGATCACGACCCCGTCAAAGCTGCCCGTGATGCACGGACATCAAGGGTCGCCAAAAATGAGCGACAGCGGCTCCAAAATATCAGTCGTGCACAAACCTCTTCAACTGATCGAGAGGAACGTAAAACGGATATTGAGAGGACACTGGCTACCACTCGAATAAGCACTGCAAGCATGGGAAGATTCGACAAGAAGCTTGACGGAGAGAAGAAACTCAGAGGCGTGAAGCGCAAGGTAAATTGGAACGGAATAGCTCATCGTTGCATGTGACTCACTGTCTGTAGTTTGAGGCTACAGAAACATCTGTCGAGCAAGAAAAACAGGCATCACTTGCCGTACTGTCGAAGCTGGATGGCGATGTAAAGATAGCAAGAAAGGAGAAAGGCGCAGGTGATGACGTTCTCAACGTACGGAAGGCAATACGGAATGTAAGCAAGGGCAAAGGTGGTGTTGCTCTTGCCCGTGAAGCCAACAAAAAAGGAGCAAGGGGCAAACGAGGCGGTAAACGCTAGTTGCTAAAAGTATTACATAGTGTGTCACTCGTTTACAATGTTGAGCAGTCTGTCATGTCAAATGACTACACTGATCATAATAAGTACCACTGTCAATCCGTAACAAATCGGTATACAAAGGGTGATTATATCCCTTTACCGCTCAACAGGAAGTCTGTCCAAGTCAGCCCTCCCTTCTTTGATCCATTCCTCCTTCACCAGTTTCTCCTTCTCCAAGTAGTACAAACGATACACCAACTTGATAGTGCCCTCACTGACACCAGCAACCACACTGATATCTCGGGAAGACTTGGGTTTCCCTAGCAAGTGGCAAGTAAAGTAAATCGCCCCGCCAGCGATAGAAACTGGACTACGACCATCCGCGACGCCATGCTGACGTGCTGCAACAATGATATCACCGCAAATGGACTGAACATTGGCGGGAAGGTCAAGGTGATTGCAGTAACGAACAAGTAAGTTTTCGGGGCCAGTGGACGGGTTGCTTCCATTCGCATTAACCTGCGCAGTGGCTCCAGGCGAAAGATTGAAAGCTTGCTCGAGTGCCTTGTAGCACTGTCCGAGCGTCTTCTTCGACACATGGGTCAAGTTACAAATCTCGCGGAATGTACGAGGGACATGGGCTTGACGGCACGCGATGAATATACACGCGGCAATAACAGCCTCGAGAGGTTTTCCGCGAAGAAGCTTCTCCTCATCTGAGCGCTTGTATAGCTGCTTGGCAATGTCGCTGATAGTTTTGGGAAGCGAGAATTGGTCGCACCAGCTGCCAATGTCGCGGAATGCGGTGAGAAGATTCCGCTCCGAGCGGGAGCTCTGGGAGCGAGAAGCCGCACGTTGGAGCTCACGTGCAATTCCCGTGCCACCATCACGGAAACTGATGAGCGTATCCAGTTGCTCTATACCCTCCAATAGAGGGTCCGACGCAGCACCAACACGAGAAGGATCATCGCCTTCGTCATTTGCGAATGTCTAGACACACAAAATAATAGGTGCAGGGTAACTGCAACAATAAAGGAGACAATGATACTCACCCTCCATTCACTTCTCGTATCGACAATACGATCACCCAGGACCAGACCACAGCTCCCGCACACAAGATCTCCGCTCCCAAACTCTTCGACAATATTCGGATTTGGATCCCTGCACTCTGGACAAATTAGACGCACGGCTAAGTCGGGGCCGAACGCTGGTTGTTGTGTTTTTTGGGCTGCTGCTGCGAGTGGGAAAGGTTGAGCGAATGCCATCCTAATAACTGGCTGCAAGATCCCGTGTGCGGTTTCTGCGAGACTGAATAATGCGGTCTGAGCCGCGTTGAATGCAACGAATGTGTTTCTTTCTTTCTAAAACGTATCTAATTATGGGAGTAATATAGCTTTTTCACAAAATTGGACATTAGTTCGCTGTTACATACCACTGGAGTGAGAAATACGGTCCACGATCTTCAATCTGACGAGCCCAACCAAAGCCCGTGGTGAGTGATGGTGATGGTCTAGGACAAAAAGCTGACTGTAGGCTACTTGCTGTGTCACAGCTTGGATGACCAATTTTCAATAGATGACTAACGGACCATGTACACTTCCATATTTGGTGCCTTTATTTACCACAGCCTTACAACATTGTGGTATGAGTGAGGAAAATGTCAAGCATTGCAAGCAACTACATGAGTAAAATATTCAACAACAATGTCAAGCTAATATCATATTCAAGACCCGAGAAGTATTGCAGTAAGGGAAACACAAGTGAAACAGCATGAGTAAAGGAACGCATTGGAGCAATATGAAGTCTGTGAGGGTAACTGCTCAGGCCTGAGGACGTGGAGATCGTGAGTAATGAAACGGTCATGGATAGCGGTGTACGTATGTATCCCAAAGCAAGAACAAAGAAAGACAACAGTATCAGAAGATATAACATATTAGCACTAGTAGTAGACCTGAGAAGCATGTGGGTCGGTGGGATACATCTCGTACTGTGGAACGTGAGACATGTCGTAGTACTGGGAGTACCCGTAGTGCTCGGGATAGTAGTACTGCTGATGATATGGTGGGTACCCGTACACGGTGGGTTCCGGCTCTGGCATCACTTGGTCATTGGCTTGACTTGAACTTGCATCATCCTGGGCAGAATAATCTTCAGATGAATGGTATGTCTGTGACTCAGTATTGGGACTTGCGGGACGCGAGGGCTCAAATGAAGCTGCGCTCGTCCTCAAACTGGAAGGCCGACGTCCACTCTTCAGCTGTTTGAGATCCGAGTGAGAGGCTGGCGATCGGATCTCAACGCGAGAACTCTGGCGAGGGAACGCGAAGAGCGGATTGCCAGTCGACGGGTCAATGTAACCATTAACAGGAGGTGTGTGTGATGGTGCAATGAAATCGGGAGAGCTGGCAGAATGATGGTGCATAGGAGCATATGAGAGCCCTGGAGGTGTCATCATGCCATGGGCTAGCGGACGCGGAGTGTACATTGTCGGGTGCTGCAGATACACTGCTCGGCCCGTAGCAATCTCATATGGCATACCATGGTGGCCGATGGCTACACCGGGCGGTAGAGAAGAGCCATATCCATATGGAGATCCGTATGGAGGCGAGGCCTGTGATGGCGGCGAGAACACAGTCTGCAGGGGTGGAGGCATCGGTGAACGGACGGCATCAGAAGTATCCGGGTTCGTTGCGGGTTGCTCGACCTGGAGAAGAGCAGGTACATTCTGGTCATACTGCTCCTGCAATATACCGTTTGGCACATCTACAGTCTCCTTAGCCTGCTGATCTGCGGCCGCGCGCATCATTTGCTGCAAAAGGGGTGACGTGATATTCTCTTGCAAGGCATCAGGTGATGAAGGAGCTGGTGCAACAGGCGTGGAAGGCACAATAGATACTGGTGTAGAAGGCACATGGCCATTGGCCGAAGGCGAAGCTGATTGCGAAGTTGGAATGGGCTGCCTTGGGGGCACGAGTTCCGGTCGAACTGTGAAGACATCTTCGATAGGAGGATCTGCAGCGGTAGTACAAGTTTCGACCTCGGGAGTTGGCTCTGGTGCCTTCTCCTTTCCCGCCCTCTTGGGTAGACGCACGATAAATGTCTTCTCACTCGCCTCTGAAGGTGCAACCACAGATGGCGCAAGCTCTGCTGCTTGAGTGGTTCGAGCAGAGCTTCTGACAACTTTCCCTTCATGGCCAGAGAGCTTCACCCGATAGCCCGGACCTTGACCGTGACGAGGCTTTAAGGCAGGGTCGAAAAACAGGAAACCCTCGTGTTGCTTTGTCCAGACACGTTCAGGCTTCATCGCATACCACGTCCTGCCTGATGCAGCGGCAGCGGCAGCAGGAGGAATGAAGTGTGCTCCAGTCGGTGAAGGCGTAAAACCGCCACGTGCAAGACCGCCACGTCCGCGGCTGGCAATAAATCCACCCCTGCCACGGAGTGGCAAGAAACCTCGTGTAGACCTTGTTGCTTGCTGTTGTTGATGTGGTGCAGCTGCACGCCTCTTTTCATCTCGCTTCTTCATCTCCTCGAAACCGTCGTGGGTCCACGGTTGGTCAATAAGGGGCGGTTCAACTGGGGGTTTCTCTGTCTCTTGAGATCCAGAGGTGTCTGGTACATAACGACTAGACTCTGGACCAGTAAAGGCTCCTCTGCCCCTACCGCGCACAAAACCGAAACCACCTCTTCCGCGACCCCTGCCCTGCCAGCGACCTCTCCACCACCCACTCAGGCTCCTAAGGTCCTTATCCAGCAGTCGATCATCGTGGCCCCAAAACTCACCAACAGTGGGAACATATGATGGGTCCGCCTCCAGCCTCTGCTGATAAGCTTGACGAGCATTGTGTCCAGAAGGGGGCCTGGGGAATGAATTCCGAGATTGTTGTCGGGAGGTTGATGCCTGGGGCTGATCATCTGCAGGCTCTGAAGTCTCCTCCTTAGCTTGAACATGGGGGACCTGAGGCGCCGCCGCCCCACGGTCAGACGAAGGCGCTGAGACCGCGCGCTTGGGCTGGGGGCGCTTTGACGCTTTACCTGTTTTACGCGGAGGTGGTCCCGATAAAGTGCGCTGGGTGATAGAAGAGCTATTGAAATCTGCGAATTCTATGACTGGGAGCTCTGCAGGGCCATTGGCAGTCTCCTCGGCGACCATCTCCGACCAGTTGCCAGCGGCACTGAAAAAAGGAGTAGAGTCACCATCGATGTCTTTAACTGGGCGGTGCTTGAGCGATGGGACATCCTCAGAGCTCTGAGTTGTGTTAGGCGTTAAAATGCGCGAATGACCGTTGGAGGCAATGTCTTCTGAGGCAGGTTCAGTGTCGGAGTCGGTTTCGGTGGCAACTGAGGAACGATCATCATCCGACTCGGAATCAGTTGCAATTTCTCTTTCAAACTCCTCGTCGCTCTCAAAATTGTTTCTACCCCTTCCCCTGGGCTTGACCAAGCGAGTCTTACGAGGTTGTGGAGAAGACCTCGACTTTGCAGAAACATCTGTACGGGGTACGGTAGAAGATACGATAGCCGGCATATTAAGAACTGCATGAGAGAGTATGAGTGGCATTCATGAAGACAAAAACGTAAGGAAGTGTGAAGACTTACTCGTAGTTTGTGTGATATGAATGAAGTTTGAGATTTGTAGCTCTCACAGTAGAAAAAAAACGGTGAAAAATCAGGAAAAAGGCTGATATTTAAGGGATTGCTGATTGCGGGGAAGTTGAATGAGAGAATAACGTTGTTGGAAGACGATGCACTGGCAGTTCAGGCAGAGGCGTGTTGGGAGTATTTCACAAAGGCGACTTGGAACTTGCCGGATTTAGTTCCCAGCTGCGGTGCCGACACTGCCTTCACATTGACTCCATGGATCCAACAGATCCTCAAACTTTTAATCATCGCAAGGCTCAGATTTCTACGGGTCGCCTTTATCATTTTATTGACCAAATTCCGAGTAATTATGATCCAACTCAACCACCGCTGATTTGTTTACATGGCTTCCCTGATTCATGGTAATTTTCGATAATCGACCAACTCGTCACAAACTTCAATTCATCGATTAGGTTCGGATGGCGGTACCAAATTGGTCCATGGTGTCGACAAGGCTTCCGCGTAATAGTTCCAGATATGCTAGGCTACGGCGAAACCGATATGCCTCATGATTCTTCAGCATATTCCACAAAAAATATTTGTAATGATATTTCTGCACTTCTTGATTTCTTAGCGATACCCAAAGCCGTTCGTTTGTTACATCTGCTGGACCAATTTTCTCGATATGCTGAATTTGAGAGATGCAGGTGGTGATCGGCCATGATTGGGGCTCATACACTGCTGGGAGATTTGCTCTGTGGCATCCGGATCGGTTGATAGCGCTGGTCATGTGCGTATTTATCGAGTCTTCAATGGGATCACCGACGAGTTGTGCCTAGGTTATCTATTCCATATGTCCCTCCAAAGGAACAACACGTGTCTGTTGAGGAATTGGCCAGGCAATATCCATCTTATGGATATCAGGTGTATTTTGCGTCCGAATCATCGATATCCGAGATCGAGGAAAACGTGTGCATCTTCTTTTCCATTTTATGCATCTGACTCAGGTGGTCGAAGCTCGTCCCTTTTCTCGGTGTGGTGTTCAGAACGCCTGAGAAGGAATTGTCGTGGTCAAAGTTGAACGAGCTGATCACCAACAAACAAATCAATTTTACCAATGATTGCCTCCTCAACGAACGTGTAACGAAGTATCTTTCGTGGTAGCGCTCACGCTGATAATCGTTTGCATGACAGGAATTACAATTTTATGTTTCTCGTTTTCAGTGCGGCATGCGAGGGCCTTTGTCTTATTACCGAACCACTAAAGCACGATTCGAAGAGGAGAAAGGTAAATACGACTTGTTCACTGCCTTATTATTTTTCTTATTCCAAGCCAGAGGCTCAGCTGTCCTGCACGTCTACCTCCGAATCTTCCTGTTCTCTTCATGTATGGAACCAAAGACGCCACGTGTCCTCCGTCAGCGGTCCGAAACGCCCACAAATTCATTTCACGACTCAATACCGTTGCCATCGAGGATATTGGTCATTGGGTGATGTTGCAGGCGCAGGATCGTGTTACATCGGAAGTCTTGCGATTCCTTTCGTCTCTAGGTATATCCCAGCAATCTCGAATGTAGAACTCATTATTTGTTTCGTTTACGGTGGTGAAGCACTGATAAGAATGGATTCATTCATATCAAATTGCAATGGTCCAGACAGATTTGGAAAATGTATAACGAGGCCCTTCGCGTTCCACTCTTAGCTCAACTGCCCGTTAGAGACTGCATCACATTCTTCACAACAGTCGCCACACGAGCTTCACTGCGCCCTTGGCGCCTGGTCTGAGTTGTCCAGATCAAGTCGTTCAACAGCTCAATCTCGTCGATGACCGCCTTCGGCCGCCTTCCCGTCACGACACCAAACATCGTTTTATTTGAAACAATGTAAACCCTTTTGTTCGGTATTTTTGCCTTCTCCAGGTTGTTTTCCACGCTCTGGCGTGTCTGCTGAATGAATTGCTGCCGTGCAGCCTGATAAAGCTTCTCCTGGTCCTCGCTTTCATTGTCGTCGCTATCGTACCCCATATCCTTGATGATGTTACGGATATGCTGATCCGCCTTGGAGCGCACGATATACGCGGGGATCTCGAAATGCCTGCAGTTGTTAAGAATGGCGATATCGATCTCGGTGAAGCGATCGTTGAATAAGACGATGATACAATCATAAATGTAAAGCCCTTGGACATTAAAGTACTGCCAGTGTGGGATTTCGAGCGTGCCTGCGCCCGGAACATCGTACCAGACATACGGATACTCCGCGTTGGGATCAGGGCATCGGGTTATGTCTGTCGTTGTCTCATTGGTACCAGTGGCAGCAGCTCCAATATCGATATTGCGCAAGCCACGGAAGGCATTAATGAGCGAGGATTTGCCTCCTCCTGCCATTCCGGCTACTGCAACATGGAAACGGTCCTCGCAATATTGAGCTAGGAGCTTGTTGTCTCGAACTTCATCAGGTGTAGGAGTCACCAAAGGTTGAATTCCTTTGGACAGCTTGCTTTCAGCTTCCTGCCTAGCAACATCTGCCCTCCTGAATTTCTCTTCTGCCGCTTTCTTCGACTCAATGGCCGCCTCCTCGACGGCATCTGCTTTCCTCTTCTCCTTTTTGACAGCCTCCTCAAGTTTTTTGGTATGCTCCTGAGCAGCCTGAACTTCTTGTTTGATTTGTTTTTGAATGGCAGCGGCTTTCCTTCGCTCCTCCTCTACTTCTGTAGCTCTCTGCTTCGCTTCTTCGTCAGCGGCATGGGCAGCGGCCTCTGCCTTCAGGCGGGCTTCATTGGCAGCACGTTCAGCCTGGATAACAACCATCATATCTTTGTGAGCCTGCGCCTGCGCGCTGGATGCCTCCTTGGCAGCATCTGCTTTCCTCTTCTCCTCTTTGACAGCCTCCTCGAGTTGTTTGGTACGTTCCCGAGCGGCCTGAGCATCTTGTTTTATTTGTTCTTGCAGAGCGGCAGCTTGTTTCTTCCCCTTCTCTACTTCTGCGGCTCTCTGCTTCGCCTCTTTATTAGCGGCATGGGCAGCAGTTGCCGCCTTCAAGCGATCTTCGTTGGCAACGCGTTCAGCCCGAACCATCGCCGTGACCTTCTTGTGAGCAATTTCAACGTCGATGCGAGCCTGCTTAGCCTCCGCTTCTGCACGCTGGCGCGCTTCTATTTCGACAAGTGATGGATTAGGCTTCTCTGGCCAAATTTGACTGAACCAGACTCCCATTCTCGATGTGATACAGAATAAAGCTGTTAATCGTCATGTCGTATGATGGCTTCTATCTCTCGAGCTGAGGAAGCTCACCGTTAAATGTGTATGATGATTCGGAAATTAAATCTGACGGCGTTGGTTCAGAATGAGTGATGCTGGATCACAACGAAGAACGTTTCTTTAATCGACCCCTATCTCAAAATGGACACTCAACGCCAACACCGTAGCCTTTGAGCTGCTCGCCTCGGGTCAAAGCCTTTTCACGACTGCCCTCGAGGAAGTTGGATGTTGGATCACGTCATATCAGAAGTCTTGCGATACCTTTCATCCCTTGTGTGTATTCAGTGGGATGGAACTTGAACTTGTCGTTCGCAAGCGGTAACAACTTTATGTGGAGAAGTATCCAACATTGAAAGACTATATGACATATGTGCAACAAGTTTCAATTTCTTCCAGAGAAGGTGTTGTAGGCAAGTTATTAGATAGACTCCGGGAGAGTCCAAGGAACATACCTTCAATTGAGAAGTCTTTTAGCAGTCAGCTGTCAATACTTCACGGTAGAATTCGGGACCATTATAGGAATACGTAAATGTTCAAACTAGTCACACGCTCATGGATCTGAAGGACATACGCATCGTTCATCGAACAATATATGAACAACGCTTTGTCCCAGATTTTGGTTGCTTTGCAGCAACTTCCGCTCATCATACATCATGCGTGCTCTCAGGCTGTTCTTGCGATTGAGCCCTTCAACAACTCACTCACCAGCCATGTGATGTATTGATCATATTCATGGAGGTGGAGCAAGGCGCATAGTAATCGTGCTTCTGATATTGCAGATACTAAGGCCTCGTATGCACTTGCCTTACGGCCTATCTCATCTGCTTCAAGCGCTGTCGAACAAAGATAAGAAGGCATGCACCCTGTGCACGATAACATCAACGAGCGGGCTGCTGAACGAACTCATACATTGATATTCATATTAATCATGATATACTGTGGATCTTCTTCAGCACACCCCAGAGGTGCGATGTCCTCATGTATTGTGCGTAGCACAGCGACACGTAGCTCACGTATGGCTCACTCGCAGAATGATGGCTTCGTGTTCACAGGTAGCGACTTTTCAAAGCGCTATAATACCTTGCCGATGTAAGGAACTGAAATCTCGTCCACCCCCGTGCCCAATGTTAGGTTACCGCCCATTCAATTCCTCTCCACACCGTTTATCCGAGGTATGGTACAAGGTGCCGTCAGAGCTCAGCAGCACAGTTCTTTACATTTGACTGCAGACATCGTGTAAATGTTCATGTGACAAGAAACCGGGGAAAAACCTGGTTGTCTGCATTGGTACGTACTATAAACTGCTTCAGGTCACAATTGTTCAACTCTCTAGATGGAACATCAAACACCAGAGACGACGTAGGTTGCATCCCTTCGCGATGAATGGTGATGTCAGCATATCCTCACCTAGACCACTCATGTCTTCGAACTATACGACAATATCGTCAAGGATGACGATGAAAACCAGATAGCATACTACGCCAGTGGTGTAGGAACGTGTGTCAGGCCCGAAGGTTTCGTGCTTGTGGAGCAGATTTTGAAGAACTTGGACCTGGCTATTGCTCAGTGGGTGCAATATATTCGACCCTTCACGGCTCGCGGTAACAGCATTGAAGTACTATCAGGCGAAACATATTGAAAGCCTATGAATGGCTCTCGGTCAGATACCATGATGGTGATAAGATCTTTTTATTTGGTATGTCTTTTGAACGTTGCATCAAGTACTCGGCTACACTAAAGATGAGCTCAGGATTTTCAAGGGGTGCATATCAAGTCCGTGCTTTGGCCGGAATGATCCACGAAGTATTTTTCAGTTTTAAGTAATTATCCTTGTTGTTTATTATCATTTTGATAGGTGGGACTTATCACACCTGGAAATGAAGGGAAGATACCAAGGTTAGTACATTCGGTGATTGCTCCTGAATAATCGACTGATCTTACCAGTGCCTTCCAGTATTACTGCGCCATCAATAGCGGGAAGTCCAAGGATATCAATGATGCGAAGGAGTTCAAAATGCAATTCTCCAAAAGCGTAGTCACACATTTCATCGGTGTATGGTGAGAGTTATACCTGAGCGCGATCGTACTAGAATTCCTGACCAACCTTCAAGGGACACCGTTTCATCTGTTGGTGTTAGGAAAACGATGAATTTCCCTTCCACTGATACGTGCGATCACGTTTGCTACTTCCGGCAGGCACTTGCGCTAGATGAGCGCCGGATAAAATTTCTACCCGAGTACGTCTACGGGGGTATGAGCAATCGATCGGACTGGCGTAAATACCGAGCGTCAGCGCCACCTCCCACAGACGAAGGTCGTATTAAGGAGGTTTGGTTTGCGGGTAGTCATTCGGATGTGTATGTGTCCCTGAATCGGATGGCACTCTTTTAATAATTTGTTTTAGCGGTGGTGCACGTTGGAAGAACAAGAGTCACCCCCATGACTTCCGGAACATCCCTCTATTATGGATGCGCGAAGAAGCTCGCGAGGCGGGGCTTCTGCTCAATTTCCGCGAGGTAGCTTTCAGATATGAAGATGAATCATTTCTGGAACCTGAAGTTACCAAATCTTCAAACCTTGCGTGGTGGCTGCTTGAGATATTGCCTATTGGACATCTTTGCTTCAACTCTAACAAGCTTAAAGCGCTGTAAGTGGTAATTTTCGTCAATTTGGTTACCTACTGAGTGCTTGCAGACCGCACCTTGGACGAGGGCGTATCATCATGCCCGGACAAAAGATCCACGAGTCGGTTCTTTTTCATCCAAACTACCGACCTAAAGCGCATTTTTGGATGAATGTCCAGGAATGGCCCGAAGCGGTACAGTGGTATACTGCATCCGCCGAGGAGCGTTTATCAGAGCTTGAATTTGCCTTGGAAATGCTGCCTTTCAAAGGATCGACTGCTAAAGCTCTCGTCTGTCGTGTTTTTGACAAACAGATGCTTAATGGTTTGGTGTTTATGTATTCATGTGGTGAGACACCAGAAGACTGTGACCGGCTGACCTGATAATATTGGATCTCAGAGCTCGAAGTCAAATCATTCACACCGCCAATACATGGGAGGCTAGAGGCCATACTTGATATCGACGACAGACCTATTCAAGGCGCTAAACGTGCAAAAGACAGTGGGGATGGATGGTCTCTGGTAGATTCTGAGAAGAACGGGGATCTCGATAAGACCAAAGAGGACCACAATATCCGTCTAGTGCGCCTCGCTGCATTCATCACGTACTGCGAACATGGTATGTCGAGTCTTTTCATATCGCTGTCTCCAAATTCTCAAAGATGCGCAGTCAAGAGGAAAGACATAATCATCAAATGCGTCCTGGACGACCTGTTTCAATTTTGTTTCTTTTGGATTTCAACTTGCGTCCTGTGGAGAGTGTTGCTCTATGCGGGACTATTAAATACAATTTGGTCGACCAGTTACTGAGCACAATGGTACCGATGAAGACCAAATCTGCCGGTGGTCAACAGGTTTTCCTTCGAAATACCCCCTTCGACGTAGCAAAAGTGAAAGATCGCTGGTCAAATGACGCTTTCCTCATTTATCTACATCGTCCTGCGCAAAGTTAGATGCAGGCCACCCCCGCATCACAAGAGCAATCCCTTTACCACACTGAATTTAGCCCCAGTCCATTGAAGAGCGCATGTATATACCGCTTGGTGAGTCTTCTCTTACAATTCCGCGTATCCGAGTTTCGCTGGATGCGTCATCGGCCTCTAATCAATGAGAATCGTAGCTCACCTCTCTGTCTCAGGTTAGTCCCTCGCTGTGCGTCCTCGCCTGAAACGTCTTGTTGCAATTCTTAATGTAGTATTTCATTTAGTACTCGCCAAATACTTTGTTCCTCATTAGTTCACAACATAATGTCCATCCTTTCCCCTCCAAACACGTCTGAGTGAATCTCAAAGACAAACCTTATAGGGAGCTTCAGGGGGCCTTCCACAACAAAGCACTCGTGATGCCGCCAAACCATCACGCTGCTGCATGCCGACATGTCGCGTGTCTTACTATCATCAAGAACATGATTGAAGAGGAGGAGACGGGTACATCGCTTCGGAGTCAGGGCAGGTCGGTCAATTGGTCACAAGCGGTATCACATTATGAACAAGTCAAAAATGAAGATGCTAACAACACCAGCGGGGAGAAAGAAATACATCACTAACTGCAAGCCGACAGCCAAGATTGGTCACAAGCCGTATGATCATGACGAGAACGGAGGAATATCAACAAGAGCTGAAAGAAGAAATATATATAGAAAGAACTTTATCATCACCGACCACTACCTCTTCATGCTGCTGCTCCAGTATCACGGCGTGCGCGCCTGGTCTGCGCTTCTCCGATCAAGTCGTTCAACAACTCAATCTCGTCGATGATCTTCTTTGGCCGCTTTTCCTTCACGACCCCGAGCATAGGTTCATTAGAAATGATGTAAACCCTTTGTTGAGGCATATTGGCATTCTCCAGGTTGTCTTTCACGCTCTGGCGCGTCTGCTGAATGAACTGCTGTCGTGCAGCCTGGTAAAGTTTCTTCTTCTGGTCCTCGCTTTCATCCTCATCACTATCGTATCCCATATCCTTCATGATGTTACGGATGTGCTGATCCGCCTTAGAGCGCACGATATAGGTGGGGATCTTGAAACGCCTGCAGTTGGTGAGGATAGCGATGTCGGTCATGGTGAAGCGATTGTCGAACAGGACGATGATGCAGTCAAAGACGTAAAGTCCTTGTGCGTTGAAGTACTGCCAATCTGGGATTTTGAGCGTGCCTGCGCCCGGGATATCGTACCAGACATATGGGTATTCTGCGTTGGGGCTGGCGTATCTGGTCATGGCTAGCGTTGTCTCGGTAACACCAGTAGCGGCAGATCCGACATCCTTATTACGCAAACCGCGGAAGGCATTGATGAGAGATGATTTCCCTCCTCCTGCCACCCCGGCTACTGCGAAGTGGAAAAGGTCTTCGCGATATTGAACCTTCCGCTTGGCAGCGCTAACTTCTTCGGGTGTGGGAGTCACCACAGGTTGAATGCCTTCTTTCAACTTGCGTTCAGCCTCCTGCTTGGCAGCATTGGCCGTCTTTACTTGCTCTTCTGCCGCTTTCTTCGCCGCGTTGGCCGATTCCTGGGCGGCAGTCGCCTTCTTCTTCTCATTATCGGCGGCCTCCTGTAGTTTCTTGGCCTGCTCTTGGGCAGCCTGGGCGTCTCGTTTGGCTTGTTCTTGGATAGCGGCAGTTCGCTTACGCGCCTCCTCTGCTTCCGCTGCTTTCTGTTTTGCATCTGCGGTAGCGGTTCGAGCAGCGGCTTCCGCCAATGAGCGAGCTTCGTTGGCGGCACGTTCATTCTGGACCATGGCCATCATTTCCTTAAAGGTCTGCTCCTGCGAGGCTGCCGCGGCTGCCTGAGCAGCCTGCTGAGCTTCCATAAACTTTTGCTGAGACTCTTGATTCGACTTGATGAGCTCGGTGATCTGTGCTCTGGCAGCTGCAGCATCCTGTCGCGCTTGCTCAGCAGCTTTCTCTGCTTGCTGGCGCGCTGCTATATCGGCGAGGGATGGACTGGGCGCTTCTGGGCGACTTCGACTGAATAGACCTCCCATTTCCGAGTTTGCTCAAGAAGGGTTAGTACGTGGACCTGTCAATGGTTACGTCGCATGATGCTCCTATATCTCAGACTGAAGAAAACTTACTGGTATGCGTATGCTTTGGGAATAACAATCAACTAGTAACGCCGCCGTGCAGAGTCAGTCCTGTGGATTTTGAGGATGGGAACGAAGAACCGATATTAAACTATAGAATATATTGTCTAGTACCTTGAGGCGTTTTATATTGTCAATTTGTGACGCGTGCAGACTGAGAGAACGACTGAATACGGTCAAGCGCTGATCATAAGTCACCCAGGGCTGTGGGTTTTTCTACATCCATAGGATTGCGCCGTGAAAGTGTGACCTAAAGGCAACGAAGTCATGGAATGAAATTTTCAGAGAAGGAAGACGTTCTGTGCGTGTCCTTCCATTCTTTGTGCTCGAATTGATCTTCGTAGACCGCATGCTTGATTTTCATAGAACCAGCATCAGACTGCAGTCAAGGCTATGGTCAGGAATGACTTACTAAATCGTTCCATGACGATGAGCAACTTGCTTGATTGAGCGAGAAGGACTCACTGCTCTTAATCCACCACCGCCTGGATTCTGGAACACTATACTGCATCCACAAGCCACGCGTACATGATGCAGCGAAGATATGACACTGCCAACGGTCAAGCGCTATGACAAAGATGCAGTTCGGATCATGATATGATATTCTGTTTTAAGAATGTCTACAGCTTTACATAAGGTACTCTATGTAGGCGTACATAATTTAATACAAAGATGACAATTATATAACACATTTCAGCCTGGCAGCAGCCAGCACAATCAATAATACATAGCCTGGATCTCAACGTCCTTGTCCGTTACCAACATCGACACCTCAAATGATCATTCCTCCACCCCGCCCATGTACATGAAGTCCTTGAACCTTGATCGAAGATCACTGTCCTTCGTAAGCCTCGTGGCAAGATCCAACCACGATGGGATGGTCAAGTCATCCAACTCGTAGGGCGTGTACTCTGACTCCACAGCACCAGGCTCGCGAAGTTCTTCTGGGAGAAGCCGAAGAGGAATAACATATTGGTGATTCGTGATATTCTGTGTTTCTTCGCCGGGATGCAAGTTTGAAAGAGGGAAGGTCATGTATTCGAGCTCGAACTCTGGATCATGCGTCTCATCGAATTCCTCCAGTCTTGGCATATAAAACTGTGGATGACATGTGTTATTTCAGGGAATTAGTACCCATGGGACACGAGCGCACCTGTGCGAACCCTAGAGGCGACCACAACGAGTTGCGTCTTGATGGTGACTCGCTATCGGAATGCCAGGGTTTGTCAGATTGGCACCTCCACGTGTTACGGAACGCCCTGTGTTCACACTTCGGCGTCCTCGATGCGCGAACTTTGCCATGGTTCAAGGCGCGTCGCCTCTGAGTGGCCTTTATCGTTTGAAGATGTAGATCAGAGCCGACATCCTTCGCGAGTGCTGAGAGTCCAGTGACATTATACGTAAAGACTCGGAAGGATGGAATGTAAGGATTTGGTACAACGGCAGAGTTAACGTTCACCACTGCATAGTTGTCGTAGTGAGTGTCTTCGAGGGGTTCCGGAATCTCCGAAAAATCGGCGATGAGTGTCTCAAAGATTGTGCTTTTTAACGAGGTCTCCAAAGACATGTCGATCTCATCAGCGTCCAAGAAAGAGAACTGCACTGAGTTAGTAAACTAAGCATAACTGAGGCAACAGCGCGTACGTGGTCGACGTTTAGGTGCTGAAATACTAAAATCAACTTCGGCCAATTGGAATGAACATTGAGTCTTACCCCATACAAATTACCCAAGATCGTGTCTTGGAATCGCAGGTTCAATTCTACGAAACGTTTGTACTAACAATGTTTAGATGACTGATGCCATATCCGCGCAGAGTACTCACGCATTCGGGAAAGTAGGTCTTTTGCGATGGAGGTACATGTCCTGCATCGACGAATATATTAAGGGTTGTTAGGGTTCAAATAAGGGATCTATAGCGCACCTGTAATCCACACCTACCGAATGGCATCAAAAGATGTTTTTAACAGGATATTTGAGAACTCTTACCTGCATCTGTCGAGATCGGAATGCTTCCAGTTGTTCTTCAAGCCAATCAAGGTGCATATTTCCAGGGTTCTTTGGGTCGGCATAATCACACCCTGCTACAGCTAATGGTGTATATCAACGAATAGATCAACCAGAGAATTATCCATCACTTACCGTGATTTTTCTTATAAAAGTACAAGGTATTAAGACTAATAGCAGCTACCGCATCAGGTATGATCTCCGTCGAGAAGTATGCTCCTTGATGAAATGATGCTGATGACGTCGGGGGTATAAATGCACTCCATATCCTGAACGTTTGATGAGATCTCAGAAGTGACTAACACCTGCGATAAACATACGAAGAGAACTCGTCGAGTATTTGATTAGGTCCTGTTTGCTACGGATTAATGTTGGGCAGAAGAAGTAAAGCAAGAATCATACCAGCAACTAATGTATTCTGATAGAAAGGTAAATGGGATCAGTAGGAAGAACCGCTGTGATACGATGTTCTCACATGAGCTATATTAATCGACAGTCAACATACTTGTCGTGTGCTCAAGAATATGAGAAGCACTTACGCCATATGTCATTATTTCCTAATTGAAGGTGCACTGTTCAGGAAGGGAAGTCTCTGCGAAGAGGAGCAAAAGACTTACCCAAACTTGGCACGACTGGGATGCCTTTCTTCAAGAACACATGCTCCATCTTCTTAGCTACAGCACGATTCAAGTCATAAATTTCGTCGAGTGATCGTGGCAAATCGTCATCATTGTCGTGTCTAGGTGCTCCTGATGAGATTGCGTATCAAGAGGTCCGACACCAATATCATACCTTGCATTGTCACCAGTCCCTGTATGCGGCAAAAGAGTGAGAACCGAATGATACAGATGAACGAAGGTAGGTGCGCACAAATTACAAAATCGATTTCAGAGGTCCAATGTTCGTCTAAAAAGTCAAGCGTGAAATTCGTGAGTCTGAAAGGCGAGTCACAAAAGCTGGACAGACGTTAGCCGACGAATCAGAAGCAAGGATGATAAACACACCTATATGGTGCTCCGTAGTAACCTGCTGGACGCTCCTCCTCGAGATTAGGTCGATGGCATGCAGAGGATTGTGATGAACCGGGCTCATAAAACGGATCGGGGTGGATATCTGTGATGTGCAGAAACCGACCGTGAAGCTTCCTGGGTAAATGTTCTTTCAACCGTTTGAGGGATCAGAGGTGGGATTGAAATGAACACAAAGCACATACGAAGTTCAGACTGTTCAATCAGTGATGTACCCAGTACAATCTGAGTAGGCGACGCGAGGCTCGCGATGCAGCATGATCCCAGGGTAAAAATAAGACTTCGCGTCTTCATGAGTTCTTGGGAAAGTGGTTAGATGCTGGATTATCGGGTCGTAAGACGCATTATTAATAAGGAGCAGCTGGCGAGCAGTGTGTACCGCTACAGTGACCTTGGTGGGTCCGCATTGGAATTCACTAGCAAGCACGTTTGTCACTCTGGCCTATCATGATACAGTAGAAATTATTTGGACGGTCCTTCGTGGACGGAACTGCACGTTTTTGGGTGAGCCCCATGGACCAGTACGGCATTAAAAAGTGACATTTGTGCGAGCTGGCATCCGGGACCCGCGCATGTACCAGTAGCGGTGCAGGACGATGAAACGTTCATAACAGCATCGCGAAAAAGAAGTTATATATATCATCAAATTTGTTCATGTTGACTCATCCACGTATGCCACTAATCGCATAACGGTTGGATAGTTCCATTTCATATATCTAAAATCCCAATCGTATCCCGATAGTACGAGAAATCCTTCGCGTCTCTCACGGGATGTGTAGCCGGCGGAGTCAAGATCCGAAAATTCCGGATCAACGCGCTTAAGCTGTGCCCGGGTGCGGTCAACCCATTATATTTCACACCATGTTTTCTTTTGTCGCAACTGCAAACTGTCGGTCATTGAAACTCTGCAATCATGGCGAGAGTTCGTTCATGCAAAGTCAACAGACCGGTCATCGTCACACATAGGAACTAATGCTCAACGCCACGAGCTCATGATATCGGATCAGTACATCGTGTGAGTTGCAAACTTGCACTATGCAAGTGGCGGGCGTCCTGTTAATGTCAGCGTCTATTCGTGAGGTTTTCATTTACCCTTTTGTGACTCACCGAACAACTGCAGCAATATAATGGCCATTGAATGAAACTGGTGCTTATTCTACATCGTGGGTTAGACGAAACACGCTTCAGAGTACCGACTACGTGAGGCAATCAAAACGTGATTTAGACGAACAGCGTTTATAAGACTCGTATATGCTGTATGTGTTTCCAAACGTGTTTACAATGGCCCAGCTGATCACCGTATATACAGGAGCCCCAAGAACGGCGAGGCTATACCTCATTGTTACCATTGCGCGTCAACTGTTGAATTTCGCTACAACTCAACGCTTGAGGGCAGTGAATGACTGATTCTAGTCTTTCGAAATTCGAGTGGTAAGCTGAACCTGTGCTGTGGGCAGAACTGGGAACTCAGAAGGAGTAAGTTGCTGTGACAATGCGATGGCCGTTTTGCATCCGTACTATGCTAAATGATACTCCTGCTAGATATTCTAATCCCCGTCACGCTGTCTATAATTGAACTTGCACCACATAACCTCGAACAGAGAGTCTAGGGCGCGGCGGCCTGCTCAGAGGATCTCAGAGTACATGCCAACACATGCATCCCGAGGACCCGAAAAGGATGCTGGTATAACAATTTCTTCATGTCAGTGATCACGATCGCACACATAGCCGATCCAAACTGTTCATGTTTATTTTTGATTTGTCAGCTCCTTCGAACGACTTGAATGTTTTCAGAGTCCTCACATAATCAATTGTGGACCACTCAGTGCATCATCGTTGCGTTCAAAGTTCAACTTGTCATGGCTGCAGCTTCGTCTTTTTCTGCTTTGTTATCGTCTTCGCTCAATCCTCTCACTGTGTCGAATCAGTATCCGGCTGGACATTTGTTACCCGTCACTGCTACCTTCCATACCGCACGTCATGGATAATTTTCCTTCAGCGACTCGTGTGACAATGATACTACTACGTTGGATTCGCATTCAGATCACGAGACGTCTGATTGGAAGGAGTACTTGCGCAATATGCATGCATGTGATGTTGAGTGTCAATAATTTAATCTTGTTCGTACTTTTAAAGATGCCCCGGCCGGCGATCACTGCCTGATCTTTTTTCTACGCCATGCCGCCTTACAGCGCTTGAGCCGTAGTCAGTCCGAATGGCTTGTAGCGATGGACGAGGACAAAAACTAAGCCAAGCAGCTTCTATGTGGTTGTGGAGGCAACGCCAGTCGCAATGGTGAGGATGGCACTTTTTTTATCTTGCTTCTCATTCGATGACAAAATGGTGGGTGAACGGCCATAGTAGATGAGCCCGGTGTCATTGGGATGCAGCCTGTGTGCATGCTGTACTCATAATATTTGTTCCAGCTGCCTGTGGGGAATTTGTGCATGCCACTGTCCAAGAGGTAAGCTGTTCGCTCGCTGGATGTGTGATGTGAATTACCGAGTTCCAAGTGTTCAGGAACCGGCACCTTGAACATTGTGTTGAATACACAAGGACGAGAATCAAGGTGTGGGTGGCCTGGCGTCGGTCCGGCAACTCAATGCAAGATGAAAAAATTACTGACAAAACGTATCATCCTCAAAATTGTGGAGAACCATTAGTGGGCTCGTTTTACCTAGTGATACTTTGCATGAATGCCCTCGCTGAAAAGAGTGAGTAGTGAGCAGTTCGACCTTCGGAGTGTTGGGTGCAAATCCGAGGTAGAACAATACTAAAATAGCTTGTAGGAACGTAATTGAGAAGGCAGGTAAAGCAGTACTTGCAATATGGATATTGCGGGAGTCTACAAGAAAGCCTGCTCAGGCTGTTGTACGACGCTGTGGTCGAACTTTCCGTGACAATGCCACACTACAGGCTGCCACGGCGATGGATACGTGGTAGATCAGAATAAGAACTCTGATAGGGGTGCCAAAACGGTGAATTACATAATTAGTGACGCTGGCAAGGCGAGCTGTGATTCGCTGCATTGAAATGCTGTATGCTGGAATCTATGATATGGGTCTTCCACAGCCTTGGTGCATGTAGAGTTGTACTATGCAGCCTATATGAAAAGAATGTTGCCATGTATTGACGTCAATATCATGGCACATGCGGCCCGTTATGGACCACCCTAGATAATATCTGCGCCTCCCTGGCATGCTACAGCCTCTACAGCTGCTGGCAGGCCACTAGTATATATACTTTCCTCTTCGACCTTGATCTTACCAAGTACTCCACTGTGTTTGACAGTTTTACCCTGAAAGAGCACCTCTAACTCCCAGGTTCAAGCGCCCGTCGCTCACAAGTCTGTTCCCAACCTTCAACGTGTATAGTGTAGGTGTTCATATACTCCATTGCGATCGATCAGCAAACCAGAACTGACATGTACATATCCAGAATTCTCGTCCAACCAACAATGTCCAGTTTACCTCTTTCAGGTTCCAAGTTCACTCTCGATGTCTCTGGAGTAGCAGGTCTTCTCGGTGGTGATGAAGCTGTTTCCGCCATGACAATCGTACACGTGTTCCGAGGAAGAAAGTGGTTGGGATGGTACAATTCACCAGGATCATACATTATCGCCAAGAAGTATCGCCAACTCGCCAACTCGCGTTTCTGGGATGGTTTATTACCAGGCATCAACACAGACCCTGCCACGCTGGTTGATCTGAATGCTTCCAAGGGTCCAAAGTTCAAGGGTGTAGAATCTGGATCGATCATCCCCGAAACTAGTCACCTCGCTTCTTTGGTAGCAAAGGAATGCCAAATGGAGCGGGGCATTGATGTTCCAGGGAGAAAAACTCAACCAGTCGGGGCTACAATCATTGACCTCCACTACGTCCCGGATGCAACCACGATACCAAAGCAACCCGCGAGGTACGCCACCGCTCTCGCTTTCATCCCTATGTCAGTGTCTTTCGGCACCTGCATTGCGTGCGCTCTCTTCGGAGACTGGTACGCCTTCAGTATGATCCTGCTCGGAATAGTCGCAAACGGAATATCATCTTTCGTCCTCGGATCCGGGAAATTCACTTTCTCTCATCCCATCCCAGCCCCGGGAGCGCCGCGAGGTGATGGATTACTCCTCGCGGATAACAACATCATCGTCCTACTTGGCGAAGAGAGCGCTGTCAATTCCATTACTCGCGGAAAATTCTCTCTCAAGTTCGACAGTGAAACAGAATACAAAAACATCAACATGTGCTCGTTGATCCTCACAGCGCAATTCATCGCCCAACTGTTGCTCATCCCGCAGGCTGCGCTCTTTGGACAGGTCATGTTCTTAGCCTCGCTCGCAGTCTCCTGGGCATACAATTCGTGGTTATCATCTTTGGATAAGGCTGAGATCCAGAGGAGGATGCTACTGGATGTAGTCCTCAAGCGGCCGATGATGACGAAATACATGTTGGGCACTCGCACTACCATGGCCGTCTTCGTTCTTCTAGCGTTGAATCCATCAGATCCTGCAAAGGTACTTGATGATATCCTCCCAAACAATACCAAAGTGTGGAGGAAATGGAAATCCATCATTGTGTCAAAGCTACAGGACGGCGAAAAGATGCATTTTCAACCAGGCCGATTGGGATGATGTAAGTTTCGACGGGAGTGAGAGCACACTTCTGAAGACCCTCTTAGGAGATGCCCACGCTGCCTATGATGGATATTCTGACTACCAGAGGTTGCGTTAGTTCCGTGATGAATCAACACTCGGCGAGTGTATTTGACTTCCTCATTTGTAATACCCATTGTGAATATTTATGTTCTATTTTTTATTCTCTCTACCCATGTATCCTTCGTTCTGTGTCTCTTGCCTCTGCTTTTAGTCCGATATTTCGAGTGTCTCAACTAGTTTTTGACCATGTATAAGATATACCGCGATACCTCTTGTATGAATCTCCTCTTGCAGATGCATTTCTTGCCACTAGTATCCCGGAAGCTGGGTGACGTCATAAACCATTGCGGCTCCGCACGTTGGACTGCCCAGCTGGCTACGTATGATATCCTGTCATTGTGACCAACCAAAATCCAAATCCTTTGTCATGCAAACAAGGTGAGGCCAACTGCGCATAACGGTTGAAGATGTGGATTAACAATTTCACCATGGAATCACAACCAAAGTCCCCTGTTCCTTTTTCGCCACACAACCGGCTCCACCTGATACTGAAGTACTCATGCATGATATTAGTGTTCCTAGTGTACAAAACTCGTACATGTTTTACAGCGAACTGTAGGGCGAAGGAAGCTGTGCAGATGGTAAAGGAAAGGACGCATGCGGAGGTCTTAGTTTCATAGAAGCAAAAGGTGTGGCATGTATCGGTGGTCTACGGTACCCAGCAACAGGACGACGGATCGCGTATTGAATCTATCCCATGTGAATCCGAAAGATGGTGAAAAAGAACGTAATGCATGCTTTGAGTAAATAGTCAGTCTTCGAGAGAACAGAAGTAAATGCAGGTACAAGCCATAGTTTAAATTTTATTTTCTGCTGCAGCCTGCAGACCAGATACTAGCCAGGATTGCGGGCGGAATGTTACATGTACAAATCTCTTCATTTGACGTGAATTGTGTGAGAAGATAATGAGGCCGGGAAGCAAAATGTGAAACGAGGCGAGCAGCTGGTCTGACTTGAATCCTGAAAGCCCAAAGGTTGATAGTGTCGTCGTGTGAAGTGCTAGCAAGGAGAGCGCTGTCAAATGATAGCGCTAGACCGCGAATAACCTCGGTGTACCCTTCCATCTGACAGTGTCCAGTGTCGATGCATAGAACTCATAGATCGTTATGGGGTCGTCCGTGCACCCTATATGGTTGTCCAGTATAAGTACTGGCGCATATGTCAAGGCAGTCAACGGTTCGTCGGTGTGCCAGGAGCTTGCTTCTCTATTCGGTGGCCTTGAATTTTTTCCACGGTATCCGTCTCAACTACAACTTCAGTGAGCTCGTCAGAATCGAGATATCTTCCAGCAGTTATAACCCATCGATCGTCCCTCGATAATGAACGCCACCGCTAGTGCATGTGCTTTTTGCTCAAACATCTCGCGCCTCCTTGATGTCCTGGGCCTTTCCTGCTTGAAGTAGTTTTCTTGGTTACCGAATGGACCAGCGTCATGGCCTACGTCTCCGAGAGTAAAATTGACAAGAGATGAAGATGAGTACGAGGCGACAGTGAGTTCAAGGATGGTGAAGGCCTAACATGAAACTAGTCGTCAGTTCATCGAGGGTTTTAGTGTTACCAAGCGGATTGCCACGGTAAGGAAGAGAACTCCGAGGGCGCAGCTATTTTGACGCGGTCGTCCTTACTGAGTCTATTTTTGTTTCTTCTCCAAGGACATGTGTACATCCGGATCGGGAAGTTCGGGCCGAACTATCATGGTCGCTGACAACCAGCCTAGTTTTGCTTTCACCTTGACGAATAATTTTGAGCAGATCATCTAGCAGCGACTAAATGTCCTGATGCCGTCGTCCGAACCATCCACCGATGTCGTTGTCGAGCGCACACTTATCCAATCTTCTGCTAATAGTACTTTCCCAACAAACCCTCGCACACTTGCAGATGTCCGTGAAGAGGTCGCCCAGAGCCTCGCACTCCGTATGATCACAAAAGCACGCATTGTCGATGGTGTTCGCATAGGTGTCCACTTCACTTTCTCCAAGAAAGATGATGGTCGCTTTCTCCGACTCATCACTTCCCATATCCGTGCACGACTACCTTCCTCTCGATATCTCTTCGCCATAGCCACAACTGGTGCATCCCCGACAAGTCGTGGTACCAGGGGTGGCGCCCGCACTTCAAATGCGCTCGTTATATGCGGGTCAGATGAAGATGATGTTCAGCGTGCTGTACTCCTCGCATCCTCTAAATTTTTGGGACGCGTAGATGCAGTCCAAAATACGGGTACTCTCCTTGCTGCATCTGTAAGGCATATTGGCTCATCTTATGATGACGCTGCCTTATGGGACGTATTGTCCAAGTCTGTACGCACTCCCATCGACCCTCTTCTTCCTCCACCCGGATCTCGCAGCATTGATCAACTTCTATCTGATGCCCGATCAAAGCTTGAGCGAATGACGCCCCGACAAGCCTATGAAGCTCTTCACGATCCCACATACCCAATGCCAGTCTTTCTTGTGGATATACGCCCAGCTTCCCAACGTGCTCGTGAAGGTGGGATCCACGGGTCCCTCATCATCGAGCGAAACGTTCTGGAATGGCGTTTTGATCCTCGTTGCGAAGCACGACTTGCCATCGCAGATCGCTATGATTTAAAAATAATCATATATTGTCAGGAGGGGTACACCAGCTCTTTGGCTGCGGCATCCCTCCACGAGCTTGGATTGCTGAATGCGACTGATATAGTGGGTGGTTTTGCCGCGTGGGGTGCGGCTGGCCTGCCAGGTCAAATAAGGCCCCCGTCTACTATCAGCGATGAAGAAAGCTATCAAATCAGCCAGCCTTCGTTCGATTCTGATGATGTGATTGATGGTATATGACTAGTTTCGACGTCAATCGCGTATTTTATACCCAGGTTTATGAGCCTTTATTTTATCATGCACAAGTGCTATGGAATTTAATCACGACCAAAGGTACTCGACAAAACGTTTGTCGGCGTGACAGACAGAGGATGTCATATTTGTCTAGTAGCTGGCCCTGGCTTGTGATTTTGTAGTGTTATGAATCTTACGACCAGCATGTTATTAATGAACGTTGGTGATTACATACCTCCTCCTTTTGTTGAAGTGACGGAACTTCAATCTACGGCTCTTGTCTCATCGCGCAAACCATGAGCTGCGTACTATTAGCTTTCATATAGTCCATCCTACGATCTTCCCCAATATCACAATAATATTCTACCTGCGGCATCGACCGCAGCAACGAACTCGCATCACCTGCAACACCAACACGACCGTGACATCGTGAACGCGATGAACTACATTCGTGGCGCTGTGAGCGCAATCAGTGCTCCATACCAGTACTATAAAGACATTAACCCATCTACCCTGACTGGAGCTATCGACGTCATCGTCATTCGACGCCCGCCATCACCAACTCTATCTGCTAGCTCCGGTTCACAGGAGAACGACGTTTACGCCTGCTCTCCATTCCATGTCCGTTTCGGTAAGCTCCAAGTACTCAGACCTGCTGAAAAGAAGGTGCGCATAGCTGCTTTTTTCGTCAAGGTGTTCAATGTATCATGAATGACTGGGAGTAGGTCAACGTATCGATAAATGGCTCGCCCATCCCGTTCAGCATGAAAATAGGAGACGCTGGGGAAGCATTCTTCGTGTTTGAGACGGAAGAAGATATCCCAGAAGACCTCGTTACAAGCCCTCTACTCTCTCCGACCCCAGAACCAGGCGAACTTCAGGGTGACTTTGAACATGGAAGAACTGGAGCTAAGCCGGGTGGAGAAGAGAAGTCAGATCTGAGTTTACGGATGCAGGAACCTGAGTTTCTCGACTTGAACGCATCATCGTCTGGGTTGAAACATCCCATTCCTATTCATGCAGGCGCGAAACCAAAGCTTGGCTCGAGTAGCGCTCCTCATACCCCTCCACCAGAGGAACCTTTTGTACAACCAAGTGATGTGCCCGGTCCAGATGTTCAATACAAAGCTGGTGCGTGCGTTTTGTACGATCTTTGATATGTTTCTCAACGCGTTACAGATGTCGCGCTTGATATGGAGGGATATCATTCTGCTCAAGCACCCGACGCGTCTTCTGCACGCGTATCCCGTGAGTTTCATGTAATTCGTTGTACGCTGAGCTAATGGGCTACAGATTCTCAATCTCCAGCCCCAACTACTATCCCCTTCCCATCGACCAGTCTTCCAGTCGATTCCCCTCTGAGCAAACACCCCTCATCGCTTTCCACAACTACGTTTCCTGCCTGCCACCCTGTTTCAGAGTCCCAAGAAGATGTCCCACTTCCTCAGTACTCCTGGGAATGGGGCGCGTTCCCCCAGCCCTCACCAATGACGACACATTTCTCATCTACCCACTTATTGCGCATGGGCACTGTGGATGAACATGCGTCATCCGATTTTGATGCTGAAGAGTTTTTGACGCGTAGTAGGAGTGTCCCGCTTGAGCTCGAAGGCAGTCCACATACCATTCGCTCGTCTCTACCACCTCAAGATGAAACACATACTCCCGAAGATGAGCAAGAACACGACGTCGGACGTGATCAGCTTCCACTTCCACTCCCTGAGCACAGATTTGGTTCGGGTGGTGTTCTTACCACATACCCATCTGACTCACGTACGTTCCTTGTTCACATCGAGGGCCAAGCGTTGTCATTTTCTCTCTCACTTGTACCTACGTCAAAGCGCGGGATCTTCCATGGGAGCGATGAAGTGGAAGTTGTGCGTCTATTTGAGGCGGGGAGAATTGACTATAGGCAACTTGTCTCTGAGGAGGTGGTGATCGGGGAGGTGAGGACGAGAGTGGTAGAAGATGAGGGGTTGGTGATCAAATGGGCAGGTGGGCAGTATATCACGAGGGAAGATGGGAGCCCGTTGATGGATGCTTTGAGGTTATGGGTTGAGAATGCGCCGAAGGAACCATCGAGGGCGATGTCGGAGCCTCCGTTGGCCATTTCAGAATCACGAGACTTAGACCAGAGAGAGGAAGAAATGGTCAGTAGTGCCGACGAACGAGAACCGGTATCGAGTGGGGACGAACGAGAGATGAAGCGTGCGGATTCTGAACCGCCAGAGACGCACCGGAAACCGACGTCGAGCAGTTGGGTTAGATGGTGGGTTCGAAGCCGGGATATAACAGAGGCTGACCGACCTCCTTTGAGGGTGTCGAATACTTCCCCACTGGAATCTGTGAGTTTCGCGAAGTTCAGAAGGATAGCGGCTCATGATGCTTTCCTAGTCACTGCCGAAACCTGCTCCTCTTGTGGCTCGTCATCTGACGTTTCCTCAATCTGTGTCAGCCCCTCCTGCCACACCCGCTCCAGGCATCATGGAGCCCTTGAGTAAGGCATTGGAGGGAAAGATCGCGAGGACACAAAAGAGGTATGCCAAGACGCTGCGCTTGACCTCTGATCAACTGGTAAGTCTTTAAGATTCTGTGCAGCTTACAAATATCCGATGTTTTCTCTAGAAATCCCTCGACCTTAAGCCTGGTGCTAATACCATCACATTTTCCCTGTCTAATTCTACCGTGCCCGCATGCACAGCGCGGATATTTGTATGGGACTCGACTGATCTTGTCGTCGTGTCTGACATAGATGGTACAATCACCAAGTAGGTTTCTCCTAGTGTCCATGTACGCATCTAACATGAGCTCTTCTTAGGTCCGATGGACTTGGCCACGTTTTTGCTATGATCGGTCGGGACTGGACGCATTCCGGTGTTGCCAAGCTATACACCGATATCAGGCGCAATGGGTACAAGATCATGTACCTTACCTCACGAGCTATCGGACAGGCGGATTCTACGCGCGACTATCTCAAGGGTATCAAGCAGGATGACTATCAGCTTCCTGAAGGCCCTGTTATCATGAGCCCCGACCGGTTGATGGCGTCGCTGCATCGGTAAGATTATCAAGTCATTCAGGAAGCGGATATACTGATGCGTGCACCAGCGAGGTGATCATGCGGAAGCCCGAAGTATTCAAAATGGCATGCTTAAGGGATATCCAGCGTCTTTTCGGTGAGAGCTCGCGCACGCCGTTCTATGCCGGGTTTGGGAACCGGATAACGGATGCACTGTCATATCGCAGCGTGAATATTCCGAGTGCGAGGATCTTTACTATAGATTCCTCTGGTGAGGTCAAGATGGAGCTCCTCGAGCTCGCAGGGTATAAATCATCGTCCGTAATATTCTGTGCTTGTGTGTTCGGCGCACTCATTCATTTATTGTTAGGTATATACATATGACTGACATTGTGGATCAGATGTTCCCTCCGATACATCGAAAATGGGCAGCGGAGTTCACAGATTTTAATTACTGGAAGACGCCAGTCCAGCAATTCGCCCTTCCTGACCTTACACCTCCTTCCCCTGCCCTGAGCGCGCGATCAGATACGTCTAATCAGAGTGCACTTGCACGGTTACGCAACTTCAGCCTCGTCGGACGCAGACAATCGCGGGACATGTCTCAGTTTTCACTTCCACCGCCTGTGATAGCGCGCGAAGGCACGCCGGGTCGAACGATGGGCCTGCGCAGTACACATTTGCGGCAGATATCATCTCTGGAACGTCTCAGCGGTAGACTGGTAGCGCTCGCGCAGTCATCTCCATCTAGTGGCGTAGATTCGCGCTCGTCATCGTCGACGTTCTTGGATTCTGATGAAGAGGATGTAGATATGGAGGACGGGAGTGTGCGGAAACGGCGTCCAAGGACCACGAGTATGACGAGTATGCCCGGGTCATTGGATAACGAGCAATTTGGAGTGGACGGTAGGGATGAGGACGAGGAGGGGTATGGCTATGGATACGATGGTGGAGCGGAGGGTGGAGAGAATGAGGAGGAGGCTGCTGAGGAGGCGTTTGATGAGGATTTTCTTGCTACGGGGGAGATGAAGAATGTACCGTTTTTGTGATGCAGGCGATGGGACCTTGGTAGTGTAATCTGACAAGGCATTGATATTTGATTTGGATAGAATCAGGGACGGCAGATTACGCATGTATATTGATAGCACATTTGATAGATGTGAAGGCTTTTGTGTCGACAGCTGTTCCGACAATGTCAGATCTCACAGCGTTGTAACGGGGAGCCCTGTGCAAGAGCCGGTGGGACGCAGAGAGGCTAGGAGAGCAGGCTCGGAGTGAGCATGAGACGGTTGTGAGCATCAAGAACAGAGTGGAGATCGGGGTCTAGGCGGCTACACAGCCTGGATGTACTCATACTTTTACCCATTATGTATGTAAGTCACATTAGGCCAAAAAGAGAAACTCATGATTTCCTGATGGCCCCAGCCCATGCACAACGTTGCTCATTGGCATGATGATATTTAAGACGAAATGACTATCTTTTTTCTACGTGAAGTACTGGACCCATGCTAGTGCTGACTCCATCGAGCACAATCATTCTGCCTAGCGCGAGTGAGTCTACTAAGTTTATAACAGTACTACGAGTACTTAGCTACAACTCACAGTCACCCGCAATCATTCCTACGTCTATCAAGCCATGCCGTGTTGCTGTTTATAATCCTCAAATCTTTCCCACTACTATGGCGACCTCTGACAAGGGTCTGGTTAATTTCTTTTCAGCAGTCGTTGGTCTTCGAAATGGCAGCAGATAAAAAAAGCGATACGCCGAATTCATCGTTACGCCAGAATTCGGTGATATTTGTGTTTACAAAATGTGTTCACATCGGTGCCGTTAAACTGCCTCTAAATTTAATGTGATGTGACGCTTATGTTTTGCTAGTAACTCGCACACGCTGTCATGGTAGTCTGGTAGACAAACCTTACCAGACAGACGCGCAAGTCAGTGCTCTAGTGATTAACGAGGCGAGCACTTTGTCTGGTTACTTTCGCTGAGGGCAGTGGTAGTCGTTGCATATGCCAGTATTTAGATAGCAACAGTAACACTGCCCTCTAGATCTCATGAGGGCACACTCGAGTATAAAGGCAGAGACACCTGTTTCCAGTAAGTCAACCCGATTTCTTTAGGCCTAATCTGTACACAGTCGATTCGGCCAATTTGATGCATTTGCACAAAGGCTTCCAGACAGGTAAGCGCAATGACTGGACTACGGGTTTCCGGTTTTCTCATTTGTTCCTTGTTTACAGTTCTCTTGCTACTACTGGTGCACGCTGCCAGAACAGTCGTTGCGGCAGCTAACTTCTCTCAGTGTCTGAACAACATTGTTCAGAACGCAAATGCTACTCAAGACTTTAATGGTTTACTCGACAGTAACGGAGATCCCGTGTCGAGTGTTTCTGATGCAACATCAATCAGTTACTCGATGTGTACATCCCGCTGCGGGACTGGGCAAGAGGCTTTCCAGTGGTCTGAATTTTCGCAAGAATTCAGTGCATGGCTGCTGCCAAATCTTGCACTTATTTCGCAGCTCCCCTTTGGGGCAGAGTACAGACTTCATAATTTCATGTCTGCTGTGTTAACTGTTGGTTCACCGACACTTGCTGGTTACTCTCTATTCGTCACTCTCCTTAACTCTCGCTGGATCACTTGCGAGTTTAACACGCTGAACTACCATCCTAATTCACGTTTCGCGCTCTCCATCTTGAGCAGCCTTCAGCAAGTTCCCCTCAGACTGCATCCTGATCGCGATCGATTACGCTCTCTCATCCTTCCGGAAAATCACTGGTGGAAATATCTCGCTGAATTTGTGGACTACACTCATACGTGGTCAATCGCATCCGCAACCTCCATTACATGGGTCGTTGTCGCCTATATCCTAACTGTTACCAACACACCATCTGAAGTTTATGCGAATTCTCTATCCAATGGAGAGGCCACTGGCGCAATATGGTTGTGGTTGATTCCGATCGTCGTCGGATGGCTACAACTCTCCCCCAAATGCGACTTCAATCGCTTGCAAGCTGCATATGACCGTGCAGACAGACACAGTATGCACACAGGAACGTCAGACGAAACTGTTGGGATGCCTTCTGCGTCATCCCGGAGAGCGTTGGCCATAACTGCTGAAGAGGATGATGTAATGTCTCCGGATGAACTCTTCACCCCCCCGGTGTTTAATTACTCGCGTTCGCTGCGATGGGCATCTACAGCGGAGGCTATCCTCATGTTGTTCAAAAAGGAGTTAGAGGCATCAGAAAGGGCTTATAGCAATCTTCCCGTTCGTGAAAGTAATGGGGACGAATCTGGCATTGACGACTCTACTGAAAGTATCGAGACCATCCATGACGGAAACCGACGCAGGTCCTCCCAATATGTCGTCGTGGACTACACGGAACCCGACGGAGAGAAGAGTCCATGCACCCATTGGGCACCTGGTGTGTTCACAAGAATGTTTATCGCTTCCTGCGCTTCGCTTGCATTACAATGGGGAACAGTTGGAGCAGCATTGCTGGTGGCGTGGTTCACTCCTACAACAGTGGGTCTTCTTGTATACTTGTGATAGAATTAGCTAACCGTCTGACAGAAAATTGGGTGTCGGTCTATGGGTTATCTCATTTACGGCGGCATTTCGACTTTAGTTTGGATGATGCTCCTGATGTCCAGCATTCTCGCCCACTCTTCCGTTGCTGCCCACTCTTCCACCACTTACCCCCGCCGGGTATCGCTATCCACACGCGTTGCCGTAGCAGCTTCGCACGTCCTGCGGTGGACAGGAAAGTTGTTTGCCATATTAAACTCTTGCGTCGTGATCATGGCGTGTGTATTCCAGTACTCCGGCTTCTACGATGAGTGTTTCTGCAAATCCAGCGTGTTTAGCAGGGGAGGTGCAGCGTACTACGTGATCATCGAGACCGCAGCTCAAGCTGCGCAGGCTAAGACTGCCTGGATCAGTGCCATTGTCTTAGCATGTGCATCAGCATCAGCCTTTCTTATTATGCTGAGTCTTTTGTTGGACACTCTACCAGACTCTACCACCTTAGGCAATCGGGAGGAGTAGCTTGTGCCAGTGGTATAAGACTATTTGTAGTAACTATACCATGTTCGAAGTTCGAACAGGTGGCTCGACTTAATAAAACCATCGTTTTATTGTACGATAAATGTTTAGGCCTGCAGGGAGATCATTCCTATTATTCTTTTTCACTCTTGTAAATAAACAAGACACACCGTGACGTGCACATTGGAAGATGCAAGATAATACGATGAAAGGGGGTATACTGGAAATTAGTAATACCAAAAAACTAAGGTTCAGGTCCATCAAGTTGTCCAATCATCAATAAGGTTCAACAGGACGAAACCCCATCCTCGAAATGTCCACGGTTAGCATGTGGTTTGGTTTGTTATCACCGTCGAGTTCTTATCTCCATTGAAGAAACTCCGAGTCGAAGGTGTCTGTCCGAATTCCGCATCAGTCACGGTGGTATAATTCCTAGTCAAGTTCATTTTATTCGCTGAACAGTGCAGAGCTCAAATGACTTCTACTACAAGCCAACTGGAAAAAAGCCTAAGAGAACTTCAGGTGAATGACTTCATCCTCAATCATTTTGGCGCGTGCTGCCACTCATTTTTGTCCACAGATCTCAGAGTCTGACTCACAAGAAACCTCTACCGTGGTGCGATGGGTGCCCTCGAAATACAGCTCAGACGTATCTCAGTATGTTCTCGTAAGGCCTCCACGGGCTCCATGCGGCAATCGTCGGCTGTTTGGTTTTCCTATTGTCAAGAGAGAAGTTTGGGACATTGGGACAATTGCTTTCAAGCAAATTTGGCCAGACGAAACTTTACCAGACGACCATTTCTTCATCGCCATGAATTCCCTTACATTCATCGAGATATATCTCAAGCTTCGCGTTTGTACCATGGCACGTGCAAAGGTGGTTGGAGATCCGAAGAATATCCCACCGGACTGTATGTCGTCCGGAAAGGTGCTGTTGTTAGTATTGTGGAGGGATACAGAATCCGATGAGGCCTGTCCAACGCCGAGTCAAGTGCATTCCCTGGAGGTGAAGCTTAAGCGCTCACCGGGATGGTGGGTAGAAGTCCCAGTAAGTATGCATGTCTATTTTGAGAATCGTTCAGCTGACATCCTTGGATTTTTAGCAATTTTGATGAATATTCCACCATTCCGGCTGTGTCATCTACCACATTTTTACTAATTTTCATTCATTTTCTGGCGTAGAACTAATAACTCTTGCACCGTGACTTTGTCTATGATGTATATACTCATCATGAGACACAGATGAACCTTGAGTATGGAAGGAATACAATATTGTTTGTCGATCCACGGCGCTACGTGAGAATCTCGACTTAATTGACAAACACCTCTTCATACGCAAGTGTCTTTGTTTAATCTATTGTTTGAGTCGTCTGACGTTGATTCGTTCCTGTACGTGCATTGTTGCAAGGTGTTCTTCTGCTGCTACGTGTGCTGGTCTCGAGGTAAGTTGTTAGTGATCACTGATGATGTGCATTTGGAGCGTGTTGACCCACCCACTAGGATTACACCACGAGTGGTACTCACGATCCCAATTTGTTTATCGGGCACTTATCTGTGTCGCTTAATTAGTGCAACTTACAATTTCATTCTCTGCACTGCACACTAACTTTGGCCAGCTCACGGTGAGCCGCAAGTAAACAGTAGGCGCCTCATGAGGATTATAACAGCATCAAATTCAAGGATTCGTCGCTCTTTTTCCTGCCCAACTTCAAGATTTATATTTGCAATATTATATCTAACATTGATGTACACCGCATCGTTATATCTCCACTTCCATCCCACTCTGCGATAATAGCAGCCTATCATCCATTTCTTCATAAAGTCCGAACATTTCTTGACAAATGTTGCAAGGTTCGATGGACACGGAACAGACGCTGGAACGTCAGTCGTGTTCTTTTCATACTTTCACGCCACATTGCCTTTGTAGCAGCTGGCATGACCTCATACGGTGAGCAGCTATCCGTAATACATCCGGGTGCGCGACATCGACAAATGACTAACTGCCATTGCTACACCAGCGAACGAGAATGTCGGTGTGTTTTGCTTATGGTCGTTATATGAACTCAAGGACATCGAATACAGTGCTCGCGCTTCAGCCAGGCTTCAAATGGTGATAACAGTCAGCGCCTTGTCACTGATTTTCACTGCAGCAATTCACATTATCAGTATTGTAGCTGCCAAAGGTTCGCTTCATGCTCCAGTGTCTTCTGGGCCTGAAATCTATCTCTTTATTATATAGGTCTCTTGATCATTCGTACATATGCGTTCTGGCAGAAGAACAATAAGCTCTTGGCAGTGTTGCTGGTCTGGTCATGTGTGCTCATCCTTATCGTCTGTTGATATCGCGACGTAGATTTGCATCGCGTGTGCTGTCAGTATCACACAAGTTGTCAATAATTTAGTATCACAAGCAAACCCTCCCCCTTCAGGTGTGTTTGCCTTTCTTTTATTTCCTTGTTGTAGACGACAACTTTGTTTTTCAAGATCCCCCCACAAGCAACTGTACTTTTGAAGCGGGTCGCAGCAGTGCCATTCAATATTATGGCTTTCTCGTGGCCTTCGAACTGGGTAAGGATCTTGTTCCTGTTTCATTTCAGCATGACTTTTCAACCCCATTCACCTAGTACTGATGTCTTTGACGGTATTCAAGGGATATCAAGACTACAGGGATTCCGACAGCCCTCTAGTGAGAGCCGTCTTCCAGGGCAGGGTGCGGTATATGACTGCCATAATTTGTGCGGTGACCTTTTGTTCGATTTAATATGTCCTGTACTCAAGTCCCATTTACCACTACTTGCTACATTATGATCAGATTTACAGTCCCAGCGTGGTGGGACAAGAAGCTCGACACTATTGTCAACAACTAAAGCTCTGAAATCATTTGTTGGCTTGAAAGTCTCGCTCATCCTCTGCTCTCGTCTGTCGTCCCATACTCGTCTGAGCCATGTCAGCAGTTGCTGACATGCACTTGGGTATTTGTGCATGGCGTTTGTGGTGTTGTGAACAGCGTGGGGAGCTCCCATGGTCTCGAGAGACCTCTACAACAAAAGAGGCGGCCCATCGTCTGCAAGCTTTGTCGAACCTGGTTAGAAATCGCGCTGATCCCGGACGACCATCGGATATGAGTTCGGTGGAGTTACTTGAGTGGCCCCTTCTCCTACCACAGATAGCTGATATTATTGCAGTGAGCAGTAGTGAGGACTCGAGATTCTACACTCACTTACCGGCGATGACGCAGAGGTAGAAGTCCAGGCACTCGGGGGTGGTTGGCGTAGTGTAGTCGAAGCATTTAGACTGGCAAATCCCTGAGAGCAGGCAGGTGAGGTTGTGAAATGCTGATGAGGTGGAGATGGCCGCACAGTTTGAGCTCAAGGTTGACGAGATGACATGACAATGCTTATGTCTTGGAGAGTCGCTAGATGGTATATATGGGCTGCACTCATGACTTTGAAGAAGATGATATAATTGTTCAGACATTTTAAAGGCCACAATCAATGCGTGAATTCCACGCATTGATGGAAATAATTATAAGCCGTAGGCACGGTTTGCAGTAATCGTTATCACTGACTTTTTTTTTTTTTTTATCAATCACTGGCATCAAAATTTTCAACACGGCTCAAAAGCGCCCACTCACCATGGTTTTTACTCCATCAAGCATAATTGCAGCTTCGTTGTTTCGTTCGACGCGCGATTCCACTTATGACAGTATACTTGACCGTGGACTGCGGCTACAACCGTGGCATCACTGATCGGTCTCGGCACCGCCCACCTTTGCCCCGTGGTGATTTCTCCACCATCGAGCAAAACCACGACCTTGATCGTTTCGTCCTGCACAAACCAACTGTGAATTGTGGTAATGCAGTCGAATCCATATCACTTCCATCATACATGCATCAGCTTCGATGTCACCCACCTCGCCCACAGTGATTTCTCCAATGAGTCAGTTGCATTCGTATGACTCCCCTTACTATGACTCACCTTGCCACGAGTAACGGACCTTCTGCCAGAAAAACTGACAGACTTCAGATCTTCAGATAAGTTATCCGGAGTTACAGTCTTTTCACTTTTGGTTAAATAACTTGCGCCCATAAAAAGTTGCCGTGCTTCGCAGAGTTCAGAGAAGAAAGAAGACAGAATATTCATCGTCTGTGAAAGACTGTGATGTACCTAGTATGTGGCGTTAGGATGATTGAAATAGCCAACAATATTATCATTGGACGTGAGCCCATCCGAGTCGTACAGAAAAGATGAAAGTATGCCATATTGCCTAGGCCTACATGTCAGCATCATGGGAATATGAACATAAAACATACGCCGAGGCCCGAATGAAAGCATGAAGTAATAGTACTAGTGGTTGAATAGGATTTCTAGTACTCAGCCCGCCCAACAGCCAGCTGCACTTTTTTCGGTGTTGCCCGTGTTACTACTCCAAACCAACTGGAACGAAGTCTAAGAAGACTTCGGGTGAGTGACTTAATCTTCAACCAATTTGGCCGTACTGCCACCCATTTTGTCCAAAGATCTCGGAGTCTGACTCACCAGAAATGTCTACCGCAGTGGAATGGGTGCCCTTGACATATAGCTCAAAGGTATCCCGGTACATTCTCGTAAGGCCTCCCCGGTCTCAATGCGGCAATCGTCGGCTGTTTGGTATTCCTATTGTCAAGAGGGAACTTTGGGACATGGGGTCCGCTGCTTTCGAACACATTGAGCCAGACGAACCCTTACCAGACGACCATTTCTTCATCGCCATGAATTCCCTTACATTTCTCAAGATATATCATGGCCTTCGCGTTTGTATTTTGTCACATGGAAAGGTGGTCGGAGACTCGAAGAATATCCCACCGGAGTGTATGTCGTCCGGAAAGGTGCTGTTGTTAGTATTATGGAGGGATACAGAATCCGATGCTGCCTGTCCCACGCCAAGTCAAGTGCGTTCCCTGGAGAAGAAGCTTGGACGCTCACCGGGATGGTGGGTGGAAGTCCCAGTGTGTATGCATATTCATTTCGAGAGCCGTTTAGCTGACATGTTTCATGTTTTTTTATAGCAATTTTGATGAATACTGTGGTATGATTCCATGACTGGCCGTATTTCGTACCCCGTTTGTACCAATCTCATTCATTTTTGCGGTAGGACTGATGCCTTTTGCACGTTATCTGTGATACATACACTCAATGGGAGGCCAGTGAGCAATATATCGATATTGAGGATGAACATGGAGGACTGTACATGTAAGACTATTTGTTGATCATGATGGCGCCACGTCATGCGTCATGACTTGCATTCGCTCTCAGTTCATGGTATTTCATTAAAGGATAGCTTACGGCTGCCTTAAAGAACACTTTGTAGGCTATACTTGACCGCCTGTTTCACTTGCGTCGGCCAAGGTGAAACATTAGCCTGTAATGGAATACTTTGTGAGGTGATGGTCCAGTTCTTCCAACTATCATGGCCTTTGCAGCGGATGCAACGCTATGGAACTAACGATTGTCTTCAGCAGGTACCGTGACACTACTCGAGGGGCCAGAATCATTATCAATAGCGGGCCTGCAGTACATACCGTAGACCTTGCTGCCGCTGGATAAATGTATTCGAGGAATCTCTTGCAGTGACAGCCCGTACCCAGCCGCATCCAAGTTTTTTGGCATTGCCCTGTAACAGCGAGTCACTTGCCGTGATATCCTTACTCCATATATTGAGCATAATCACTGGTGCGAACCTTCGAAACAATAATGGCATACAGTGTCCACTCAGTGGCGTGGGTGTACTATGTCGAAGTATTACATATTACAGACCCCAAGTTTGTTGAACGCCTCTTCGACGAAAATGACCTCTACTGCAGGCCAACTGGAACGAAGTCTAGGAAAACTTCAGGTGAGTGACTTCAATCAATTTGACGCGTAATCACTCGTTTTGTCCAAAGATCTTAGAGTCTGACTCACAAGAAATGTCCACTACGGTGCATTGGGTGCCCTCTAAATGCAGCTCAGACGTATCGCAATACGTTCTCGTAAGGCCTCCCTGTGCTCCATGTGGCAATCGTCGGCTGTTTGGTTTTCCTGTTGTCAAGAGAGAAGCTTGGGACATTGGGACAATTGCTTTCAAGCAAATTTGGCCAGATGAAACTTTACCAGACGACCATTTCTTCATCGCCATGAATTCCCTTACATTCCTCAAGATATATCTCAGGCTTCGCGTTTGTACTATGGCACGTGAAAAGGTGGCTGGAGACTCGAAGAATATCCCACCGGAGTGTATATCATCCAGAAAGGTGCTGGTGTTAGTATTGTGGAGGGATACAGAATCCGAGGAGACCTGTCCAACGCCAAGTCAAGTGCATTCCCTGGAGGTGAAGCTTAAACGCCCACCGGGATGGTGGGTGGAAGTCCCAGTGCATATGCATATTCATTTCGAGAGCCGTTTAGCTGACACCCTTTATTTATTTAGCAATTTTTATGAATAGCGCCCCATAGTTCCATGACTGGTCGTGGTACTACCTACCCCGCTTGTACCAACCTCATTCAGTTTTAGCAGTAGTTATAAAGCTTGCACGTTATCTGTAATACATACACTCAAGTGACTCAACTGAACGAACACGGTCAGACTTGGGCCATTCGGCAAGACACTTATCACACGTCAGTCACATCACATGACGTTCGACGTCGAAAATTCCGGACGAGAATCAGTGGTACACTGGTACCTTATGTTCATCGGTTCACTGATGCGTAACAGCTCGAGTCACTCGCCGTGATATCCTTACTCCACGAGCATAATCAGCAGCGTGGGTAGGCTCGTGACTAGCCTGGCGTATTCAGACTGGTTACGAGTCTACAGTGGCGTGGGCCCGGGTGTATGCCAAAGTATTACATATTACAGAGACCAAGTTTGTTTGAACACCTCTCGAATCGAAAAAAATGACCTCTACTGCAAGCCAAGTGGAACGAAGTCTAAGAAGACTTCAGGTGAGTGACTTCTTCATAATCAATCAATTTGGCGCGTAATGCCACTCATTTTGTGCAAAGATCTCAGAGTCTGACTCGGACTCACAAGAAACCTCTACCGCGGTGCAACGGGCGCCTTATAAATACAGCTCAGACCCATCTCTGTATGTTCTCGTAAGGCCTCCCCGGTCTCCGTGCGGCAATCGTTGGCTGTTTGGCTTTCCTATTGTCAAGAGCGAACTTTGGGAGATGGGGACCATTGCTTTCAAAGAAATACAGCCAAATAAAACTATGCCAGACAACCATTCCTTCATCGCCATGAATTCTCTTACATTTCTCAGGGTATATATCGGTCTTCGCCTTTGTACTATGGCGTTCGGAAAGTTGGTCGGAGACTCAGAGAATGTTCCATCGGAGTGCGTGTTGTCGGGCAATGTGTTGTTGTTGGTATTGTGGAGGGATACAGAACCCGAGGAGACTTGTACAACACCAAGTCAAGTACATTGTCTAAAAGTGAAGCTTGAGCGCTCACCGGGATGGTGGGTGGAAGTCCCGGTGCGTATGCTACTCACTTCGAGTCCGAGAGCCATTCAGCTGACACTTTTTTTTTCATTTCTTTAGCAATTTTGGTGAATAGTGCGCTAGCGGCGTTCCATGGCTGGCTCTGTTACCTACCCCACTTGTACCAACCTCATTCATTTTTTTCCGGTAGAACTTATAACTCTTGCACGTTATCTGTGATACGTACATTCAACGTGAGACTGAGTAATATATCGATATTGTGGACAATCCTTGGTACCACGTGACTCCTACTTGCGATCAGTCTCTGGTGTTGTCCAGACCTTCACATTGATTCTACGTGTCATAGCCTTCGCCCTTCGCAGCAGAGGACTATTTAAGCTACATAAGCGCGCGGGGCACCATACACGGCTAGTAGTACCAGTGCCATGCACAAGAGGCGTGGCAAACGATATATATAGGCGATAACTTGAACAACGCCCAAGTTCAATCATTTTGCTTGCTTGCTAACCTCTTGGTATGATTAAATCTCACCTGAACATGCAGCACCATGGAATTGATGATTGTCTTTGAACAGGTACTCTGTACTCGAGGGAGCCAGAATCATTGTCAATAACGGGCCTGCAGTACAGAAGACCTTGCTGCCACTTTTAAAACGTGTCCAAGGAAACTCTTGCACGTACCTGGCTATTTGTCCCTTGCTTGCAAAGACACAGGCCATGGCATCTACATCAACGCAGTCCACTACTACAAACACCACGATGTTTCTAGCACCCGCAATGACCTTGCGGGGTCATGAAGACTATATTCGCTCTATATCCTACTTTCAGAACGGCGAGCGAATGATCAGCGGATCTGATGATCTTACAGCTCGGCAATGGGATATGCAATTGGGTAAGGAAATTCGAAAGTTGCGGGAAGTTTGTCAACGGCAAGTTCGTGCAGTAGCAGTTTCAAGGGATGGTCGATGGGTTGTCACTGGCGGTTCGCATTCTGGTCGCGGTGAGCTCAAAGCGTATGATGTTCAGACGGGCATCGTCCGGACGTTTGACGGCCACTCAAAAGAAACCTATTGCATTGATATCTCAGCGGACAGCTCGTCGCTTGTGAGCGGGGCCAACGATCGCTCGGCTCGGATATGGAGCTTGGAGACTGGAAAATTGGTAGCTGGACCATTCACAAGTTCTCAGGGTCTGGGCGCAGTTCGATTCTCGCAAGACTCGAAGAAACTTGCAGTAATGTCAGACGTGGGGAAATGCCTTGAAGTGTGGGACGTACACAAACAAAAAATGGACGTTAGAGCAGGGAAGTTTGGTTATGACCCCATGACATATGCATCTATATTCTGGACAACGAAGGACTTGACCATCGTTGCCGCATTCAGCTTCACGGATGACCCTGCCAAGACGATCTATGAGTTCGATGCATCCACCCTAAAGACTGTTGGAACACCCTTCGAAGGGCACAGCATGGTTCTTTCCGGCGTAGCGCTTTCATCTGATGATACTCTCCTCGTCACTGCCTGCTACGAAACTATCAAGCTCTGGGCCTTCGAGTCCCGCCATCTCCTCGCCTCATTCAACGTTCTGCCTGTTGACTCCTTAACCCTTTCACCCAACTCACGTCAACTAGCTTACACGAGTGGTGGTGCCATTTATATTTACAACACTCCGGCCGAGATCCTGGCTAGCATTGGGCCTGCGTCGGATGCACAGGCCAGTGTACCTAGACTTATTTCGATTATGCGAGAGCTAATACATGCATTTTTACAGACCAGTGCACACAAAAAGTCAGACCTCACTGATCTGCTGAAGGTATGTGTAATACATGTATCGCATTCTTCTACTCATTCTGCTACCCATTCATATCTCCAATCTTGCAGTCTGATGCAACCCGCGGTGGTCGTGCTGTGCGCCGTAACCCAATAACCATTTCGTACCCCCCTAGGCCAAGACCTCCATCTACAGTAGACCCACAACAGTCCATTTTCGTCCGTCGCTTCCGCAAACTCCTTCGATTACCTCCTCGCGCAAATGCACCTTCGAACAATCGGCCTCGTGACCCCCTAGATGTGTGTCTTTTGATCTTTTTCCCACCGCAATTGATTCGAAGATTGTTGTCCAGTTCCCTGCTACATCCGCCCTACCTCCCAACCACTCTTTCTTACCCCAGGCGACAAATGTCAGTCCTCCCTTATAGTTAATTAACAGCCCATGACTAAGTGCATGTCCAGTTAGAAACAAGTCCTCCCCGCCACGCGAGCGGCCTTACGCAGTTCCTGCGGCAGCACCTTTCTTTTCGGTCAAGGCCCAAGCACGAACCACCGGAAATTGAAGTCGCACCCGGACGCAAGTTTACTGTAACGTAGATATTAATTCTTCTTACCTTGATGCTGATTAATGCCCTTCAGCGACTTGCAGCTGCTAATCTACCAGAATACAAGAAAGCCGATGATACTCGACGTCCATCTAGACAGCAGCCTGTCGCGTCATCATCCACGGCAGCAAATGACCCACCATCCGAGTCGTCTGACCTAGATTCTCTTCCAGACGTGCATTGGTGCAAGGCGTTCTTCTGCTACTACTCGTGCTGGTCTCATGGGAGGTTGAGAATGCCTCCACGATGGCGCTTGGAGCGTGTTTACCCACTCCAGCAGGCTGGCACGACGAGCGGCAGTGGTGGAGGGGCTCATGGTAACCCTTAGCTTCTCCCATATAAATTCCGAGCAAATGATGGTTTCAACGGACGCTGAGAAGTTACAATTCCTTTACTTCTGGTTGATACCTTGTGCCAGTGAAAAGTCGCCATACGCAGAGAGTCCAGTACTTGATTCGGAAGAAGGAAGACAACACAGTCATTGTGATTGCGAGTCATAAGGAAGAACATAATAGCCGGGGAATGGGACGTGAACCCATGCATGATATATCCAGTGAGAAGGCCTGATAACGATCGCCTAATATGATTCCAGCTCAAGTGTGTATCGTAGTAAGTACGAACCTGAATGTAGAACATACGAATACGCATACAATACGAATGAACAGATAAACAGCTCGAAACCATAAAAGAGCACAACAGTGGACTTGTATGCATTCAGAAAAAACGGATTGTGCCAAGCTTATAATCGAGTTCTGACAGAAGAAGTCGGTTGAACTAGTGGCTGCGGCATCATAAGTGCGCTTTTCCGACGCAGCGCCACTGTGATTCTTACTCCATCGAAGGCATAATTTTGCGACCTTAGCGCACATGAATAATTATTGGTGTCCACGTCCAAGTCAGTGGTGTGGGCGTATGTCAAGGTGTTACATATAGCAGCTAAGTCCATTTTCATTCTTCGACGAAACGTCGAAAATGGCCTCTACAGCAAGCCAATTGGAACAAAGTTCCAAAAGACCTCAGGTGAGCGTCTCTTCAGTCATTATCTAACCCGTACTGCCACTCATTTCGTCTAAAGATATCTGCTTCACAAGAACAGTCTACCGTGCTGCAATGGGTGCCCTGTAAATACAGCTCAGACGTATCACAATACGTTCTCGTAAGGCCTCCCCAGGCTCCATGTGGCAATCGTCAGCTGTTTGGTTTTCCTATTGTCAAGAAGGAACTTTGGGACCTGGGTACCATTTCTTTCCGACATATTATGCCAGGCAAAACCTTACCAGACGACCACACATTCCTCGTCATGAATTCCCTTACCTTCCTTAAATTTTCTCTCCGCCTTGCCATTTGCACTATGGCACGTGGCAAGGTGGTTGGAGACTCGGACAATATCCCACCAGAGTGTATGAAGTCGCCGGGAAAGGTGCTGTTGTTAGTCTTGTGGAGGGATACAGAACCTGAGGATGCCTATCCCACACCAGGCCAAGTGCGTTCCCTGGAGAAGAAGCTTGGACGCTCACCAGGATGGTGGGTGGAAGTCCCAGTGCGTACTATGCATTATCATTTTGAGAACCTTTCGGCCGACACACTTGCATCTATTTTTTTAATAGCAATTTTGATCAATATCCGTCATCGTCCCAACACTTACCCCCCACTAGTACCAATTTCATTCATTTACTGGGGTAAAACTAAATTAATCTTCCACTTTATCTGTGATGCCTACATGAGACAAAGAATGATGGATTAATGTTGTAGACGAACTATTAAGGATTCCTCGGGTTCCTTTGACAAAATGCAAGTTGGGCCCCTGGGTTGTCCGTAACGGTACAACTGTGATCCTCTATCCAAACTAAGACTGTGCCACCTTAGCCCGCCACCGGGTAAACTGATCTAACTGGACGATTTGATACACATGTTTTAAATTGACTTTATTTACTTTTTGTTCTCTTTCAAAATTTCAAGCTCCAACGGCTGAGAACGAGTTTCCACAATCATATTCTTGAATCCTAGATCATAGACAACAGAGAAAGGCAGGCATCATCCCCTATACTAGTGAGTGCACCATGTAGTCCTTCAACAATATTGCAGGCAGTGACACGATCAATGTAGATGGCACGCGCGGACCTGGGGACTTCTACCCTTGACATGGTAATAACGAAATTTCTAATCCCTCTCATGCACGTAGCTGGAACTGGACTTACAAACACAATGGCACAGGAAGTTCTTTCGATGGATGTGGATACCTTACATTCCGATGTCGAGGAAAGCCTATATCGCCTGCGCGTAGGCAGTCAAGTGAAATATATCACCATCGAACCGGGAACATTTCCTAGTGATGTATTGTCCTTCCCTATGGACCTACTCCCCCTCCTGCCAAATATGCCACCAGGAAATTGGGTTGAAGCGCGTGTGGCGCGGGACTCTAATGAAAATCCCACTGTGCAGCCCACGAACGCCACACTACCAGAAGTGCGCGAGCAGTGGCATCCCAATAAAGTGGATGCCCTTTCGCTACCCTTCGTGAAATTTATGACCCCACGCGTTCGGGTGGTCCAGTACGCTTCGAGGCCGGTGGTCTCCAAGATTGCCAGGTTTGATTTTGAGATCCCACGGATGGAAAGAGAAACTGCAGCGTATAGAGCGATCGACGGGTATGGCGTGAGCCCAGCATTCCTTGGGCACATCGTCGAGGGCGACAGGGTGATAGGGTTCTTAGTGGAACAATTGCACGGACGACCGGCTGGTCCAGAAGACTTACAAGGATGTCGTGATGTGTTGCAGCGCCTGCATGCGCTAGACATCATTCATGGGGATCCGAACAAGCACAACTTCATCGTGGCGTCGGACGGGACTGTCACGTTGATCGACTTCGAGAACGCGATGTTTTGCAAGAGTACTGAGCAGAAGAACGAGGAGCTCGCTACTTTGCCTGCGCAACTGAGTGAGATGACGGGTCGAGGAGGCGTGGTTATGAGAAAATTAGTTTACTGAGAGTCATGTACTGTTCACTCACATAGTGGAAAGCATTTATTAACTCAACATCGGTCAATACTGTGTATACGTAGCGCTGCTAGCCTGCTACTGTATAGTACGATTGTGAGGGAAAGGATTTACATGAAGTCCTTGCTAACAGTGCTGCATAACATCATAAATTCATAAAGCATGTCATACTACAGCAGCGCCCTAGTGTGGGGCATGAAAGGAATCAAGCAGCAGTGCACGGTGAATAACACGCGTGGCTTGATATTCTATGCTATAGGGCACGTCGACTCAGCGAGGTTGTCGGCGGTTGTCTTCTCTCGAACCTCTCACTAGCATCAGAAAACAGAAAACTTCAGGGGACAACTTTGCCTAACTTCAATTTCACTGTACAGTGCACGTATTGTAGGAGTAACATGTCCTAGCATTAATTTGGTACTATTTCTAGTTGGCTTTTCCAGCTCTGCAGACTTCGTGTGAGTGGCCCGATGAAGAGAATATATAAAGATTAATGCACCTTCATTAACTGACGCATTTGTAGAGATGCGGTGTTTTTCACGAGATGATTATCTCAATAGTTTTCTGCGGGCCGGCTTGGCTGTTTCCTAGCGTACAGGGATCAACGGGCGTTTGGATAAACTTTAAGTCCTTCTGGCCCATCCACAGGTATGTGGCGTGTAAAACATCATACGCTATGAAAAATCATCAGTGTTGATTGAGAAGAGAAGACAGAGTGCACCGAATCACTCGTACTCAGTGGCTGTTTGTTTCGGTTGAGCCACCGAGCTGATAGTAGCGCTTCTGACAATGCCAAACCTCTTTTTCAGATTGGAAGAATAATCCTCTCTGTGGGCGCCTCGTTACGGTGGCGGGATATCAGCTGCGGATGATGATCGATATCTTCTTATCCGTCACTACAAATTAGACATAGTCGGATAGACAGATAGAAGAAAGAAGACGGTCGTTCCATTTGATGATTCATGAAACATCTTTCAGGGTGATTGCAGGGCAGCCTATTCAACTTCCATCGAGCCAAACTCCATTCAGGTTCAACATCGATAAGAAATGTTGTTTGCGTCTTCGCCGAGTTCCCTTCCTTTTCTAGAAGAAAGTAAGGGTTCCTGTATGACTGATCTACTGAACCGAGAGACGCCACTGGATAAACGGATTTGACTGACTTCGATTGTTCATCACATATACATGACCACTTGACCCCTATGTTCGTTGATGTTCGACGCATTGGAAGCATACCGAAGTAGCCCGAAAAGCTCCATTGGATTCGAAGGACACCAAGTTTTTCGCCAGTCTAGCACATTGATCGGTCTCCCCCGAGTCGCCAGCAATGCCGCCGATAGTGTGTACCTGCCAAGCTCTGAATCCTCACCTCATTCGAGGCCGAGGCTTCCAGCTACCTGTCATCTCGTCCCACTGATGCCAACTAGCACACGATCACTCCAACATTCCGTTCAAACCAGTTCGACCCTCGTGCAGTTAGCAATAAACAAGGCTTGCAACCACCCTGTTACGCCTGTAGTATCAAACAAAAAAAAAAAAAGGAAAATCGTCAGATGACCTTGCTCGTTATGCCTCGTCGAAATGCACCTCCAACATTTTGGCCAACAGGTTGAGCAGCACGGGATGCAGGCTAATTCCACTTCGTCTGTCCAGAACCCAGGAAATGTCCTTACCATTCTAGTTCCATATTTGCTGTGTCTCTGCACAGTATAACAAATGGCAGAGGTCCTGCTCTCTGTCGTCTTTTTATACCTTGCAAAGCTCCATTGTTCCACTGTGGTATACCTATGTCTTAACAGATCAGCTTCCCGAGCGTTCTCCCAGCTCAGAACAACCAGGGCTTACTCATCTATGACATATTTCCTATCAATCTCGGTCTCTTCCTTGGGACTCTTGCAGCTAGCGGAACTGTCCGTTCGCGACTGCACTGCTTCTGATAGGTATCGAGACACATGGTTTCCAGTTGTCGATGAGATGATGAAGCCTAGCTAATCGCATCTCGGGCGAGGTAGCCACTCTTGCAGCAACAGTCTTCTCCTGTCACCATTTTCTTTCGAGTTCGGGGGCATTTTAAAGATCACGACATCGCAGGTTCGGACTTTCGGAGGCAGCTAGAATAAGAACAAAGGCCACAGTTGACAACATTCCAAAAGGCCGGGCACATTCAACCCTTCACTCATCTTCCTTGTCGACTTCTTCGTAACATCCAGCATGGACGGGGTACCAGCAGAAAAATCCCTCTGAAGCGTGTTAGCTATCTTTCAAACCACCATCAACGTCGGCCTGCTGACAGCACAAGAGGTCTCGCCCCCACTCCACTATTTGAGAATTTTGCTAGTATGGACACGAGTCATGGATTCCATATCGGTGAAGTTCGTCGCTGCAGCAACCAGTATGTTCATGATACCGGCAATGGCCCTTGGAAGATAAGGGAGCGCTTTCGATCGACACCCCACTTTCCGGACAACGAGCGAATGAGTGAATGGTTGTATGCAGGTATATGCGGCGGTACCAAAGGAGGATCAATGGGTTGTCATTACTAGTGGAACTTACATTTGTAGTCCGATTCTCAATGTATTCGGAGCTGTAGGCAGTGGATGTATAGTCGTTCAGCAACGGTGAGGAGTCCAATGCCAGCGTCACATTCCGTTGTACATCACTGGTGCACATAATTCTGATGGACACAGTGAGACATCCTCGTGCTACTGAAAATGCCGAACTTTCAGAAAAGGATCAGATGACGACATTACAGCAGATACATCAAGATGACCGGTATTCAACACCATGGTGTGTATTGGATGCTGAAGCAGGTATACAAGATTTAATGATGTACTGCAGCTGTGTGATCGTATAAAGGGGCGATAGTAGGCTGTAGAAGGAAATGTCAAGATAATGGCACAAAGGCGAAACATGTAACGTACTGGTATGTTGCGTTCCCTGCATGAGTTTTGAGCTCAGTAAAGGACGGATACAAGGATAAAAGTTCGTCACATACCACTTTGTTCCTCCTGGCATCGAAGGAGCTACGAAAAATAGACTTTTTTAGAGGAGGTGATATGACGGAGACCCGGAGACTCACGGATGTAGGGGTCGGGGTGCAACTTGCTTGCGAGACGCGCCTCTGCTTTCTCAAGAATCTGAGAAAGGGCTCTTGGCTCAGTCACATCACTGATCCATGCAAACATCATCTGCTAGTTAGACCGAAATGACCACCGAATTCACGTCTATCACTGACCGGTTTCTCTCAAACTCGGCTCTAATCATCATTGCACGACCACGCCAGATATCTCTGCGAACAACCCAGTCCAGTTCATTTTTCAGCATACGGCGGTAGAGTGACTTGACATAAAGCCTGTGAGCCGACGAGAATGAGGTAGACATTGTAGTTGGTGATGAGGCCTGACTGCTGGGAGACTTAACTGGAATAAACAAATTCTTAAGATAACCTAAAATAATTCATTTATAATATTATCAATTTATCATCAAAAGGATGTTTTTTTTTCATTTTGCACAGCTGCACACCCGGATGCGAAGGAGTCATATAAACGGTCACGATGGACCCGCATTCAAGACTCTCCCAGTTCAATCAAAGAACACCAAAAACTGGACCATTTTCACCCTCTGTGCGATTCGAATCAACCCAAAAGGTCACCTTAGACAAGTACACTAAAGCCCACTCATCGTCTATGCCATCGGACTCGCCACTATTTACCTCTCGCCCTATCGCGACAAATTCACGGGTGAAGCAGGATGAACAATTCAAAAAGGACATGTTTCTCGCATATGTGAATAAGGCCATACGCGAGAAGCTCAATGTGAGTATGTGGCATGTCACTTGATCGCGTGCTGATCGCCGTGCGCAGGGGCATAGCAAAGACTTTGATGACCTTGTTGACCAGTTTAGTCCGAACAAATCTACGCTTGCACCTACAGTACCGTCTCTGCAGCTCCGTATCTGGCTTTCTGCACTCTCGCACGTCCTTTCTCGCCTGGAGAGGCGTCACGCGCCACTGGTAGAGGCAATTGTCCGCCTACCATGGTCTACTATGGATGCTGTCTTCGTCAAATCGTATATCGTATTCATCGGCATGCTCATAAGTGCGCGCCCAGAATACTTATCGCTTGTTCTCAACAGAATAGCGATGGGTTTTACATATCGTGAGTTATTACCGCCATGAAAGATATTCAAGCAGTTTTAACGTGTTACTTGTAGAATCGGGTCTTCTCGCCGTCACCTCCGACTTAGAGTGCTCCACCCCCTTAACGAGACGTGTGATCTATGATCGACAACATACTCTTCTCGAACATCTCTTAAGCCTTGTACCAACCCTCCCATCATCTCTGGCTCCTCTCCTCGTACAAAACTTCCCTCACAAACGTCAGCCACAAGCTGCGCATGTAGCTTATATACGAAATTTGCTGCGTATAACCGAGTATTGTGGCGAACTTTCAGAGAGGGTCCTGGGCCTTATAGTGGATCGTGCTTTGATGGTCGATGTGAGTGCGCTCCTTTCTCCGTGTGGTTGGATCCTAGTTAATTTAATTGCACACAGGTAGAGATTCAAGTAGAACTCGAAGAGCTTGAAGACGCTGAACCTACAGACGGCGAACTTTTTGAATTTGATCCGTTTGATACCATAGTAGGACAAGAGGGTGACTCTTCTGATGATGAGGATGAGGATGTTGATGATGGTCTGAGTGATCTGTCGTCTGATGCATCGTCAGATAGCGATGCTGAGGATACCCCCACGGACACCAGACACGTTCATGATATGGTCTCGAAACTTGACGCAATTCTCAAGCTCGTATTTGACCACTTCAATAAATTGCATTCATCTATACCTACATCCGTAACTTCATCTCCCTCTGTTCATCCAACAATTACGCACGATCACGACCTGCAATCGCACGAGCCACATACCCTCCTCGCAATCCAATTCCACACTCTCCTAGCCATCTTCGACAGATCTATCCTCCGCACTTTCAAGTCCCGATATACCCAATTTCTTCTTTTCTGGTACGCTTCCCTTCATCCTGAGTTCTCAGACCTTTTCCTGGGACTACTTGTCGATAAAGCCCTCTTTGGAAGCGCGAGTGCGAGTGGCGTGGAACGTGCAGCAGCAAGCAGTTATCTCGGGAGCTTTATCTCGCGCGCACTGTTCATTGATCGTGAGGGCGCACAGAGGGCCGTTAAAGTCTTATGCGCGTTTCTTGGAGCCCACTTAGACGCTGTCGAGGCTGGCAATGCTGCTAGCAATAATCACAGCGTTTTTTATGCGGTTGTCCAGTCTATATTTCTGGTATTTTGCTTCCGTTGGCGTGACTTACAGGAAGAACCGGATGAACAAGAGGTGGGGCGGAAGATATGGATAAGCGAGTTAGGAGTCGTGCAGAGAGTCATCACGTCTGATCTCAACCCTCTCAAGGTTTGCTAACTGTCATCATTGGAGGAATTATTCGGCTAACTGCTGTAAAATAGGTCTGCTCTCAGAATGTCGTACATCAATTTGCTCGCGTCGCGCAAGCAACTGATTTCACATACTGCTTTTCCATTCTGGAGGCGAACAAACGAGCACCGTACCCTGTATTTGCCGGTGTAGCACCCGGTAGCGCTGGCCCTCATGAATTGCATACATTTTTCCCTTTCGATCCCTTCAAACTACCTCGCTCAGGCGAGTACATACAAGGCGTGTATCGAGAGTGGGCAGCGGTAGCTATTGACGATGAAGAAGAGGATGAAGATGACCTGATAGAGGAGGACCCAACAACTGATGAATGGGAGTATGGACAAGGTGGCTCTTGCATACCAATCACTGCCTCGAAACGGGGAGAGTCAGATGACGATGGATTGGGTGCGTCCTTTGGTGGAATGAGCATCAGTCCAGCTCGGACGAGGACGGTTGCGATGGCGATCTCTGTCACCTAATTGCTGGCTGCCCTCTTTATTCAACCGGTCACCATCCACCCCCATTATGCATCCCAAAACTGCAAATTGTGCTATTACGAACACCAACGATAAGAAATCAGATGACGGACTTGGCTAGAAGATAATATTAAAGAACATGTTTCGGAGGCCTTTCCAGAGCTCATGTCGCCTACTGCGACGCTTCTGCTTTGTACCTCCCACAGCGTCAGTATGCTATAGGCGAGGTGATCAGGAGGAACGAGATGACGACAATAACTAGCCTCATACCTCAACTGGGACGTCCTGCGCCAAAACCTCCCCAATCTCCTCATTAATGTCTTGCGTCCCTTCAAGAGTCCCCCACGCGTTTTCTTCAATTCTGCGTCGTTTCCTATTCGTTTCCTCAAACTGTGCGCGTTCTTCTTCGGCTGCCTGCAGCGCTGCGTCCACGGCCACTCTCCACTTCTCAATCCCCTCGATCCGTGCTCGAGCGAGGTATACTTGTGCACACCCCCGTTCGTCCTTCTTGAGATGTCTGACCTTCGGTCGCTCAGTTTCTGTCCTGTTGACATCCGGAGGCTCTGGTGTCGCATGGGTTGTGTCTCCACCGGACATGATATGGTAGAGATGGCTTAGTGCGAATAAGTGTGCCGTAGTGAGGTCGTGAGGTCGTAAAGAAGTGAATGAGGGAAATGCGGATGTACAAGGATGATGAAGGAAAGAGACATGTGGGGAAAGGCAGGCACCTTCGGTTGCCGAAGTCAACGTAACATGCCTCAAGGCGTCCTTTTCGATACTTCGCGGTAACGTAGGATGTGCTCACCTTTTGATGCCGAAGCGAGTGCTTCATGCAAATGTTATTGTCATGGTTTATTACGGAAATTGCTATTTAATATCAAGATACCATGTCGTGCCTGGTTTTACAATGCGAGAGTACAGCCTAGCGGTACCGGAAAATGAACTATTGTGATACAATGACTGGTATGTTTGAATACTGCTGAATGATATTTGTTGTGTTAAATGGAATCTCCGAGTCTGGCTGGGTGCTTTTGGATACCCAGCATCGTCCCCCCCAGGCCTCCGCCCTCTTTGGAAGCTCTGGAGGGAGGGTGTACAGAACGAAGGTAAAGTCAGATAGATCTTTGAGGTGTATCAGACGTATCGTGTTGTTACCTTGCGTGATAGACGGAGTCACATTCAGTGCCCCTTTTTCCTGTACCAGACGTTAATTGTTTTCTGGAGGTAACATCCACGAATCACACCGTACCAATTCGTAGGGAAGCCAAGATCGCCCATTGGCGCTTCCCGTGTTCAATTGCACTACGAGAGTACCTTTGGGAGGCCAATCCTCTCCCACACTCCTGATTCTGTCAAGAGTGGTATCCAGGCTATCACCTTCTTGAAGCTCATGAAGAGGATCCTTGCGGAAACAGGAAAGTTGCACGGTAAATGGAGCATTGGGGGAACTAGAATTTCTCGTAAGGAAAGGCTAAGTTAAAACCGCGGAGGGTTGCGTACCTATTAGACGAAGCTGCGGGAATAATGCTATCGCTCACCGCAAATTGAATGTTAAGTATGCCTGGTCGAGTAAGACCCTGGCGCCCGAACCAGGTTCCGGGAGTAGAGAGGGTCGGAATTTTCAGTACAGATGAAGGATGGGAGTCGGCAGAAGAACACGTTGCTAAATCCTGGTGATCTGTAGGAGACGGTCCTGAGTCTGCCGAGTGATGTGTTGAAGATGTCATCATTTCGATGTCTTCCACAGGAATCGACGACGATGGAACCATCTGATGTGAGGCAAGAGCTGATGTTTGAACATTTGCCGAGTTTGGGTCGTGCGAGATTAGTAACTTCGCCATGTTCCATGATCTGTTTGACTGGGATTGTGATATTCTTGGCAGAGTAGTGTCTAGAATCCTGGAGGGGTGGGAAAGCCTTGTGGTCGATTGGCAAATCTACCAATGTGGCTTCGCTATCCTTCCGTGACCCAATAGATAACGCGTCTGAATCTAGCCAAACACGCGTAGTCCGAGTGGATTCACCATGGCTGTCCACGCTGCGTTCTAAGTCCTCCATTTTGATGCGTGCATCGACAGCGCTAACTCGGGGGTTTTCTGGTGGGTGCGGAGCAAGGGCATCCGTTTGAAGTTTCATATCCCTAGCTTGCTGTACAAACTCGCGGCAACGATCATCGGTGAGCATGGCTGCACACGCTGTGATGTCGAGAGTCGTCGAAGAGTCTTGAGATTTGGCAGACATGAGAAGAACAGGCGCTAGCAGTTGCCTGCACCTCTCTACAACAGATGCGGATCCACTATTGTGTGTAGTTGTTGACCCCGGTAGGGGTTCGCGTAGCATGTCAAAACCTGTGATCCAACAGGCTAATTCCCCCAGCTTCGGATGCAGATGCGTAACAATCTACCGATGGACTTTTCTTGTGGATGAGTCTGTGACGGAAAGTTGAGGGTAATCCTTGTTGGTCGTAGGTTCGTGTTCTAAGTTCAATTGATTGGCCTAACGTAAGTATTGTGACCGAACTTTGTGCCAGCAAGCCATACTATACCGAAGGCGAATTTTGATTGAGGAGATCCACCGCTGACCAGGGTGTTGTGAACGTATTGCTGTTGATCATAGACCCTTGATTGACCGTGTTCCAGCCTTTCACAGGATATGTAATACTGTACTGCCCAATGCCGCTTCTTCATTCAAGTCCATTTGTTTGTTTATGTAAACAAACATCCTTCTTCAGAATCAGATGGTAACTCCATACGCCCTCAACGAGGATTGCGCCGTATGGTTTCGTGTATGGTCCAGATATGATCATTGACTCGGAGTATGATGATTTCACTTTAACACCTTCCTCTTGCTAGAAGGCACTTTGGGACTATTGTAGGAAGCTCGTCTCGGTTGACTGCAATTTTCTGATATACGCTCGCGGAATCGATTTTTTTTTGGATGATGGACATCGTGAAGATTGAACCCTATCTCAAGCATAGACCTTCCCTCAGCTTGGCCTCAGCGACGTTCCAGTTATAGTAGTACCACCGAATATGCATTCCTCCTGCTGCAGCGCCTCTTACTAGGATCGACGATTCATCGTGGCCATCGCAGGATACCCGTTCCTCTGCGACAATCGAAAACCTCATCGATATCCCCTTCATCATATGGCATATCTCGCATTAAAATTGGCCACATCATGTCATGTTGTGTCTTAATTCTGATGTACACATAACACGATCATCATCATCATACAATGCAATCCGGTAACTCGTTCCCAACTTTCGTGCACAGAACGTCCTCATTCATGAAATTCTATCCCATCATCTCACTGCCTCCAGGTCACATTTCACAATTTTACTGATGGATGTAGAATAACCCATAGCCCTGCGCGACTGATGATCAGCGCTTGGCCGCATTCAGTTGTTATATTGTCTGCACGCGGCACAACAAAAGCGCCTCAAGGCAAACATATATTCTATGTTTAAGAGTGGTTCTTCATTCTTATCTTGAAACCCACAGGACTTATCCCGGGCAGCGCTGTTAGCTGATTTTTTCTTTCCAAAGCATACGCATACTACCAGTAAGTTGTATCAGCCCTAAGAGATGTGAGCATTATGCGATGTGACTATTGACAGGACCACGCATTACCACCATTGGACAAACTCAGAGATGTGTTTTACGGAGCCAGAAGAGCCCAATCCATCCTTCGAGGAGATAAAAAAGCGCCAGGAGGCAGAGGCAGCTGCTGAGCAAGCTCGAAAGGATGCTGATGCTGCCAAAGAACGGCTCGCCAACCTCGAAAAGTTGAATCAAAAAATACGGGACGAGGCTATGGCAGCTCAGCAGGCCGCTGAGCAAGCCGCGGCAGCCGCAAGGGAAAAGGCCCAGAAGGAAAAGGAGGCAATGGATGAGGCCAAACGTGCCGCCGACGAAGCTCGCTTACGGGCAGAAGCCGCTGCTCGTGCCTCCAGCGAAGAAGCAAAACGTAAAGCAGCGGAAGCAGAGGAGGAGCGTAAGCGAACTGCCGCTCTCCAAGAACAAGCCAAACGAGACGCCCAGGCTGCCCAAGAGCAGGCCAAGAAACTACGGGAGGCCGCCGATGAGGAAAGGAGGAAGGCGGCTGCCGCCCAGGAGTCAGCCAACGCGGCGAAGAAAGAGGCAGAAGAGCAAGTAAAGACAGCCAATGCTGCCAAGGAGGAGGCTGAACGCAAGTTGAAAGAAGGCATTCAACCTGTGGTGACTCCCACACCTGAAGAAGTTAGCGCCGCCAAGCAGAAAGTTCAATATCGCGAGCACCTTTTCCACCTCGCAGTAGCCGGGGTGGCAGGAGCAGGGAAATCATCTCTCATCAATGCCTTCTGCGGTTTGCGTAATAAGACCACGGGAGCTGCTGCCACTGGTGTCGCTGAGACAACGCTAGCAATGGCTAGATTCCCTCACCCCAATGCGGAATACCCTCTTGTCTTGTACGATATCCCAGGCGCAGGCACGCTCAAAATTCCAGACTGGCAGTACTTCAATGACCAAGGACTTTACGTCTTCGACGGCATCATCGTTCTGTTCGACAATCGCTTCACCATGACCGACATCGCCATCCTCACCAACTGCAGGCGTTTCAAGATCCCCACCTATATCGTGCGTTCCAAGGCAGATCAGCACATCCTTAACATCATGAATGATATGGGGTACGACAGCGATGACGATGATAGCGGGAAAAAGAAGAAGAAGCTTTACCAGACTGCACGGCAGGAGTTCATTGAGCAGACGCGCCAGAGCGTGAAAGACAACCTCGAGAATGCCGATATGCCTGACCAAAGGGTTTATATTGTTTCGAATAAGACGATGATCGATGTCATGTCGAACACAACGATATTCGGTCTCCTGGGGAGAAAGCAGGCAAAGGCCATTGACGAGACGGAGTTGTTAAACGACTTGATCCGAGAAGCCCAGGCCAGGCGAGGAAGCCGTGATGCTGAAGATGTGTTATTCTGAAGGAGAAGTAGCCAGTGGCGATACAATTCTTCCTACAATTCTTCCTTCGGGCTCTTGCTGATACTTCTTCGTTCTCGACATGCTCGTGACCAATCCCGACCGCAGACTCGCATATGCAATTCTTCCTATATTTCTTCCTCTAGGCTGACGTTACTTCCCGCATGTTCTTACCGCTTGCGAGCGACTGATTTTCATCCTACTGTATACTTACAATTACAGAGGGTTTGTAATTAAGATTTCTGGTATGAACCTAGATCCATAGGACGAAAGGTATCGCGGAGCTTCTGACTAGTAATGCGATCCTGCGTCTCCCACATTCAAGGGCAGCTGAGTTTGTGAGTATATGACCTCGTGCAGATCAAGGGTTCTAGCTGTGATGCATGATGCACGGCGGTATGCTAACGCGTGTGAGGTTGTCGGGAAACTCCGACAAGCTAGTCCCCATCGACCGATCCGTACGATCCGTAATGCTTTTCAACTTATCGACAGTCGCAAACCTCAGATCAATATCTCTGGCCATCCTTCAAAGCTTCATCGTGCACACGCCAGGTGATGTTCTCAGTTCCTGGCACTATTCTGTGCGCTCATGAAGTGTCTTTAATACGTTAAAATTTGCCAACATATCATGTGGTGTCTCAATTTGGGTGATGTGATCTGGTAACTCAATTGATACTCTTCCATGTTGCTTCCATGCACAGAACGTCCTCCTTTCATGACTTCGTTTCCCCAAGTCACACTTCACGTAATCCTACGGATGTAGAACAATTCATAAGACTGGCGACTTATGATCAGCTCTTGGCCGCATTCAGTCCTCTTGGTCTGCACGCGGCACCATATAAAACGCCTCAAGGCAGACATTATATTATCTAGTTTCAAATTGGTTATTCCTTCTTATCCAGAAATACATAGGACCTGCTCTGAGCAGCGCTTTTAGCTGACTTTTCTTCCTCGGGAAAGCATACACGTACCAGTAAGTTTGTCGGCTGAAGAGATAGGAACATCATGTGACGCGAACATCACCAGGGCCGCGCATTACTATTGTTGTGCAAATTCAGAGATGGGAGGGTTTTTCAGTGCTTTCAAATCCAATTATAACGCTAGGGATACGGTAAAAAGCCTCAATCGAATCTTCAACACTAGCATCGATACGGTAAAACGGCTCGATCAAATCTTTGACAGCGATACGGTAAAAGAGCTCAATCGAATCCTCACCGGTGTAGAAAGGCTCTTGGATAGAGGTGCTACGCAAGCCAGAAAGGATGCTGATGCTGCCAGAGCACAGCTTGCCGAGCTCATCAAGTTGAATGAAGAATCACAGAAAAAAGCTATTGCAGCTCAGGAAGTTGCTGAGAAAGCACAAGATCAGGCCCGCAGGGAAATGGAGGCGATGGTCCAGGCTGCCAATGATGCCCGCTTGCTAGCAGAAGCCGCTGCCCATACCGCCAATGAACAAGCGAAGCAGAAAGCAGTGGAAGCAGAGGAGGAGCGCAAGCGAACTGCTGCTGTCCAAGAGCAAGCCAAACGGGACGCTCAGGCCATCCAGGAGCAGGCCAAGAAACTACAGGAAGTTGCAGATGAGGAGAAGAGGAAGGTAATCGAAACACTTGAGGTGGCTAATGCGTCGAAGAAAGTGGCAGAAGAGCAAGTAATGGCGGCTAATGCTGCCAAGGAAGAGGCCGAACGCAAGTTGAAAGAAGGCATTCAACCTGTGGTAACTCCCTCACCTGAAGAAGTTAGCGTCGCCAAGCGGAACATTCAATATTGTGAAGGTCTTTTCCACTTTGCAGTAGCCGGGGTGGCAGGAGTGGGAAAATCATCTCTCATCAATGCCTTTTGCGGTTTGCGCAATAATGATGTCAGAGCTGCTGCCACTGGCGTCACCGAGACAACGCTAGCCATGGCTAGAATTCCTCACCCCGATGCGGAATACCCTCTTGTCTGGTATGATATCCCGGGCGCAGGCACGCTCAAAATCTCAGACTGGTGGTACTTCAACACCCAAGGACTCTACATCTTCGATGGCATCATCATCCTATTCGACAATCGCTTCACCATGACCGACATCGCCATCCTCACTAACTGCAGGCGTTTCAATATCCCCACATATATCGTGCGTTCTAAGGCAGATCAGCACATTTCTAATATCATGGACGATATGGAGGATGTCAGCGATCATGATGAGAGCGAGAACAAGAAGAAGAAGCTTTACCAGGTTGCGCGGCAGCGGTTCATTCAACAGACCCGCCAGAGCGTGAAAGACAACCTGGAGAATGCAAACATTCCAGACCAAAAGGTCTACATCGTTTCGAATAAAACAATGATCGATGTTGTGAAGACAAAGCAGGCAGTGCGGGTCATCGATGAGATTGAGTTGTTGAACGACTTGATCCAGGAAACCCAGACCAGGCGAGGACACCATCATGATGATGTCGAAGTGGTGACTATTACGAATGACAAGTGGACGGTGCCAATGATAGAGTTGTTACTTTTCTATCTCTTTCTTCGGGTAATCACCAGTGCTGCCATTTCTCTGTTCTCCACATGATTAATACCTCTCGTAACCAACCTTGACTGCAGACTCGCAGAGACAGTTCTTTCTGTATTTCTTCTTGTGTTACTTCTTACCGCTTGCGAGCAACTGACGTTTGTCCTACTGTATACTCACAACTACAGAGGGTTTGTAATTCAGATTTCTGGTATTAACCTAGATCCACAGGACAACAGGTATTGCGGGACTTCTTATTGGTACGCGATCCTGCGCCTCCCGAACGTTCCAGCCTTGCCACTCGGAGTGTCCATTCTTGGAAATTCGACACCTAAATCAAGTTGCATGGGTTTGGCATGACCATTCCTTCGTTATTTTGTTCGCCATAGAGACACAAACTACCAGCTAGCTACACGTGCCAATGACCGTTTTCTTTTACTCCCTCTCTAGACCCTTGCAAAGCACGCCGACTTTGGCAGTGAAGAAGCTACAGCTTTGGATGACAGTCATCGCTGTGTTGAGATACACATTTCACCGCCTGTGGTGTTGACCAGCACAAATGCTGCTTTGCACAAACCCCACTCTGCCAGTGGAGGTATGGATTTGTGTCTTTGGTCTTCCCGCCGTCTCTTACTATGTTTCCTTAGCGTGTTTCGTTCGTTAGCTTCCAGTCTGAACGAGGCCCGACATACCATGGTTAGGAATTTGACTTACTAGTGCGACGATATATTTAAAGCCGGCGCCGCATCAGTTTATTCGAAGCAAGCAAATTCACTGGAAACAGCGGCATCGCGGCACGTCTGATCTGAGCAGCGTTGTTACCTGATTTTTCTTTTCAAAGCATACGGTAAGCTCGATGCTTACCACATAATGACCACAGCCTATGCAGACGCAGCCTGCGCACCTAGTCACAGACCCGTTCTGGTTAGCTCGCTGATTGGACACCGCATTTGACATTGATCCTCATATATAGCATCTCCAATCATACACTCTTCCACGTTATTGCCTGCTGTTCAGTGTTGCTGTCGACGTGACGACGTTCCACATATGCATATCAGTAAGTTTTCTCAGCTCAAGATATGGAGGCATCATGCGACGTGGCCATTGACAGATCCACGCATTACCATCGTTGAGCAAACTCAGAGATGGGATGTTTTGTGAGTCGGCCACGAGCGCCCAATCCATCCGTCAAGCCTGAGGAGATCAAGAAGCGCCGGAAGAGGGCTAGAGCGAATCGGAAACGGGCCATTCAAGCCACACAGGCCGCGCAGCTGGGCGCTATTGCATCTTCTCCTCCGTGCTCTTGCTGATAGTTTTCGACATGAGCATACTGCTCGTGACCCGTCTTGACCACAGGACTCATAGATATACTTCTTCCTATATTCTTCTGGACTGACATTACTTCCCACAGTGTTCTTACCATTTGCGAACGACTGACTTCCATCCCACTGAATACTTACAATTAGAAGGGGTTTGGAATTGAGATTTCTGGTATAAACCTAGAAACACAGGACGAACGGTACCATAGGACTCCTTCAGATTTAACGTGATCCTGCACCTCCCACAGTGGCATCCAATAGTCGTGAAATGAGTTTGTGAAGTACCCTATGACCTCGTGCAAGGGTTCCAGCGTGTCAATTCTGGGATAGGGGATGATTATTATAAATGCCCCTCAAGGCAGGCATTCTGTTCTTCGTTGTCACCTAGCGCGAACCTACATCACTCATTCTGAACCAACGCCATTGGATTTGATTCCAGAAGCATATACATTCTGGTAAGCTTCCTCAGCTTGAGAGATAGGAGCCATCATGAGATCTGACGATTAACAGGTCAACGAATAACCACATTGAAAATGGGAGCCAATGAATCCATCCTCGCAATAGAAGCACGTCAGCGTGCAGAGGTAGTAGCTGAGCAGGCTCGCAAGGATGTCGAAACTGCGCAGGCTGTGTGGACAAAGATCATGGAAGCGACTCAAGAATTGCAGCTAAAGGCTACAGAAGCTCAGCAGAAGGTATATATGGAAATGGTGGCTACCTTGCAGGCAGAACGCGCTGCCATGCAAGAACGAGCCAAAACAGATATACAGTCTGCCCAGGAGAGGAATGCAACTGCCGCTCAGGAGGCAGCTAAGACGTTCAAGAAAGCGGCAGAAGAGCTCAAGAAGGCAAACGTTGCTCAGGAGGAGGCTGAACGCAAGTTGAAAGAAAATATTCAGCCTTTGGTGACTCCCACACCCGAAGAACTTTGCACCGCCAAGTTACTAGCCCAATATCGTGAGGGCCTTCTCCACGTTGCGGTAGCTGGGGTGGCAGGAGGAGGGAAATCATCTCTCATCAATGCCTTCCGTGGTTTGCACAATGAGGATATTGGATCTGCTGCCACGGGTCTCACCGTGACAACGATGGCCATAACCAGATATCCGAACCCCAATGTGGAATACCCTCTTATCTGGTACGACATCCCAGGCGCAGGCACGCTCGAAATTCCAAGCTGGCAGTACTTCAACGCCCAAGGACTCTACGTCTTTGACTGCATCATTGTCCTGTTCGACAATCGTTTCACCATGACAGACATTGCCATCCTCACTAACTGCAGGCGTTTCAAGATCCCCACCTATGTCGTGCGCTCTAAGGCGGATCAGCACATCCGTAACATCATGAATGATATGGGGTGCGATAGTAATGACGATGAAAGCGAGGACCAGAAGAAGCTTTACCAGGCTGCACGACAGCAGTTCATTCAGCAGACGCGCCAGAGCGTGAAAGACACCCTGGAGAATGCTAACATGCCTGACCAAAGGGTTTACATCGTTTCGAATGAAACGATGATCGATGTTGTGAAGAGAAAGCAGGCAGTGAAGGTCATTGACGAGATTGAGCTGTTGAACGAATTGATCCAAGAAACTCAGACCAGGCGCCTAGTAGGGCTGTGAAGATGCCGCGCCGCAGCCGAGCTTCCATATTAGGTCTAGAATTGGAATTCATTTGATCTGCTACGCCTTCACACCGTGTTCGCAGTAGTCGCTGTGTGCTTCGATAGAAGTTACCTTCATGATCGTCGTCAGACATTTTCAGGTAATTTGACATGGCTGGTGCACTCAGGGTTCGTACTCTGTTCAATCACTGTACTGCCATTGTTACCCTTGACGGACCCTCAAGGCCTCAAGGCTGCTAGACGTAATGTGTGGTATTTAAGTTGGCCGAAACATCCCCGAACACCCCAGACTCTCAAACGGTACTCTCATAGAGACCTACATCGTCAATCGATCGAGGTCAGTGATTGAACGAACTGTGTCACAATCCATGTTTGTCGATGCCCTCTTAGTGCTACCAACCAACCGATGAAATTTTCATCTAGATCCCTTAAAAAACTAGTCATGGGCGGGGGACACTCACATCACCAAGAGCCAGACTGGGGAGCAATTCGTGCACAACAAGAAGCTGAAGCTCGCGCTCGCGCCGCAGCTGAAGCAGCTCGTCAAGAGGCAGAGCGTGCCGCTCAGGCAGCCCGTGCAGAGGCCAAACGGCTCATGCGCGAGGCGGAAGCAGCACGACGGCGCTTTGAGGCTGAACAAGCAGAGGCAGCTAGGAGAGCGCAAGCTGCCCGCGAAGAGGCCGAACGACAGCGCCGCGAGAGAGAGCAAGCTGAGCAGGCGGCACGTGCCGCCCGTGAGGCCGCAGAAGCATGGGCTCGCGAGGAAAGACAGCGTGCCGAACAACTGGCACGAGAGGCTGAAGAAGAGAGGCGTAGACAGCAAGCTGCCCAAGAAGCTGCTAGACAAGCTGCCATCGCTGCCCAGCAAGAACAGGAGCGGCAACAGAGAGCCAGGGAAGAGCAAAACAGAAGACTCCAAGCCGAGAGGGAAGCAGCTGAGCGCGCCGCACAAAAAGCTGCTGAAGAAGCCAAGCGAGCTCAAGCTGCGAGAGAGGAAGCTGAGAGACAATTACGAGATGGCACCCGACCTGTGGTCACGCCTACCCCTGAAGAATATTCTACTTTCAGAGCCAGCATGCAGCATACTGCGGGTTTCTTCCATGTTGCTATCAGCGGGATTGCTGGTAGCGGCAAGTCATCGCTGGTCAACGCGTTACGGGGCAAGCATAATATGGATCTTGATGCTGCTGCGGTCGGCGTGAACGAGACCACTCTCGTGGTGGCCAGATACCCAGACCCAAACCCATCCAGCCGCTTCGTCTGGTACGATGTTCCCGGAGCGGGCACCTTAAAGATCCCCGATTGGAAGTATTTCAATGATCAAGGGCTCTTCGTCTTCGACTGCATCATCGTTGTGGTTAATAACCGTTTCACCGCCACTGATGTTGCTATCCTCTCTAATGCTAGGCGCTTTGGCATTCCCGCTTTCATCATCCGCTCTAAAGCGGATCAGCACATCAGGAACCTCATGAAAGATATAGGTTATGACAGTGACGATGAAGACGGAAACAAGGCTAGTTACTTTGCGCGGGCGCGCGACCAATACGTGGCAGAAACTATTCGTAGTATCAAGACTAACCTTCAAGAGGCGAACTTGCCTGATCAACCGGTTTATCTCGTGTCGAACGTTGCTCTACAAGCAACTGTCACTGGGAAGTCACCCAAGAAGATACTGGATGAGGTTAAACTGCTCACAGATTTGGCGAGCACGGCTCAGAAACACGTGTAGGTGTTATGATGCGGTTTGCATTTGGTGCTGGACTCCCAAATGTTTTGCACTTTTCGTCGTACGGATCCGTAAATATACATACTCTCAGTCTTTGTGTAGTTCAGTTGTATAAATATAAGATATCGCGATCGCACATATGCATCAAATTGCACAAATATTCGTAGTGTACAGCAAGACAGGACCCCCTTCAACGACATGATTTCTTCAACTACACAGTACCGAACTCGGTTGCCCGTGACCTACATCACTTGATCTCATTCCTCGATCTCGATATCGTTCTCATCCGAATCACTGAAGTCAAACTCTGATTCGTCCTCCTCTGTCTGGCGGTAAAGACCAACTGATTCCATGGCTGACGGTGACCTAAAATTGAGTAGTCCAAGAGTGTCAACTTTCCCCATGGAATCGCAGAACTGCTGTAAAGACCCCATGACATCGATCGGAAACCGGTCCGTGGAGGCGGCCTCAAAGAACCACCGAATTGCAGCTTTGTGATGCAAGTCCGGCATCCATACGTTGTCCTCAATACGATGCCATGCGGTTCCAGCTATGCATCAAGTTGATTCCCATCATAAACATACTTGAGCGTTAGGTGTACGCACATGGAAAGACACAAATACTGAGGGTCGGGCATTTGTTGCCCCACATTTGAATCATCGTGAAGTCGCATCTGTAATCGGACACAGAAGTAAATTCCGATAGTTCTCGACTGCGTGCAACTTCGATGCGTAATTGACTGAGGGAGCTGAAGAAAGGAAGTGCTCTTTCGCATGCTTCGAGAAACTGCACCCATAAACGTCGTGAACTTTCGGAGTGCAGCAACAACTTACAGGCTTATTGGCCAGACCAGGTATCATCCTACTTAATGTGAAGTTTTTGATATTTGGCAGTAAAGTCGCGACATGCATTAAAACTTCAGTATTCCAGTGAGGACGGCACAAGTAAAGCTCAGTGAGCGTTGTGGAATATCGAGAAAGGTGCCTGATAAAATGTGGGATCTCTTCGTTGTCGTCCTCGATCTCTGGGGACAAAACAGATTGGAGGGGTGCATCCGGAGAAATTATAAACAGCAGAGATTGGGGAAGGCAGACCGAATTCAGTGAGGAAAGGGATATTCCGCTGAATTCTGATAATGGAATAGATCTCATATCACTCGGAGATATATGCAGCTCCTGAAGCTTCGGGTGCCTCCTGACAAATGAGGCAAGAGTATGGGGTTCCATTGTAGTGGCGAAGGAATGCAAGTTTGGGAACGTGCAGGCATCTAATGACAGAGATGCTCCGCAGTAAGGAAACATTAACCGGATATTTTCCACATTTATCGCACAAGCCAAGGCACGGGACAGCAACTTGTAAAAGGCGGACAAATAGAGATAAAAAGGTCTGTTGGATTGAACGAGCGTGGTTACATGTATGCATGTTACGAGAGGCAAACACTTACCCTCCTGTGAGACTTAGGCGAGAGAATGCTAAACCTGGCCACAGGAGAACTTTGCGAACAGAAATAGCAGCAAGTCTGTTTGAAACGAGGGCCTTGCATATCTTTATCGTTTCACCGTTGCCTGCCAGGGCCAGAGACCGGTAGAGCCATCGTGTCGCGCGAGGTTGGAAGCGATTTGAAACGGTACATAGGGAGAATAAAGTCCCCTGCGGTAAGAGATGTGCTATCTCATCCAGAAGCTCATCTGGGAGGTCAGTGATGGTAGGCATGATCCAGATTTCAGCTCAAGGGTGAATTGAAGGCGGCATAGTGCGTGTTATTTGTTTCTGTTGACTTCTAAGGCCTTTGACAAACAACACTAAGTATTCGTGGATAATCATAAACTGTATTCGGGCAATCTTAATGACCTAAGATGTTTTGGTCTTTGGTGCAGTCGGGGATGGATCAGTAAATCAATACTCTCCCATAACGTGGCACTTGGCTCCGGCCCCGAGTCGTTGCCTAAATGATCCGAATGAGTCCAAAAATCAAACGTCACGTGGTAACGCGTTGTTGACAGATATGTACTGTTTGTACTTATAGAGGTCCTGCATTATTTGGTCCCGACATTTAAACTCTTCTTGCACTAGTACTTCAAGACAGGCTCTTTTTTCAGTAGCAACTTTTTGTCACGAAGGCCTTACGCCGTTCACGCATTTACGCATTCACGCATCCAACGCTCTCTCATAAAGAACCCAAGCAAGATCCATTCAAGAATTTATCAACGCTCAACGATTTTAACATTCGCCATGATTCCTTTTATTCCAACTCTTATTCTGGCTTTCATCTCGTTTATATCATCAGCTTTTGTGATTTTTCGCATAGTAATTCCAATTCTTCCGCCTCATCCTTTAAGCAGACGTGTTGCTCCCGTGTGTACTCAATCTTCCCATGAGCCTCAAATAACTGATCTTTTTTTAGTCCGAGTTTGGACTGCCTGACTATAATTTTCGTTCTCTTTCTTCAGCCGACAAGAGTCACCTATGGTTGGCTTCCCTCGATATCCTGGCCCTATGCGTCTTTGTTTGGCAGGCATTTAGTGAATACTATGGTGGCCCTGCAGCATATGGCGAGGCCCGCGACGCTGCATCCTCGGCAAGGTTGTGGTTTGCTTTGACAATCAGGCAAACTTGTCTTTTCGTTGTGTCCGCACTCACGTTGATACACATTCGTATGGGGCGGTCGGTGTCTTTCGGATCCAGACACTGGATGTTGTGGGCACCCATCCTGCTCCTGGGACTCACCTCCACTGTGCTCTCTGGCGTTTTTGCGGGGGGAAGTATTCCAAGCTTCTTCGTTGGACTTTTGGCATATTCCACTACTATTGCCGTCCTGAGTAGTGCATCATTTGGTAGTCTCGTGTACACTCTTGTGGTAATCCGGCGCAATCTCGCTGCACTCAATGATCCCGCAGACAGCTGGCCACCTGTCAAAGAAGTTGAGGACAAACCCCGCCCCTCGTTTGCGACTGAGGATGTTGACGTCCTCAGGGAAGGCAGCTCCTGGCTCACCTCTGATGCTGGCAGTACGCATCACGGCTCAGTGTCCAACTGGTCTTTCTCGACCCATCAAACGCATCCCCGTTCTGGTTGCTTGGGAGTCGATTGCGCCACGACATCCAAAACCTCTTCTGTGCCTAAATCGTCTTACTGGTTCGATCCGCCCACACCTATGACCGGTGACGCATTGATTCCGCCAGTCCCACCATTGCCTTCCTCTCACCCTTCATCACCCGCTGACGCACTAAGCTCTGATCCTGACCCTTTCCGTCGAGATGCTCCAGGTCGGCCGCGTCTCAGCTCGCAGAGCTCATGGCTGACATCACCGTCTGGGTCTCAAATCTCACTCTCTGCATGGTCATATCCCACTAGCCATCAAGGTGTCAGTGCTGTTGATCTTAACGCTGAGCTACTTCCCCAATGCAATCGGCCCCCGACTCCTGCTCTGTCAACTGCTCGAGTTCTTGGAGGATACGGATATCAGGGTGATTCAGAAAGGGGTATTGCTTCTCTAGCGCATAGCGGCAATGATGTTGACATTTCAATTTATCGGTACGCCTGCTGGATGATGACAATCTGGGCGCCTTTAGTAAGTCCTTCTTGTCCGATGTTATAGTTGGGCTGTAACAGCTGGTTAACAGGTGCTCTCCCTGCCATACATGCTATCTTTTGTTGGAAAGGGCTTCACATCTTCTGCCACACCTCTTTTTCTTGCCTTCTCGGTTACGCTGTCTTCGCCCCTCCTTGCTATGAACATCATTATGCGCTCGCCGATCCCCATCCCGACCGGTCTTTTCGAGGTTCATGGGGAGCCTCCCTCGATCTGCATGCGGGCGCCATCTCCGGCTAGCACTCTCACCGACCGCAACCGCGAGTACAAACGGTCTGGGTCTGTCACAGTTGTTGAAGGGAGACGCTCTGGCGATGTCTGGATCTCACAAGGGGATGCCGTGGAGGGGAAAGGCAAACTCAGCAGGGCACTTGGTCTCATGACCCCTGTTCCGCGCCTGGCTGTACTGCCTCCTGACGATGAAAAGGAAGATGGAGAAATGACGCCCCCTCTGCCAATGCAGACTGAGTCTGAATCATTCAATACTTCTGTGTTCCCTAACACCCCCCGGTCTGCAGAATTCGGGAGAATCAGGAAGCAGTCAGTTCAGTCGAGGATATCAGGTGATGAATTCACCTCGAGAATAATGATTGCCCAAAGGCATTATTCTGCAGTCGCAACTACCGTGGTTGTCACTGCATCGCCGGAGAAGCATAGTGGCGATTTTCTCACTGTGACTACTGGCGTTGGCGTGGAGAAGAGGAAGTCGGTCCTTCCTAGTCCTTCACACCTCCGCTCCCGTTCTGTTTCCTCGGCCATCGATCAGGCGATCAGCACAGACTGTGGCCCCAGCCCCAGCCGACCTCCGTCTCAACCTCTTCCTCCCACACCTCCTAATGTCCGTCTTGCTAAGCAGCAATCAACGCGCACTCTCATCCACCGGAAGTCGTATTCTTCTGGTTATAGCTTCGGCGCAGCAGTCAACGACGATGTTAATGAGATCGACGCGCTCACCGCTGGTGTTCTGCCGCTTCTTGTGCCCGGCTTGAGGGTTGGAAATGATATGAAGATCAAAGATTTCGAGTTCGAGTTCGACCCCCCTGTCAGCAGCACTGTGACAAAGAAGAAACGCCTGCCTTCTCGCATTCAGAAGGATAATGGTGAGTTCGGTGTGCTCGCCAATGGAGAGTGGGAAAGTATCGCGCCGCACTCGACACACGCCAACGGCAAGGTCAGGCTCAAGAAAGCGTCTGCGCACAAGGGACATCACTTCAGTCTTCCTAGGTAAGCTAATCCCTGACTCCCACGTTTGTTCTGACGTTGGTTGCGCAGTCTCGGTCTTCGCAAGGGCACAACCAACAACTTGAAATCCGAGATTAGTCGCGCGCTTGCTACGAGCATTGGTGGATACGCCGCTGTAAACACCGGGAAGCACGACATGGTCTGGGGGGACGAATCGGACCCAAATCATCTCGCACGTCCCCCCGTCAATGTCGATCAGCAGCCTGTTCAGGATAGCGCCTCCCTCGGCCGCACGATGTCTACTCGCACTCTTGGTCTTCATGCTGAAGCCCCTCAGGGCATGGAAAATGCACGTAGCTCCGTCGCTGCCCATGACACCACAACCATACTTCCTCCGTCATCCGCTGCATCCACAGTCACCCTCTTTGACCCTATGGCCGAATTTGACCCCACTGCGCAAAGCACGCCACTGCAAGCGAAAGAATATAATTTTACACGAAAATATCAAGCTGCTATTATGCCTCGCTCTCAACCGACTTCAAAGCGCTCAAGTATTGTCTACATCAAATCATCCGAAGAACACACCCAAGCGCCATCAGAGTCAGAGCCAGAGGCTCAACCGCCCACCGAACGAAATAACACCAATGTCATGTCATCTCTTACAGTCTCACAGTGGCCCACCCGGGCGGTGAAACCACTTATACTCTCGTCTGGCAAGCAGCGCAAGGACGACCCAGAGCCCGCAACGAAGTCGGGCTCGAATTCTCTTCGTACTCTTTCCCTTCTTAAGGATCGTGATTCGAACCATGATAGTACTGGCGATGTCACCCGTAACGGGTTCGCAGGTACACGACCGCTCGTTCTTGGAAAGAAGAAGTCAAAAACAGTGAAAGAACACGATGAGAACGTTGCTCCCGGTGCTAGTTCTGTGAACAAGCGTTTGAAGCCGCTCAAGCTTAGTCGGACAGACTCGAGCAAGGTTCGCGGAATGCTTCGCAAGGACGAAACGCTCCCTATCGTGTTGGTTCGCCCACCATCTGACCGGATGGAGTCGATTTACTAGGTTCGGTGAACCCCCTCAGGCTGAGTTGAACATTTCCCTCGAATTATGCTCTGTTTGCTTTGGGATTCGCTTTTTTTTTGCTTACTTGACCGTCTGCTCTCAGTTTTGCTTTCGTCTTCCATTCTATTTCATGTTGCTTTCACGTTATCCGCAGTGCGTTTGATTTTGCTGTCACGTTTTTACATAAAGTTTAGTTGTCATGAAGTTAACTAATGTTCAGAATATCGCATATATCGTCACGCCGTATGTATACAATACAACTACTATGCCCTTACCCTTTCAATCTTATATGTTAATCCTTTTCGTGTTAATCACTGGTCACGACTTGAATTAGACTTTTGTGGTGGTGTAACACATGCTAGTAATCACCAGTAGGTACATAAATTGATGATAGAGACATTCCAAAGACATTCCACGAGCTACTCGATCATGAAGATGAACCACATTCAGTGAAAGATTGCTCCTTATTCATACTATGTAGATATCCATACTACGACACGGGTAAGGCTTGCCCGGGCACCCACCCGGGCACCACCCGCGGGTGGATAGACGGGCCGGGTGGTACGGGTACGGGTACGAGGAGCCCGCGGGTAAAGTGTGGCAATGCTTGGTTGACCATCATGACATCAGATTATCGATGGTTCTAAATTCTACGTAATGTCAACCGCAGTGTCTCAGATTTATGTTATGCATACTGGTTACCGTCTCCAGCGTCCACGACTCCACGTAGCATAGTTAGCATAACTCATAAGTTGCAATACTTGCACTGGGCATCACAAGTTTGCAACATACCAGCATCGTTTTCCCCATGTCGGGCTGTGACACCCCTCCGAGCACACCATCGGGCGATGTCTTCGATCTCGACTCCTCAGTGTCATCGCCAGCCAAGAACACACGCAGCCGTAAGCGCATAGTGGTCTCGAATGTATTTGGTACCTATATCTTCGTATCGACTTTTCCATCCATTCTACACTTGAAGCTTGATCACCCGCGGGCGACCCGTACCACCCGCAGGTTGACCCGCACCCGTGATGTTCTGACCCGGGTGGGTACAGGCAGGCCTCTAAAAGTTTCAGTACCCGCGGGTTGGGTATGACCCGGGTTGTCATACCCTACGTGACCAATCATCCACTAAAAGAACAGAACTATTACGTATATCAGTCGTTATAACATCCGACTGAGTTTGGCTTTACCTTTGTTAAGTCATCATCAGGACTCGGGTGACAACAGTTCTTGCAGTTACATGGGCTCAATATTGCGATCGTCTCTAAAGTTCCGCAGAAAAACGCGAAATCGTTGCCGTTGTTATAACCTTCGATGCCCTTCAGGCATTGTACTGAATCTGGGGGTGACCGTAAGTATGCAGTCTAAGGTCTGCACGTAGGCCGAAAGAGTGCTTACCTTTGGGGCTGCAGGGTTGGCCCATCAGATCCGATGCGGTTATTCCAGCTATTGCTGGGGCAAAAATGATAATAGTAGTGAGTAAAGGAAATTTCATGGTGGAGTATTGATGGTGTTTTTCGAGTTGAAACGAGTAGAATGGCTTTTATATACAATTGGTGTATGCCAGCCAAACACTTTCATCGTCGTATGCCCAATTAGCATGTGGCAGATCAAAGGCATAGTTGATTACTAATTTACCGTCGCATGCATTCAAGTTAATGTACATACTAGTAGTAGATACAAGTTACTGGTCATCGACAAGATGACCTTTCCTCAGCCAGACCTAAGCCGAAGCTGTTCTTTCATGGCCAGATTGTATGCGGTGCGAGCGTCCTCTAACAGCTTTTCGAGAAGCTTTTGGTCATTCAAGTTCGCCTTGAACATATCTTTCTCCTTGTCACTCATCTGGAGCAAGCGGTCCGTGTCTCGGCCGTGAACTTTCTGGTCTCTCATTACACTCAAGACCTTTTCTCTCCACGTCATCCATACTGGCGTATCATTCGGAATGAATTTGCGGAGGATACCTTCTGGTTCGAAACCTAGTTTCTTCCATTCCGATTCTTCACAAACACCAGGAGGCTGGAGCATTAGGCATGCAAATACAGCGGCAGTTGTTCTCGTGCCAAGGCTGTAAGTCTGCATATGTTGCTCATCCAGATTGAGTACTTTCAGGAGTAATTGTTCCTGGATATACTCGTAGTCGATTGAGGACAAGTACAAGTTGTACGCCCACGAGGCTGCGAAAGAGGACAGAAACATGATTTGACCAAATAATGTGCCCTGGGGGATCAAGAGCAGTTGAGCGAGGAGTTGTGTGACGAGCAGGAGCGAACACAGTCCAATAGCAGCATACTCGTCCCTGATGGGTATAGCTTCCTGGTTTGGACCATGGTCTAGTAAAGAACTGTTTCGACGACCAGCTTCTGCATCACTTCTGCGCTTCGACTTGGTCGACTCCGTTCCGTCTCTAAGAACGAAACGTTTCATCTTTTCCTTCCTGCTCCTCTTCTTAACCCAAGGCCCATATTTTAAAGTGAATCTACCTCTCGTAATGGTAGCGACATTTTCCTCTCTCCCGAGCAGGAGGACGATATTATCGCCGTCCATCAGCATTCCGTCTCCGGGCGGAGCCGTAGGTGCTGACTTCACACCTTGCAGCTCTAAACTCGCAGATCCTATGACCAAGGAGGACATGCCGTTTGAGATGATGCCCAGAAGGATCATCGAACAACAGAACCAGTCGTATGTCCATCCGCAAAGCGCACATGTGGTGAAGCTGACGGCTATCGGTAGAATTGCAACGTATGTCTGACGCCCACCATGAGGTGAGATTGTGCGTACTGGCGGCTTGTCTTTTGCTGTCGACTCTTCAAAAACGAGTTGTGTCTGGATAACAGTCACTTGATTCCACTTCGTGACTCTTCCTGCCACTGGCACTCCCGGCTCCTCCTTGCATATCTGCATCATCAGATACGCAAGATGGCCGGTGTGCTCCAGAATGGATCCAGATCTAGAGGCGACGTATTTTGGACCCTGCTTGCCATCAAGCTCGAAGAATTCAGCGGGGTCTTCATTGGGTCCAGGGAAAAGCCCGTCCCACAAACGGGAATTTGCGAGCATTCCGAACTTCTTGCCGACGTTCCAGCTGCCGGGGGAGTTGTACCATCCCATCCATTTTCTGTACTTGTAAAGATGAATAGTTTGCATTGCAGAGATAGCTTCTTCGCCCCCGAAGAACCCTGCAACGCCGGATACGTCGAGGTCAAAATGACCTGTATGGATGTCAATGGGATGTTTGTGGGGCATGGTACGTATACTGCGGGTTGTTTCACAGAATACTGCTCTTTAAGTAGCGCACCTCATGGGAAGCTACGCCGCGATATGCATCCGTAGTGACATCAGTCCTTCACGATCTGGGCGCATAGAGTCCACCATGTGTTGCATTAATGCGATCTAGGGCTGCAACGTGCAGCACAGGTTGGATAGCTTCTGAGCCGGCTGTACGTACGTTACAACAAGTATTACACACGACTTTCAACAAAGGAGTCCGGTCGAGGTACTTGTTTTTCAGAAATGTGGGTATTGTTCCTAATCTTATGTTCTTGTTCCTGATAACCTCTATACGTATCGTGTGCGTCTCGAAGTAATGATGCCAGGAGGGCCCTTTCATGATCACTGAACCCTCGCAAATCTTTAGAGTCAAGGTTGAACGACTTTCCTTCGTTGTTATTTTCCAATTGCTCCGCCACTTTGTCTCTCCATACATTCCATACTCTTGTGTCGTTCGAGATGAAACGTTGCAGGACTTTCTTTGGGCTGAAGTCAACAAATGGCCTTTGGATGCCATTGCTGAGGACCAGGCATGTAAAAACTGCCTGAGCAGCTCTGCTTTTAAGTCCAAATTTCAATAGTCGCGGATTGTCAAGCGCTTTCCATAGGATATTGACTTGTATTTTCTCCTGCTCCAACGACGACAGAAATGAATTATATGTCCATGAGGCTGCAACAGACGAGATGAACATGATCTGCCCGAATGTCGATGCCTGAGGGATGAAAAGAAGCTGGAGAAGGAACTGCGCGAGGAGGAGAAGCGAGCAGAATCCAATTCGTCTGTACTCTGGGCCGCCATCCATCCTCAGGACAAATTTGCCTTTCGTTATTGGATTGACATCTTTCTCTGCGCCTCTGACAATGACCACGTCGTTTCGCATCAGGAGTATCCCGTCTGCGGGTGGCGTACCTGGAGCGGGTTCCCTCACGCCAGAAAGAAAGTCGAGTTGAGCAGAGCCGATGACAAAGCAAGATATCCCGCCTGAAATGACCCCCAACAAGATGAGGGTGAAGGCTGGCCAATCTCCCGAAGCCGCGCAAAGCACGCACGTTGCGAGATTGATTGTGATAGGAATAGCGGCCAAGAGAGCATGATGGACGCTCATCATTGGCGCCTGGTCCGTATGCCTGAGTATAACATCTCCGATATCGAGGATAGTGACTGTTAGAGGTATAGTCTCCCTTCCTCCCAATTTTACCACTTCCTCAACTTCTTTCGTCTTCTGCACTACAAGGTATGCCAGGTGGCCTGTTTGCATATCCGTGCCTGACAAAACACCCCAATAACGAGGGCCGGTTTGCCCATCCAGCCCAAATACCTCGGCTGGTGATAAATTCGGACCAGGGAAAAGCCCATCCCAAAACCGCGAATTAGCAAGTTGCCCGAACTTTTTGGCAACAATGTAACTTCCTGGCGAATTATACCAGCCTAGCCAGCGCCTCCCGCGGTAGAGATGGACAGTAGCCATCGCTGAGATCGCTTCATCCCCACCGAAGAATCCAGCGACGCCTGAGGTATCAAGATTGAGATTGTTGATCGGCACACTGAAGGTGGGCATTTAAACCTAACCATCAGTTGTAAAACAACTCAAGGACTCCATTTCCTGTAACCGAACGAGGGACCTGGTGGGAATTTTTCACTTAAAGGCCGAGACTTCTTCAAATGACGAATCGCATAAGTAGAAATGCACAGCAATCTACAGCTACAACCAATTATACTACCCACACAGCACACAAATATTCGGCAACTACTCGTACTTGAGGTACCTGCCAAGCACAATCATCTGTGTATCAACCAAACTCTTACATAGATCATCCCGCCCTAATCAATCACTGGCAGTTACTAGACACTGGTAGTGTATATAATATACTTGTTCATCTGGGTTACGCGACGTGAGTTGTCTTTCCAATGATGATACCAGACTTTGTCTCCGCCGAAGAATCCTGCGACCCCAAATACATCCAAGCTGAACTTTCCTGAATTGTTTGAAATTGTGTATTGAGAGATAGTTGGTATGTAGTTACACCAGTAAGTACTGTTGCTCGTTCCTTGCTTATATCTAGCCTCGCGTATCTTGTTTTTATACTTAATCTTCCGAGTTCTTCGACGTTTACAGAATGACGAGTGTCAAATGCGGTCATAGTTAAGGAGGCCTTCTAAGCGATAAGTCTAATCATGAATGTCAGTTGTTCATACATCCTTTGCCTCCCAAGTCGGGGAGTCGCGTATGGAGCGCGGATAACGAGCACGCTCCCGCTGGTAAGCCTCGAACGCAATCGCGGCATCATCTAGGAAGGTCTGTAGCAATTCGCATTGTTCTTCGCATAAACCCTTCTTCTCTTGTGCCGTTAAATGAAATTTTTTGTCCGGACAGGCAGATTTCAACTGCGCTGCAACCTTTTTTCTCCAGAGATTCCAAACCCTCGTCTTGTTCGGTACGAACAACGATAATATATGCTCCGCGTTAAAGTCTTCATCTGTCTCATTTCCATCACTGAGAATAGCGCAGGCGAAAACAGCCTGGCTCCTCCTATTATGGAGGGAATATTTCTGGATCGAGTCTTCTTCAACCTGTAGCGCCTCGCAAAGTAGATCTCCTTGTATCTTTTCACTTTCAAGGGAGGAGAGAAACGAGTTGTAAACCCAAGACACCGCAAACGAGGAAAGAAACATGATTTGACCGAAGAGTGACGCTTGAGGGATCAAGAGGAGCTGTAACAGGAATTGTGCCAGCAAAAGGAGCGAGCACAGTCCAATGCTCCGGTACTCCGATTTACTACGCATGTCAAGCGAGAAATGGCCCTTCGTTATCACATTCACATCTTTTTCCGACCCTTTCAGCACGACAACATCGCGTGGGGTCAAAAGCAATCCATCCCCTGGGGGAACCCCCGGGGTCACGTTTTTAGGTGCCTGGAAATGAAGCCTCGCAGTACCGATCACGAAACAGGTTATGCCACTTGAAATGATTCCGATGAGGATAAGGCTGAAGGCAAGCCAGTCGTCGAAGATAGCGCATAAGAAACATGCCGCGATGCTCATGGTTATGGGTATTGTGGCCAGTAGTGCGTGATGGATGCTCATCATCCCAACTCGATGCATATCTTTGACGTCTCCGACGTGAATAACAGTCACTTTTGCAGGTAACGTCTCCGTGCTGGCTTTGGCTTCAACCCTCCTGCCCTCTAACTCCTTGCTTATCTGTATTGCGAGGTATGCGAGGTGCCCCGTCGCCATATCTGTGCCAGAAAGTGAAGCGACGTATCGTGGCCCAGCCTTGCCATCAAGGCCAAACATTTCAGCTGGTTCGCAATTTGGACCTGGGAACAGTCCATCCCAGAATCGGGAGTTAGCTAACTGGCCATATTTTTTGGCGACTGTATAGCTCCCCGGAGAGTTGTACCACCCTAGCCATCTTCGGCCGCGGTAAAGATGCACGGTGCCCATGGCTGAGATTGTTTCATCGCCGCCGAGAAAGCCAGCAATACCGGCCGCATCAAGTGAGAATGATGAGCCATTGAATGGGATCTGCAGGTGCATTGTTGTGGACGTCGTAGATAATGGTGATTCTACAGCATGTCTGTGCAGACCTTCAAATACCAGCGCGCGCTCCGTTTGTTGCGTTGACTTACTAAGAGCTGTAGGCTCTGTGGGAACTCGAACGTCCTCGAGGCAGCCTTACGAAATAGGGCACTGCGAACTGATATAGCGCTAGCACCGCATAATTCCGTATCTTTTGATGGACTACTAGTAGCTCTGTGAACTTCTGTCACAAGACTCACAATCAAGGACACTCGCCTGATCTGTGAAAAAACTGTGCAACTAGTACAAAGACCACTCATTACAAAGTCATCCGATTGGACGCAAGTTTCTTGGGAGAAAATCATTGCGCCTACAAGATATCATTAGACGCCACCTGTTTGGAACATTCTGATTCGGACCTTTCAAACCTGTACTTGTCACAATCCATGGAATTTTCGTACAGTATCGAAGAGACTTAAACAAGTGTGGCAATTCAACAATAGCTGCCTGTTAAATCCCTCCCCCAAATAAGCTAATAACAGCTACAGGAGGAGGCCCACCCTCCCGGAGCTTTGTTTGCCCACAATAAGCAAAGACGTATTTTGAGGGATGCCACGTTACTGTGGGTGACGGTGCCAATGCAGGAACACGATGCAATGGGGCACCCGTCTCTGTTGCACACTATTGGGCCCAGGTCATGTTAAAAGCAGATAAAAAGCCAGAATCCAAATCCTTACTATGTCGATGTAGGGTCCTGTATTTGCAATAGCGAGGTACTCTCCATCATACGAGAAGCTCAATGCATTGATCGCATTTCTGGAGGAATCAAGTGAGTGGAGGAAGTGACGGGTTTTGATTCACTCACTCGCAAGTGGAGATTGTCCGAGCACATATCCATTCACTCAGATCGAACATGTTAACAATTGAGTCATAGCCACCAGACGCAAGATATCTGAAGACCACGTTAATGCATGTCGATTAGAATACGTAACAGCTAATACGCACCTCCCTCGGGGATCGAGTGCTACTGCAACACAACCTCCGACATGAGCGGCAGGGCTTTCTCTGAGGGTCAGCGTTGGATAGTCCATGACCCGAACGCTATGCTCAGAATGATGTGTCAAAATAATACCATCGCCGACATGATTGAACATAGCGGTAGATGCGACAATGCTCTGTAGAAGATATATCGATAACTTGTTGCATGATGGAGACGATGTAGAACAAACCCCGTCTTTATCTGAGAGATGCCACTGCGCTTTTGTTGCATCACCATCTTTCCCGTATGTTAAGAAAAAGAGCTGGTGCCCGGCCGAAGTGAAAATCAAAGCCCGGCCATCTGGAGAATAATTTGTCTGCACGGGTGAGATTTTTAGAACTATTTGTTGCGTATGCCGACTTTCTTGAGTTCTGTAAGGGTTATTCGCAATGTGCGCAAGGCATATAAAACTTACGTCGCGCATCCCAGAATACAATCCTTCTGTCCTTCTGACTCGACGTGCAAAATAGCTCTGGATGGGTGGGATTCCATGATATATAGTCAACATCATCAGAGTGACCGCCGGAGAAGTGGGTTGCAGCTCTTGATTCCATCTACAATTGGGGTAGGGAGTGTAACTTGTGATAGAATGCGACATATGGTACGTACGCTAGTTTCTGGAGTCCAGATCCGAGTGATTTTGTCTATACCAACGCCAGCTAAACGCTTCCCATCGCAACTCCATGCTACATGAGTTATAGCTTGAGGCGATGGTATACGTAGATCACGCGGTTTATGCGCAGGAAAGTTTTGTGCCTGATTCAATGGAACATGTTAACAATGGGACGATACGCGAGTCCTTAGACTTTACACTCACATGCAGACCGCGAGCAGCAAATGTTGTATGAAGAGGGGGAGATGGTGGCCGCTGAAGGGGCGCTACCTCTTCTTCATCCTTGCTGTTTACTTGACTTGACATTGATGCCACTGGGCGTATGGTACTAGGAGCCTCGGAAAGACGTTGTTTATCACTGTTAGGATCGACAAGGAAATAAACCAGATCTCTTCGCCTCTCCCAGTTTTCAACTTGTTTGTTTCAAATCTTTTTATGCAACTTACAGGAAAGTCTGCACCCAGACTCCAGAGCCAGACAAACTGGTATGACCTTTGATTTATGGTAGATCACCATCGACGACGTCCGTTTCTGTTCAGGTTTTGGATGCAGACACAGACCAATTAACTTTGCTTCTGATCAGTCAGATCGCTGATCACTGTTGTTGCCCTTACAATCCATCCTGTTCAATCTAAGCTGAAACTGGAAGACAATGTCGTTGAAATATGTCTGGTTAGATGTAGATCCGGTACGCGACTGATCGTTTGCTCTCGTTCGGCGTGAATGCACTGAGAGAACGTCTCATCCAGGGACACGATGATGCCACTGCACTTATGATGGCCTGCCAATTAGAGAATATCAAACTTCTTGGAGTTTCCAGTGTGCGTAAAGCGGATTTCTCCTGGACAGGTCCTTTTCAAGCAAGTTGTCTAGGTTCACGGCAATGCGTCCGCTGATTGCACTGCCAAGAACACCGCAAGGTGTCTGCACGCATTCGCTGCACCTTCCGATGTTCTAGTATACCCTGGCGCATGCAAGCCGTTGCTTCGACCCACAAAACACGACCCTGAAATTCATGGAGAAGATGGTCTAGGAGGTGTTGTAGGCCTCCCTTCAGCCGATAGTCCTGAAGTTCAGGCACGATTCGCTCGAAAAGTCGATGGGTCGTTAACACATGCCATCGAGGGGATGGCATCAGCTATCAAGGACGCATGGCGCAATGGTACTGGACATCAAGTGTCGGTTGTTTCTTCCGGACCAATGACGAATATTGCCCTATTTGTCAGCGTCTATCCCGACCTTTTGGAAGCAGTGGAACAGTTTGTATTTATGGGCGGAGGTGTGGGCGTTGGTAATAGATCTGCCGTCGCAGGTATGTAACATGTTGTACTTGAAGGACCAATTTTTACAATGTCAGTATAGAGTTTAATATTATGTGCGACCGTGCGTGTCCTACAGAAATATGTTATAATACTTGTCCTGATCCTTTATTAGCCGAGGCGGCTCAGATTGTTCTCGACGCTCCAGTCAAGACTGTTATGATACCCATCAATGTCACACACACAGCTATTGTCACTTCGGCTATCCATTCTCGCCTGAGATCACCCCATCCAGCTCTCCTGGACGGCGTGCTGGCAAATCCATCTACCAATCTCCGAAGCACATTGTCTTCTGTCATCAGTTTCTTCGCAGGAACGTACAAGTCAACATTTGGTTTCGATCAAGGTCCGCCTCTCCACGATGCACTGACCATCACATATGTGTCCCATCCTGAGCTCTTTAGTGCTCAACGTTTTAGAGTGGATGTGGAGCTACATGGTAAGCACACGGCAGGAGAAACGGTCATCGACATTTGGAATTATCGAGCATGTGATGACTCATGGGGTTCTAATGGGAAGAATTGCGTTGTCACCCAGTCAGTTCAGGTGTGTGTATCCGAACAACGTACAGCAGCCTTCTCTTCTCACAAGAATGATGTCTCTAGGTCGATCAATTTTTTGAATTACTTTTGAATTGTGTCTCCCGATGTGATGCCATATCTCCACTCAACGTACAACAATGACTGTTCCCTATCTGAACGCCAGTGGCCCACATCAGGCACTGCCTTATGCGTGGGACTGACTTTCAGATTTATTTTCTTACTTACGTGTATTCACGCGATACGCCTTATGACCCCAACATGTAAGACGCCATAACAGTCGAATGCTCTCAACAAGGATATTATTGGTTAGTAGTTACGATCTACATGCTGTGCGTACACGCTTACTATCAGATTGACGTGTGTCGCAGAATTCCTAATCATGAATGTCAAATCCACATTTCATAAGAATTGGGTAAAGTTATCGATCGTATGGATCTGTTGGTTGTCTTTTCCAAGACATTGTCTGGTTGTTATGATGGCCACTACACAAATACGTTGTCATTGTCACCTAAGCTAGGGGCATCACTTCCACATCGATATCAGATAGGTTTCAGTCACAAATTATGATTACTCCCGTCTAAAGACTTTGTTCCTTGACGTGCGTGCGTGCGTGCGTGCCGCTGATGGGGGCGTGATGCCGTTAGGCTAGATGATGCATAAATACATCTCATCACGCCTTGTTACTAGACAAGCGCACCTCTCTTCCTTGACAAATTTGTTTCGTGCTATCCGCTATGGGCGTCGACAAAGCGTAAGTGTCATGGTTCTACTATACAAGCCCATTTTAACGGACGGTGGCTTCTAGTGTCAAAAATAAATCGAGGTCTGTTTCACGCACTATAGAGACTGCAATTCTGAGTTATCCCCCAGTCGTTTCAATTTCATTCGCAGGACGACATTGCGAACCACTGATGACAGCACTAGCCAGGTGCTATCCCTGCTGCTTGTGTACGCGTCCTTACTAATGTTCGGATGTAGGAACTCGAAGCCCCCGTAGATGTCATCGAGGATGACTCGACACCCGCTCCGGAAGGAGAAGAGGCAGGAGACTTGCAGGACGAACCAAACACACAAGATGAAACTAGCATGCAAGACGGGACAAGCACGCAAGACGGGACGAGTACGCAGGACGGGACAAGCGCGCAAGACGGAACAAACCTACAAGACGAATTACCTCGTCAAGATTCCTTATCCATAGTGACGGAATTACAACAAGACGAATCGCCTCTTCAAGATTCATTGCCCGTAGAGACAGAATCCCCGAAAGAGGAGGTAGAGATGCAATCCATGGCCCCATCTTCTGATACCCCTGTTCAAGAGCTTACCGGTACGGCGGCAGCGGATGTTGACAGAGCCGACAGCCCTGTTGAAGACCCTGAGGTTATCCTCAAGAACCTACAGGAGACTTTTCAGAACATAATCGACGATAAATTAGCTGAACATACCTCTTCGCTTGATAGACACCCACAGCGGCATCCTATACACCAGCAATGATCTCGAGGGAATTTTCAAAGAGTCAGAGGAGTACCGACGACTCTACGAAAATCTTCTGTCAACTTCCATGTCTAAGCTTCAGCGCAAAGTCGACGAGTTCTTTCGATATGCGATGCTTTCCCACAAGTGGGCAAGTGCGACGGACGAACCCCAGTATTGGCAGATCAAGGGAAGCGTCTACGAGATGGATGCCCCACGGGAAATCCGCAAGCTGCAACAGTTCTGTACCACCTCGAAGAAAGAAGGCTACCGATGGGCATGGAGCGATACGTGTTGTATCGATAAAACGAACAACGCTGAGCTTCAGGAATCCATCATCTCTATGTTTTCTTGGTACAAGGATTCGGCAATCACTATCGTTTACCTTGCAGACGTTTCCGATATTTCGCAGTTGAAGGATAGTCAGTGGTTCAAGAGAGGCTGGACGTTGCAGGAGCTCCTCGCACCTCAATTTATTCGATTTTACAAGCAGGATTGGCAGCCACTCATCGATTCTGATAAGAATCACAAAGTCGAACTTCTGTCGATTCTCCACAACATCACTCGCATCGATATAGATGTTTTGAAGGTATTTCAACCCGGCGTCGATAACGTCAAGAAGCGGTTGAGTTGGGTGGGCAATAGGACAACCAAGAAGATCGAAGACATTGCCTATTGTCTCATGGGTAAGTATCGCCATAACTGGTGAATCGTTCTAACGCCCTTGCTAGGTATTTTCGGCATCCACATGCCTGTAATGTACGGGGAGAAACATAATGCCTTCGTGCGGCTTCAGAAGGAAATCATGTCGCTTACTGATGACCTCTCACTCTTCGACTGGTTGGGAGAGTCGTCGACCCTTCACAGTTACTTTGCTGCGCATCCGAGGTGCTTTATGACCCCAGCGTATGACGCTCGACAGGACTCCACTTCATCGAAATTCGAATTCAGGTTGCTCAAAACTTCGAAGCGTATCACCAGCGGCTTGTCTTCTTCAGCTCTCAAGCTTGTCAAGGACGTTTTGAGCAACCCGCCTCACGGACGTTTCATTGCAAATGGGAGAATGTGTATGCCCTTTTTCGTTCACGAAGTGGTCACCCTTATTCCAAACCAAGACAAACCCAGAATTTTCAGCTATCTCGTCAAAGCTGAAGGCCTCGCGGAGCTCGAGGTCATCGTCACACAGCAGCTGGTTCCTTTGTATGGAAAGAAGCCGGGCGTCAAATACCGCATCGTGCGAATGTGGGACGCGAGGCTTGTTCACCGTTCGTCTAAGGGAAGCACGGACGTCGAGACTCCTGATGCGCTGACCGTTGATAAACCTGATTCTCCTGAGCCGTCGACAACAGAGGGCTCCCCGAAGCAGGACGAGGAAAAGGAAAAGGACGAGGACGAGGAGAAGGACGAAGAAAAGGAAAAGGACGAGGATAAGGAAAAAGATAAGGATAAGGACGAGGACAAGGCCAAAGAGAAGCGAAAGGACAAGGAAAAAGAGAAGGAGAAGCGAAAGGAGAAGGAAAAAGAAAAGGACAAGGAAAAGCGAAAGGAAAAGGACAAGGACAAGGAAAAAGAAAAGGAAAGTTGGGTCGGCAGATCCAAGGAGTTCGTTGCCGACATTGTTGCCGACATGGTCACTCAGAGCACTGCTGCTGCATTGATTCGGAAGCTGCAAGAGCCGTTTGTTGCTCAACTTCTCTGTTCGCCTGGTGATAAGCAGCCTTGGCGAAGGGTTGGAACCACCACCCGCGTCATTGCCCACGCATCCTCTGGGTCCGTTAATTTCAGGGCCCTCGAAAATGTCATTGTACACTGAATCTTCACGACTGTATCGCTGCTCGCACCCATATGGTTGTGTTGTTCATATTTTACTACAGCTACGATTACGAACTCTACACTATGACTCATGAACGTTCTGAACTATGGTACCGTATCAAAACTACTATATATTATATATGCAGTGCGATGAAGAAATGCTAGTTAAAATATGATTGACGATTGATGGACAAGCCTATTTGGCTACCGTGACTTGGATCATTTGCCTTTAGCCCTTGAACGCTTTCTGATTGGTAATCACAGGTCACTTGAAGACGACCTCAAATCATCAGGAGTCCCAGAAACTTTGTCAAGCAAGATAATGTATCTCAACCACGACGCACTAACATTACTTTGAGAATTATAGATCTAGAAAGAACAAGGTACTACTTTTATGTGCTATGATATCTGTCCACAACACTCCACCGTGACGCGGGGAGGACTCCTAAAACTAGCTCTCGCCGCTGCAGATGATCATGTTTCCGCTTTCATATTATCACTTGATATACTGCTAACCAAGCTGCGACTCCGAACCTGCAATACCAAATACTGTTTATATGCAGTGCGAGCGTCCAAGAGCAAGTCGCTCAGCAAGTTCTTATCGACATCGTTGAATGCAGCTATGCGGTCACCGCAAGCCTCAAGATCAAGCGACTGCAAGGATGGCTTGTTGCTTCTCATCTGTTCCAAAACTTGGTTTCTCCAGACCGTCCATACGTGCGTGTCGTTTGGAATGAACTGTCGAAGGATCTCTTCTGGCTTAAAACCTTTATTCTCCCATTCTTTATGCTCGCAGTTGGGCTGAAGGGTTAGGCAAGCGAAAACAGCTGCGGTCGTCCTTGTGCCCAATTTGTATGTCGTCATGCGATCCTCTGATAAACCCAACGCCTGGACGAGGAGTTCCTCTTGCAGATACTCTGCGTCCATGGAGGACAAGAAGAGATTGTACGCCCATGACACAGCGAAGGACGTCAGGAACATGACCTGACCAAACAGTTTGCCTTGTGGTATCAGGAGCAACTGCGTCAGAAACTGAATGACTAGGAGAAGTGAGCAAAACCCGATCGCCCCGTATTCGTTATTGGCCTCAGCGTCTTCATCGTTCTGCGTCTCTGAGCCGCTCTCTGCATCTTTTCCGCCAAACAAGTGGAGGTTACGGAACCCATCTCCTACAATGCGTCGATTCCTCATCTTCCTAACACGCATACGGACCCAGGGTTTGTATTCCAATTGGAATTTGCCCTGCGTGATGGCAAGAACATTCTTTTCTTTTCCACGGACGACGATCGCATGATTTCCGTCCATCAGCATGCCGTCACCTGGCGGTGCATTTTCAGAGGAGGCAACACTCTGGAGAACTATGGATGCAGAACCAATGATAAAACATGAAATGCCGTTGACGAGAATGCCGAGAAGGATCAAGGAGAAGCAATACCAGTCATCACCCCACGCACAAAGTATGCATGTTGCGATGCTGGCAGCGATAGGGAACATTGCGACGTGTTTGTGGAAGCCATCCCGAGCATGGATGGTCAAGCGAGTCTTGGTATCAGCGTCGAACTTGATGTCTGGCATTTCCAAGATGGTAACTTTATTGGCCTTCGTCCTTCGTCCCTCTACTATCACGGCTCGTTGATCTTTGCATCTCTGCATTAACAGGTATGCAAGGTGACCCGTTTGCTTTAGAAACGTGCCGGACTGCGATGCGACGTACAAAGGGCCGGACTTTCCATCTAGCCCTATGTATACGGTGGGCTCTATATTGGGTCCTGGAAACATTCCGTCCCAAAACCGAGAATTGGCAAGCTGGCCGTAGTGCTTGCCAACACTGTAGCTGCCCGGGGAATTAAACCAACCTGTCCACCGTCTTGCTCTGTAGAGATGCACAGTCTGCATAGCGGAGACCGCCTCTTCGCCTCCAAAGAAACCTGCGAAGCCACCGACATCGAGGTTGAAATTTTTCGTGTTTAGCGTAACTTCGGGCATGATTCAGACAGATGTGAAGAAAGCTCCCTGTCCGCAGGCCAGCTCGGTTTTTATCATGATGGAGTTCGTCGCATCACCATGAGTCCCTGACGTGACTACATTCAAAAAAGGTGCGAACAGCCTCATTTTGGCATTGGAATCAAGACCCAGGACACTCTACCCTAACGTTGAAATTTCCTTCTTTCGCTTCCATCAACAGCAACAATGATAGAATATAGCTTGACAGTCCAACTGCTTCGTTGAATTCCTCCTGCCGCCTGCGACATGCGTCGTAATACTCCCTCTTCTATATGCTGTTATCCATGATGTTGCTTATTATTGCTTTCCGCCGCAAGCACGAAATATATGTATCTGCTCAAGTCAAGCTTGACTATAAATCTCAGCCTATTCCTCGAGGAAGAATGCGTGTGTCGTTCAGGTAGTACTCGCGGACCAAGCAAGCACTCAACGTTCAACACTCGATTCCAGTCAATGCTCGAATTAACGATATTATGATATTGGATCAAATGATATAGGTATGGGTATCATGAAGGGAAGAGATGAATGTCGACCAGGGAAAGAACGAGTAGGGCCACCGCACCAAGATATTTATCGGAGCCGCGAGCAACAGTAGGTCCGAGTCGCAACGATATAATTTGAGTGCCGTACGGTCGAGGAGGTTGTCATCGTGGTTGACGATGAGGGAACAAAGAAAAGCAGGGTATTCGACTTACGTAGCTGCTGCATGTCCTTGGGGTCCATCCAAGGGCTAAAGAGACCGACTCCGCTGAGCCGATTGATGCAGTCAGGTTGCGCTGACAATATAGTCATCCATCAATATCAATAAGCGATGATCTGGGGCGCATCACTGAGGGCGTAGCTTGACTCATTCAACGGTTCACACCGTCGTATCATGTCGCTTCAGCGGTACACAGCATCCGACACAGAGCCTTACCTTGATGCTGATAGTAAGGCAACCTCCAGTGCACTGATCGATGTTGGAGTCCCTCGTCGAGACTCCACAAGACGGCGATTCTCCAGTAATAGATGGGCATCCATGTTACAATCTGGTATTTCACATTTTGAGACTCAACATGGAGACCTTCCCTGATTTTTCGCAAGCTTCAAATCACGAAGGCTGTCTCCACTGTCACGGAAGTGTCCTTGTGCAGGTAGGAATTATTTCCCCCTAATTATAGTCTGTTTTTCACGGGCTGTCACTGACCACGAGGCTCGTCTATTTACTATCACGCTCGCGGCGTTCCAGAGTCCAGATTGTCAGTTCTGAATAATGAATCAAGCCCCTCTGTTTATAATATCACCAAGAAGGAGCGTATTCCTGTCACCAGCTTAGCAGTCAGGAACCATACATTCGGATCTCCATTCAGAAAGATAAGTCCTTTTTGTATTCTGTGACCTCGTGTATTTCAGCAGGTCCTAGCGTGGCGAAGATTGGAGGGAAGTTCTGACCTACTTATCATTCAATGAAAATATCATTGATCCCAGCCCAGTTGTTGCGTAATTTAAATTAGAGTTCTCCAACCGCCAAGGTTGCTATCACGAGATGTCGGGTCGCCCATCAAGAAAAATCTTGCTCGCTTTGGCGATGGAACGGGCACGACTTCTTTTACGACCTTCTCTCAAACTACGTATGGCTTCGTCCAGATTACCGCGACTGATAGATGAAGGTTCGTGCGTGCCGGCAGAGGGCATGAGTAAGTCGTGCGAGGGATCATGCTGTGTCTTGACAGTCTGCATGGGGATGAACCGTGGAAATGGAAAGCTGTACAACGTAGGTCCTCTTACCTCTTCAGAATTACTTGGCAGCGAAGATGACATCTTCCCCTGAGTCAAGCGAGGGGCCTTCTTTTGTGCATCGTGGATTTCCAAACCGGCTTTCTGGACAAAAAAATTGGAGCATAAACTTTCAAAAACTGTAAATGATGCGTACCTGTAATGATGATGAAAATGAGCAGATCATCCCAAAGAAATCATCTGGCTTTGGTCCCTCTGGTGAATCCAGGTCTTCGCCATAGTAAGAGAAGAGAGCTCGTAAGTCTACTTCGACGAGGGCAGCCATCTTATTGAGCGCGTCCACGCGTTGCGCCACTTCAAGGGTAAACGGCTAGCGTTTCTCGGGCATCAGTACACGAGCTTCTTTGAAATTAAATAGTATTCACCTGCATGATTGTCACGAATTGGTCGTTATCCGAGGGTGTGCGAATCTGCTTTAGCAGACTTATTTCTTCTTTGACCTTGTCCAGTGACGTAAGTAAAGACTGGACGGTCTGTTGCAACGTGGGGAACGAGACTGATACACGACATGAGATTATTCAAAAAGATATTGAATGAAATTGTCACTGACTGCGAGCAGCTGATTCCACACTAGGCATCTCATCGATAAAAAGTGTAAGCGACGGATCGGTGCGAACGAGGACTCGGGCAACATAATGCAGGAGGGTGGGACATTCTGAACTGGCCTTCGCAGTCCTCGTTTCTTTCATCTACGCAATGCACATTGACAATACCGTCAAGAAAGTACGCTGCGAACTTACCTTCATGAGCGCCTCCAAGCGAAACCCACAGGCACCTCCACGAAAGCTGGATCCATTCAATGCGTTACCAACTGTGAGTATAGCCTAGAATACTTGTCACCAGGTCTGCATCGTAAATTCGGTAACAAACGCACCCGTAATGTCAACTTGAAACGCGCAGATGCTCGTAATTCTTTACACGCATCATGAACGGTTTTTAGATCCGGACGAATTTCCTCGATCTCGAGTTCCAGTTTTCGGCGATATATCATGCACTCCAACCGCTGCGGGAGTCTTGGGATCGTCATGATCTAAGAAGCTGATTTGAATCGCAAGTCAGGGAGTCACGAACAGCACTCACGGCACTTAAATATTGATCGGCCTTCGCTAGTTTGCTTACATCTTGGAAATCCTTGATACGAGCGACCTTTTCAAGGACATTTCAGAGAGTCAGAGTGAAGCGAAAAGAGTCAATAATAACAGACCTCTTCCGGAGATGGTAGCTGCTTGCTGATGGCTTTCAAGTCATCGGTGGACAGTTTGCCATCGAGACTTAGCAGAGCTTGACCGATTTCAAGAGGGGTCATCTTAAAACGCGAAAGCATGATAGCTAGCGAACATAAGTTGTCAGTCGCCTTCTGACGATTGTGATGAACCAACCGATGTTATTAGCACGAGTAATGTCAAGAAGGGTCGTAACACTTTGTTTCCGCGTGGGATTTTCGGCTTTGGAATGTGAGGTTGGTGCGATATCGATTGTGAACGTTGCTTCAAGATCGTCTAGCTTGAAATCTAGTGAGATTGGCGATTCTGCCCATACTGTAGTGCCGCAGTTCTGATTATTGATCTTGGTCCAGAAAAAGGGCTTCAGTCTCGGCCCAGTGGCTTTTGCTTTGTTTCCTATCCTGATTGCAGATACACTCGGTGGAGGCGGAACTCCAGGGGGTCTTGGTGGCAACTGAACTAGTAAAGCGTCGAGTGGGGGTGGGGGTGGAGGCGGAGGAGGAGGTGGCGAAAATGCGGATGCCGAAGAAGGGAATGATGGGGGCGGTGGAGGTGGAGGTGGGGGAGGGGGAGGGGGAAAGCGAAAAGTTGCCTGACTGATGTCCTTCAACTCAATAGTAGGGGTCTCCTTATGGTTCGGAACAGCCAATGAAGAAAGAAGTGGGGGTGGGGGTGGAGGGGGTGGAGGTGGAGGTGGAGCAGTCACATTCGATGCTGCGCTTGCATCCGTTTCTTCAGGCGTTCGCACAAAAATCGCTCCGGACTTAAAACCTTGCGATGGAGGCGGAGGAGGCGCGTTCCTTGACTTGAACTCCATTTCTGACATAGATGTCGATTTCGCAGCCAACAACTGCCTAAGGTTTGAAACCTCCGTTTTCAGTGCTGTTAGTTCATTGTCTCGCTTGGCAAGATTCTCGATGGTGCGGCTCGCAATGAGTTGGGCGTCCATGTCGGAAGTTCTTTCTTCTTGCCTCGTTTGAAAGCGTGAGTATACTGATTCAAGAGCGCGTTTGAGGTACACAACCTCCTTGTCTTTGGCGGAAAGAGTATCACTCATTTTACTCAACTAATTCAGAGTCAGGTATGCGACATATGTTATGGATGGGTAACATACCTGAAGCCGCAATTTATTCGTTTCTTCATGAAGAGAGTGAAGCTTTGCCCTTTCGTGTTCTTTCCTTGCTTGCTCCTCCTGTATCGGATATATAAACATTCGTTCAGCGAAGTGAATTTACATAACCCACAGCATCGCGTGCATTGTTCGACATTTGAGAGTTCAAGTGCTCAAGTTCCGCCTGCAGTTGGGTAACTTCTTTCTCCTTCTGCATCAGCCGTTGAACAAGTTTGTTCTGTCGTGTAATCAGTTTAACCATTACCACCAATATGATGGTGTTCGCACCTCATTTCCCCCTTTGCTAGAAGTATTCGGCTTCTGCTGGTTTGATCCTATGCGTTGTTCAAGCCTTGTCTTGAGTGCCGAGTTCTTGGTTGTACATGTGAGATGCATCAACAAAACCGAGCCAAGATACACACCGTCTGAGTCAGACCATCTATTTGGACACGAAGGCTTTCCAGCTCGCGCTTCATCCCACCATCGACGACATCTATGCTTATATCTTGGCCAGTAATGGGCCGTATTGCATCCAGAAACCTTGTAATCAGAGGAATGCAGTCCAAGCCACTACGTGGAGGGTAAATGCGCTTCAAGACACCATGAACCAACACTTACATATCATCTGCAGTGAAGATCTGATCCAAAAATGCATCCACTATAGCTAGTTGATCAACTTTGATGTTCCTGTTACTCGTGTTAAATCACGCCACAACTTTCTGAAAGAGGACCTACAATTCAGCATCACTCTTAATGATAGAAGACAAGCGCTGCAAAATACTCATTGATACAGATCCGAGCCCTATGTTGTTTGCGCTTTGCAGAAGGTCATCCAGGAAAATGTCGGATTCAGAGCGCTCCCTTCCGTGCCCCCCACTTCCTCGCACAGCGTTTCGCGTTCGCTCTCGTAAATCCTCTTCATCATCGTACTTCTCCTCCATATAAAGATTCAATTGAGTCAGTAGAGAGTCTGGCGGTTTCGTATAGCGGAGAGTCTAGACGGTAGCTCTAGTCATCGTACAAAATGGCATGATGATGAGGCAGATCATTTCTCACCACTATGACTTCATTTAAGCCACGCCGTCCAAACTCTTCGCGCAACAAAATGCGGTCTTCCAGGGATTCAGGACAGTTAGTGAGGGTGTTGACGAGGGCCATGAAAGCAGTTCGTGCCTCCCATATACCATCCTCATCATGTAATGATGCATCGTTGGGTGCAAGATCGTTACTCTGGTCTGATATATGCAAAGCAGCGACCAGAAATTCGAAGCGGTACACTTCATCATAGGCGATGCGGTATTCTGATAATGCAGCTATGACGGTCTTGTGACCCTGATTGGGCGAGAGTACACAGATTGCGGCAACAAGTTCGGCAACAAGCATACGTGTCTTGAGAGAGGCGCCGTAAAAAGAATACGCTATATGAGTAATGATTGTGGGAGACGACAAAACGCTGTCAAATCCGGCCTAAGAACGGATCAGGCCATCATGAGGCCTAGTCAAACGAAGATCATGTTTACCTGAGTATTGAGGAGGACCCTGAGGCATTTGATGATCTCTAGCAGTACTGTGCTTTCTATGTCCGCTAAGGCTGTCCTCTTCCCGGCCTTGCCAACGAGTGTTGCGAGCGCGCCACCTATTGCGTCCATGCCATCTTGCGCGATAAATTCCTCGATCCAAGGTAACTTTGCAGTAGACAGATGTACTCGGAGGGAAATAAGATGCTTGACAAGCCTAGGATCCGCCTTCATGCTGCGCAAGCCGTCAACATATCGCTTTACAGTTATTGCACTCTCTGTTTCGGCATTCTTCTCTCCACCTGAAGACGCCCACCAGTTGCCGAACATACTGCTAGTAGTCTGTGTTTGCAGGGGTTGCATCGTGTCCGTAACTTTTTCAACTTCACCACTAGATCGATTGAGAATGGGGGACATAACCGGTGGCGCTGCGGCGCCTGTACCCCAAGTCGCCATTGAGAAGCGCTTCAGTATTCCGGAGTCGCCTGTTAGCTGGGGAACCAGACGAGGAAGAAAAGCTCCCCCGCCAGAAGCTCCCAATGTGGATTGTGTGGACTGGGATGGCCGAGGAGCCTTTCCGTCAAATGTCGAGTGGAAAGCTCGTGCCTGTTCAATGATCTGCCGTTTCTTAGCAGCTGGTAATATATACATCTTGTCCCTTGCGTCTCCTTTCAATGCCATGTGGTCCTATTGATGAATGAAGCCGCGGTCATCGAGAGATAGTGCAGGCTTTCTTACGAGGCAACGGTCAAACTCGGCTTGATCGATCTCCAGTATCTCATCTTCTAGAATACTCGATTGCGTTACTGACATGATACTTCCACCAGTCCGGTGCTCGACAAGGACCGGATCGCTCACGCTCTTGCGCTTCTTTGACGACGAAGGTGGCGAGGCCGGAGGTGTCGGCTGCTGCCAGGCAAAGAGACTCGTGAGTGAACCACGCCAATCTGGAGAAGTTGGTCGAGCGGTGCTGGCATTTGCCGTCAGCGCATCGAGCGTAGACTTCCTCTGTTTTGCAGTGCCCTCTGCACCATCCAATTCCGCTTGCATGTCCTGAAAGCGCTTCAGGGTATCCTCGGAAGGCTGTACAGAGGATGGTAAAAGAGCTCGTGGGCGAAGGTACCATTCCTCTGGTACGCAGAACCGCAGTGTAGGCTTCTGGCGGGAATCTGCCAAGAATGACTGGACGAAGTCGGACAATACTGACGAGGACAAAATCCTCGAAGCTAATAAATATACAATATGATGAGCGAGCACTACATTAGAAAACATCACATCACCCTCACCGCCATTCTGAATGATATATTCAAGGTTACCTCCCCCCGCCATGGGCAAGCTCTTAGCAAGACCCAAGTCTTCGACCACACAACGAATGACATCCTCCACAGTCGAATTTCGAGCATAATATACTGTCCAAATAAACCCATCATGAATCTCGGGCACACGCGCAAACGAGAGAGACAAAGAGAGAGCCGAGTGTAACGAAACCAAGCGTAGTGCTGGGGAATGCAAATGGGACGTCAGAGGAAATGTGGAGAAGTGCCTCTGAGATGCATCTATCACAGGATAGTTTGATCGTTCTAGCAAAGGCGCGATGGGAGTCGACGGGTCGATGATGCCTAAGTCATTCGGAAGACGAAGTGGTAAGTTCCGAGACCAAGCATTAAACAAGCAAGACGTGTGCACGGGATTGCTTACCATCCCCGAGAGCATCGAGTTCCGCCTCTTCCCACTTACGACCATTCGGTTGACTACGAACATACTGCAGGGCCCAACCAGTATCCTGTAGCTCCCCCAGGACACTAGATATCACTTCCTCCTGAGCAATAAGCACTTCGATAAGGTCCTGGGCAGGTGCATCAGATGACACGCTGGGGTGGTGAAGAGATCCGTTAGCCAGCAGGATGGGTACAATGAGTGAGTCGTCCGCCATAGCAGTCTAGATGTTTTACAATCGTGACGATAGTAACTTCATCCAGTTCGATCGCCGACGATGACCAGTGGAAGCCAATTATCATTTTGTTACAACGCTTGAGCTTGTCTCAATTAGTCCTGAGCGCTTGCAGAAATTCCGGACTGGGACAACAGGTCATGGGAACAAGATAACCAATCTGGGCCCTGCAGGCATCGTGAGGCGACTATTATAATGCACAAGGGGTAACGTGGTCATGACGAGCAAGACGTCTTTGATCCTCGCTGTCGGGCAATAAATTATGTTGGCATACTTTCTTGTCAAAGTTCACTATTTTCTTGCCATCGTGTCATAAAAATGTTGGATCCGAGTGAGGGAAATGGAATGAATACAACAAGCAAGACAACAAGCGGGCGACACTGTACAAGAGTGCCCAACTAATACTTGGAAAAAATGGCGACAAAATCATGCCACAGACGAAGTGCCCTCCGTATCCACTGACGGATGCACCATATAATACACTCTTACATTTTCCCCATCTTGAGTGCTGGATGACTGAACCGGCGCAGACTCATCCGTCGTAGACTCTGGCAGCGAGTCTTGGACATCACCACGCACCTCGATGAGGTAGTTGTCCTATGGAGTTATGAGCACGGTATGTCAAGACATACAAGAAATATCTCACCTTGACCAACTTCCTCAATAGCTTTGAAATAAGCTCTTTCTCATATTCCAGCTCATCCACATCCTGAATCTCTGATTCCTTCAGCTCCAAATACCAATCAATCAGCTCATCACGGTCAACGCCCCGTCCGGTCTCACGCTCAACTGCAGACAGATGCAGAACTACAAGGCTTTGTAGTGTCATGTATTTGTCGTGCGTTATAATCATCCTTCTCTTCGGGGCAGGGGCAGGGGGTGGTGCATCAGGCATCATGCTGCCTGCGCGCGACGTTGACGATGGTCCAGCACCACCACTGCTCGTAGCAGTGCGGTTCAGGGCCATACCCAGAGAGCTTTCCTCCTCCATCTGGTCCATCGCTTCCATCTCTGCTGCACTCATCTCGATATCTTGGCTCTCTTCAATCGCATCCGAGGTCTCATTAGCAGGAACGTTCCGCGCCTCGCGTTCGCCCTCTAATTCTTCCTCGTCGAAATCGATATCGTCTTGTTCCACGTGGATAATACTCTGGCGCAGAAGAGTATATGCTTCTCGCACAAAGACTGGCGTGATTTCTGCTGTGCAGTTGGCACGGGCGATGGCTTCGCTCAAGCGGATCATTGATTCCAGTTGACGAACAGTGATCCTGTAGGAGTGACGCCCTGCTCCTGTTGCGTCATCCTGTCGGAGGATGCGGTACTTTTCTACGAGGATATCGGCAGCCTCTGGAGTCAGCTGCACAAAAATCAGTAATATACAACAGACATCAGGTTGTAGCCTACCTTGGGGTTAAACGTCCTGGCATACCGTATGTACCGCTGCAGAGCCTCTGTACTGAACTCCGGATTAATAGCTTCATCTTGGAAGCGATGCACATTCACAATATGCTTAGCGATATTCAGGTCCGTCTTCTCGTCGCACTCATCGAGCACAACAAAGAACAGATCGAACCTGCTCATAATCGGAGCGCTCATAGCAACGTTGGCTCTTAGCGTCCGTTTGCGATCGTAGCGTCCTCCGATGGGATTAGCTGCAGCGAGAATACTTGTGCGAGCGTTGAGGGTCGCATGGATGCCCGCCTTCGCAATGGAGATCGTCTGTTGTTCCATGGCCTCATGAATGGCAACTTGGTCTGAAATGTCCATCTTGTCGAATTCATCGATGGCGCAAATGCCGTTGTCTGCAAGCATGAGTGCACCAGCTTCAATCGTGAAGTCGCCGGTCTCTTCGTCTTTGACGACGGCAGCTGTCAGACCTGCTGCCGACGAGGCTTTGCCAGATGTATAGACTGCTCGCGGGAGAAAAGAGCAGATGTATCTGTTAGTGCATTAGCAGTTGGCTCGGCGTGCATTTATTATCAGTTGAAACGCACTTCAAGAATTGTGATTTTGACGTGGAAGGATCGCCAACAATGCAGATATTAATGTCCCCGCGGAGGTGCATGCCCTCGGCTGTTTGCTTGTGGACACCGCCCATAAGCTGCAGAAGGAGTCCTTTTTTGACAATTTCATGACCGTATACGGTGGGCGCAATGCTTTCTACCAGCCGAGAGTATATGTGGTCCGAGTCGATCATGCTCTTGAGCTCATCAAACTCAGGCTCGGTCAACGAGCGGAGGAATGCCTGTCCATCCTCTTCACCCTCCTCTTCTTCTCCGCGAACATTAGTACCACCCTAGAGGAGAAACTGAGATTCTTTAACGTGATCATAAGCACACATACATACCCTGCCATCAGCGTCGTGCACCATGCATGCTAGGAATGCAGTCTTGTACTGCATGTCCCGCACACCGAGACTCTTAAGCCCCGTCACACCACTTCCGCCCACACCAGCTGTTGACGCGTTTGCCCCGCTCTTACTCGCTTCCCGCATTAACTCTGCTTTGTTTCCACCTGGCAATCCGAGCTGGCTGACATCCGGGACAACGATAAAGGTTCCAGTGAAAACACATTTATCTCCTGCCTTAGCACGTTCGACAAGTTCAGAACGAAGAATGACGTCCAGAGATCGAGGCATGGAACCGGTGGGTATCTCGGACGGATTCTCCTGTATGCGGACCTTCTGCCAATCCGTAAATTTGGACGTATCAATTTGAAGCTGCCATGCGACGCGGTTTCCACATGTAGGATTAGGACAGAGACTTGGCTGGATTTATATAGTAAATGCATACATCCATGTATCTTTGAGGGAACGTTACCTCGGTATATTTGAATTGCTGCTCTATTTCGTTGACGAGACCACCACAGATTTCACAGATGAAACTTCCGTAAAGGAGTTCAGGCCTCACTTCGCTAGTGCGAGTGACAGTGCCGCTGATACTCATTAAGGTGCCTATCTTATCGGTTCTTAGATCACGGATACCGGATACTAGAGGTAGATGGTAGAATGCGATGTTGAATTCTCGTGACTGGAGGTTTGCGGAGTCGGTGGTAGCAGCTGTAGGATTGATCTTGAGGTACTCGGGCTCATACTCTGCGACAAGATTGTGCAGGGCGCGACGGAGGTAGGGAAGGAAACGGTAGTACTGCTTCTGAATCGCGTCTGCAAGGACGTCATCTTTTTGTAGGAGGTGTGTAAAGTCGACATAGAGGGTCGTTATCTCGTATTCACGCATAGTATGGATTTGCTGGATGTAGATCAATTCGCCCTCGATGACCTCTGGAAGGTCGCCATCGGATGCGGGCGTTGAGGCCAATGCGACTTCCTCAGTGAATCTTCACAATACAATCAGAACACACAACAGATACATGGATGTGACCTACGTCTTTAAGAATGCCTCAAAGCTCTCAGACACGCTCTCGCCGACAGCATCTCTGACGAGTGGGACATCACCGTTTTGCTGATTTCTGGGTCGCCTTCTCCGTCTCGTTGTGGATCCGTCTTCATCTGCCTCCTGAGCTTCGTCGTCGTTGAATGCAAGTGCATCAGATGTTGGTCTTCTGCCTCCGGATCTGGGAGTCCCATTAGAAGAGGACATGGTGGCCATGGGTGCACTGCTTGGCGGCAGCGACGACCTGGGCGCTGGTGGAGATGATGGCTCGTCGATATCCATGTTACTGAACTGAAAAAAGAAAACCGCCCTTCGATCGAAAGTTGGTGATTACAATTTACTTTGATCGCGACGCGTTAGAACACGAGTCTGCCTGCCCTCAAGCGTAATATGTCACATCTGTGACAATAGCACGTGATGCACGCAAGCTTAATACTCGCGTGACCATGACTCACCTAGACTCGGAGCTCCTTCAAAGCAGAACGAGGAATGTAAAATTCAGTGCTCTACGCCCATCTATGTTTTTAGCTTAGTCTACCAGCCTAGTGCTGTTGTCGTGCATGCAAATTAGGGGTATGAGTTCTATATGGACTGACATGATGCAAAATTAGCATTTGTTTGCGAATATTGCGGGTCAGACTCACAGTCACGTTTGTCCTGACTCAGGGCTTCAAGCAAACGCTTCATTCCTGCCACCGATGACTGCCACGGATTCTGAACTAGAGCCTCTCGATCCTGCATATGTGGCAGATGTGCTTTCCAGACCTCCTTTTGTTCAGATCCCAGGCGTGTGCAACGTTCGCGATCTAGGTTCATATCCGACTGCGACTCCAGACGTAGTTACAAAGCCTGGTTATGCCTATCGTTCAGCAGAGCTCTCCAGTATCACAGAAGAAGGTTCATTCTTCAAGTCTTCTTAACATACGATCACTCACTCCAATGCAAGGTGCACGGAAAATGGTCTCGCTTGGAATTTTGACCGTCTTTGATCTACGATCAGATCCGGAAATGAAGAAATATAGCTCTCCGATACCTACCATTGAGGGTGTAGAGGTAGTCCCCACGCCTGTGTTCAAGAACGAGGATTACAGTCCAGAAAAGCTCGCCAAGTGCGTACGTGCTGCTGCCACCGTGCCACCCAATTTATCACTGAACTTCCTCAAGGAAATTTGAACTTTACGCAACTGGTACAACAGAGGTATGCGACTCTATCAGACATTTTGTCGTGTCATCGAGCTCCTGCAGGCTTTCATGATCCTTTACTCCCAAATACTAGAACATGGCGGGCCTGCGTTTGGTACCATTCTGCGCCATGTTCGGGACAAACCAAACTCCCCTTTCATCTTTCACTGCACCGGTTCGTTCATACTTCTTCTCATTTCTGTTGTTTCTCAAATTGTATTAGCTGGGAAAGATCGGACAGGAGTCATCGCTGCCATCCTTCTCAAGGTAAATCGCTAGGGTTAGTTCCTTTTAGCATCATAACCTCATTCTTTCTAGCTAGCAGGCGTGGACGATCACTTTATCTCACAAGATTATTCTCTTACACGAGTAGGGCGCGAACCAGACCGTGCAAAGGTCCTAGGAAGACTCTTGAAAGAGCCTATGTTCGCTGCCAACTCTGAAGCTGCAATGCGTATGCTAACATCTCGGTATGTGAAATACAAATTCCCCAACACTGACCCTCAACGCCTTTCCTTAGATACGAGACCATGCGATCCTTCTTCAATCTCTTAGAGAAGTATGGCGGCGTAGAGACGTACGTCAAGACCTATGCTGAGCTAACAGACGAAGACCTGAAAACCATACGTTCGAACCTCGTCGTCACATCAAAGTCTCGGATGTAGATATCTTGATCTCTTGCCACTTACCTCGCATCATATGAACGCCCATCACCACCACACATCATTGATTTATCATGTTATCCATCATTAAAGTATCATGTGCATGCAAGTATGTCCGCTGCAGGCCAAGCCAGTCAAAACCAAACCAAATCACCCCTTCCTGGGTCCCACAGGTAAGCCCAGAGTCCGTCTCGTCCTCTGTTGCATTGCCCCCGGTGCCGTCGCGCCCTGCAACGTGCTCGCCAGCAGCCCATTCTGCCTTGCCTTTGGATTAAGCGGGCTCAGTGCAGGCTTCTGCGAGATGATCGGAGGCACTGGAAGGTCACCTGTCACTCGCCGTCGCATCGGGGGTTTGGTGGATGTCGGCGGCGAGAGCGGTGTAATAGTGATATCATCCTGAGATGAGGTATTCCCAAGATCCTGACGTCGTGCTTTCTCGTGCTTGCTTTGCAGTGCGCGGAAATGATTGAGAAGTTCTTGCCATTTGATCTCATCGCGGCCGAGCTTGGAGCGTGAGGCGATAGGATTCAGTGTCCTAAGATTTGGTTATCACCAGCGCATGATGAAATTAGAGTACGTAAACTCACGCTTTTGGAGCAATATGAAGGAAGCCAGCAGAGTTGACTGCGTTGAGACGATTACGGAGTGAGACGAAAGCGGTAGATTGTGGGAGCAGCATGAGCAACCCATATAGACATTTGAACAAGTAGGGGTAACGCTCAGGCTCGAGGAGTTGAAGGCGTAGGTCTTCCGAAACATCGTCAATCTCTGATTCATCTCATTGATTGATAGCTCACAAGTGAACACAGGAGATTCAATCAGCTGGACCAATTTGTCGACCTGGACCAGCAGTGGAACGGTGATCTCTAAATCAGCACTGGTGTAACAGTTTTAGCAACGATCGAATATGTCATGTGAGATAAACCCACAAGATAGATAGCAAATTTGATGCATGCTCGTAAGCCTGCGCAAGCAGGCACAACGAAAACACTGCAACCGCATTATGACACCATGACCTGTAAAGCGTGGTAAACAGGGCCTGGCCATCTTGCTGCACATGTCGTCAGTGAAGATATCAAATGAGAATGCAGCGCACCAACCCTTGTCTCAAGGCTCTTCAGCCGTTTTCGAAACTCCGCAAGTTCAGGCGAAGTGATCAGGATCATATTCAACTTCTGCACGATCTCGCTTGCGAACTCTAGATCCTGTATAATAGCAGTTAGCGAACATTGCACTAGGGACCACGAAAAACGAGCAACCTCTTCCTTCTCTAAAATTTCTGCAAATGTCTTATATATTCTCTCCGTATTGAGATTAAGACACAACTGGCGAATAATGAGACTGCCGCGGGCCTCGAGGAGCTTCCTATCTGTGCTAAAGAGTTCGAGAAGGTTCATCATGAAAACCTTGAAATAGCTCTCTTCTGAGGACGACGATATTTGCGCGAGGAGCTGCAGGTCATGCTTGATAACCTAAGGAAAACATGAGTCGCGTGACGCAGGTCAATGCACATTGGAGTACCTCTTCGGACGAATCTGACAACGTCTTCAGCAACGCTGGGAAAGTACCATCATCCATCGCAAGAATCTGACAATGTCCTCAGTTTGTACATCCTCAAGACAAATTCAACCATACCTTCTTCGGTGCTTTCTGGTGCAGCATTATAAGCCACTTCAGTGCAGTAACCCTAGTTTGCTCGTGCTCGCTCAAAAACTGTACCGTCAATTCATTAACCGTCGCCTGATAATCAAACTGGTCTGCTTCCTCTGGCACGGGTGAGGGAGGGGTTGGAGCTGGAGCTGCTGGAGGTGGCGGAGCACCCGGTGCACTATTTGATGACATGCGTGATTGAGGCCTGCTCGAAGATTCCGTAATGGTAGTTTGCATTGTCCCTGACCGAGGACGCTGTGTTATGGTGGTCTTATCGGATGAAGACGATGGCTGGTTATCGCCCATTGACTCGGGAGAAGAGGCGTCTCTAGACGATGGCTGTACAGTTATTTGCCGTGAAGGTTGTGAAACTGGGGTTGGTGAGCTTGCTGGCGCAGTTGACTTCTCTGCCGTGTTCGGTCGAGATGGGCCCTCCACTGGCCCGGGCAGGTTTTGAATGACGTTCATAAGTAGCTTGTTAGTCCGGAGTGCAGCCGACTGAATCATCGGAACATGGTGTGCTAGATTCGGGAGTATGGCAGGGATAAGACGAGACGCAAAAGGCACCATAACATCGGGCACGAATGTCAAGAACTCGGCGAGCCAACAAAGGGCTGTAGATTGTTGAATTTCGTCATCTGTGTACGCAAGATAAGTACGGTGCAGTGTTAGCTTGGATGCAAACAACCTACGTTGGTTGTCAAGTTGTTGTATGAGAATTTCTATTATGGCTGCATAGTCTATCCGTACACCCTGTCCCGGAATTAAGGCTGCAGGAGCAGTGAGAAATCTCAACAATGAACGTGTTTAAATAACCCTACCTCCAGTGCCGCGATAATCTTCCGATTTGTGCTCATCCTTCAAACTGAACTCACCATCATGATCGTGACCAAAGTCACTTTCAGGGATGAAAAGTGCGCGTTCAGAGTGAGACATCGTGATGTCAGGAAGCTTCTCGTCTGATCGTCGTATATCGGAGGACTCAGCATGTTCTTCTTTGCGTTGACGAACCATGCTGACATCTCTGATTTCACGTAGGAAATCGGCAAGAATGTTTTCTGTGGCCACACGCACATCCTCCGTGGGGTCTGAAAGGTACTTCCTGAATAAGTGTATCAGCGAGGATTTTGAGCCACAAATATTTCAACTCACAGAATACCGTCTAAGAACTCCGGGAGGTATGTTATAAGTTCCAGCTCCGGAACCGAGTCAAGCACCGTTATCCATGATACTAAGTAGCTCCTTGTGAATGGACTAATAACATATATCCTATCTTGTAGAAGTGGAATGAAGCGCGCGAGGGAGAATGCCTTCTTCTGCACAGAGACATTTTCTCCTAGGGATCGGTCATCGGGGTAAGCAACAAGTATACTCTGCTCCTGAGAGTTGAACAGGTCGCGAATCCTCTCCGTCTCTGGATATTGCGGAATATACACCGAAGCTGTCTCTGCAACAATATCCTTCAGAAGTCGATCAAGCAGCTCTGCCCCATTCTTGACTGATAGTTCTGAATCAGCGGCTAGCTGAGAAGTTCGGCTCAGTCGTAATGCAAAACTTGACGAGGAGCTATCGCACTTTACTGAGGGCGTCGAATATAGGGTTGAAATAAACAAGAACCTCGCCCTTGGACACCTTGGCAATGTTGTACAGACATTCGGCGGAAAAATATCGTATTCTGTTTTCTGGATCCGTAAAGCATGCCAGAACGGGTTCGATAAATTTTTCCATGTAAGGGGCGACGTCGACGCCGAGGGCAATGGCTGTACCAGCTAGGCCAATGAGTCCTCCATTTCTGATGTGAAGGGGATTTGACGGATTGCTAAACATGTCCACCAGCTGTTCAATGATCTGAGCTATACGACGTTGGTCACTTTGCTGTTGGCATTCCCGGATCTGCCTGAGAAGGTTCAACACATTAATATTACGTGCAAGCAGGCATAACTACTTCTCTAGTTCAAGAGCGGCTGCCTTTCTCTTTTCATAAATCTTGTCTACAAGTTGTTTTGCCACAGTGGTGTCTGCAAGACAATGTCAAGTAGCCATTTGACTGTGAGCAAAAGACTTACCCATGACTTCGGTTACCCTGCAGTATACAATAAAACTTACCACACAGATATCAATGAGAAAAGCGGCGTGAAGCCACCTCTGGAGGTTGACGGGTCAAACTGAGTGTGATACCTGGCCCCACCGCGCCGCGTTCGATCGATACGTCACGTGACTCTCATGACACGCGCAGTCGCCGAGGCTTCGGCTTACTTCAGCTACATTACGTAGTCGTTGTCTCAAACCTACATAGTGTAATAAGCCATGTACATAGTGCCAGTTTAGTTGTTTCTGGCACCGGATAATCTCTTGAACATGCTAAACTTTGCTAAGCGAAGAATCACTCCAGAAGTTGAATTATTTGACATTATAAGGAAGCTATCTTCGTAAAACATCTTCTAGCACAACACGTGCATTTTTTGCATCCGCACGTCCGCGGCTGAGCTGCATGACTTTACCCACCAGCTTGTTGAGAACTCGAGGATTACCTTGGCGAACTGCTTCCGCCTCTTCGGGAAGCGCTTCAATGGCTTCGACACACCATGCTCGAGTGGAGGCGTTATCATCTTCCGATACAGCCTCAAGAGAAAGTTCCCGTGCGAGTACAGAGGGAGCTAACGAAGAACGGTTGGCAATAATATGTTTCAATAACGACTTCCCCGAAGTCCCTGTTGATGATAATCAATGCATATGCCGCTGGGCAAAAAGAGAAGGCTTACCAGTAATTTTGCCAGCCTGCACCAGATCGATGAGTTCGCCTAACTGCTCGACAGATACAGGATTATCGCTAAAGGTTTCTTTCCGAGCAGTTAATTGCCCAATAAGCTCGTGCGTCATCCTGGGCGTAAATGCGTATGCATATGACTTCTGCAACCAAGAGAAAACCAAACAAACCAGTTGACAACGACTTTCGGGTCCCTTTGTTGCGCGAGGGAGTCAAAGTAAGTCACAGCACCCTTTCCAAGTTCGCCATCAAATCCGACCTCGCGACCCGAGTCAACGGCCATGAGTACATCTGTATCACGCTCAGATAGCCCAAGTTTCAGCAAACGGGCGCGGGTTGCATCAGGGAGGTCCGGCATGGTCTTGCGGATGGTCTCAATGTACTCCTATACAGGGTTTCAGGTGACATGAACGAAATGACAAGCAGGCCATTACCTCAGATAACAACAATGGGGGGATATTCGGGTCCGGCATGTATCTATAATCAGGAGAATCTGCTTTGCTTCTGAGCCTGAAAGTTTCGGCCCTATTTTCATCGAATCCTCTGGTGTCCTGCGGTACAGAATGGCCACTTTCGAGCAGCTCGATATGACGAAAGACCTCTGAAGCTGTTCGAACCATTAGCAGTGATTCAGAATGGCTGTGTAGACAATCTACTAACTGATCGCTACCATCATGAACTTCACGCTGTTGAGGTTTTTGATCTCACATCGAGTGCCATGCGGCTGTCCATGTTTGTTGACAGACACATTCACATCGCAGCGGAAAGACCCCTACAATAAATTGAGTTAAGAGTGAGTCACATTTCAAGAAGACAGATTACTAACTTGTTCCATGTTGCCATCGCTAGAACCAACACAACGAAGGACGGCTTGCAATGTCCGAACATAATCTGCGGCCTCTTCGGGGGATCTACATAAGTGGACTAAGTCGTCACATGGAACTGATGTAAATCAAAGTAATTCACCGCATATGAGGCTCTGAAACTATCTCCATCAACCCTGAGCCAGCTCTATTTAGGTCAACAAGTGATGTGCGTCGAAGCCCATCAAACGTGGATTTTGCCGTATCCTGTGTTACATTTCGGCTTCGGCTCATACACAAAACTCCACCCGTCTTACCTGCTCAAGCTGAATCTGCTGTATCCCTACTGAAACATCGCCTTTGGAAAGCTTTACATAGCCACTCGAGGCCAGCGGAGCTTGTGGAAAGAATAAGTTGTCAGTCTCCATACTCTACGGAATTGAGTCGAGCTTACAGTAACGTTGAGTTATTTGATATCCTGCCGGGAGGTCAGAGTAAAAGTAGTGTTTCCTGTCGAACGCCGAACGATAATGAACTTTCGAGTTTAGTGCTAACGCCGTCCTGACCGCTAACTCCACGCATTTTGGGTTCAATGTCTGAAAAGTGAGGTCAGCTTGCACGTCGGGAGAACGGGGCGAGGTATAGCCAACTGGTAGTGTTCCAGGGAATGCGGAATCGAATGCGGACACAGTGGTATTGGGTGTCTCACCCGGACGAGATGTGAATGACTCTATGCATGTTTAAATTGTATGAGAACGCGGTCGTTGGACTGGGAGAGACGCACCTGAGAAAAGCTTGCGGCGGGACTTGATCTGAGCATGTACTTCGATACCTATGACTACTTGCCAGCCAGGCCACCGCTTGTCGTGGATTGCTTCAGCATCACGGGTATGGATTTGTCGTGGACGCCAGAGCTGGTGCAGTTGTATAAAATGCCATGGACAACGTCGAACAAGCATCAAAACTTTGACTTTCCTTTCTAAGAAAACTTCTGGGCATGTGCTTGTGCTTAAGCTACATCAAATGCCCATCAGCAGTTGCCAGTTAATCATCATATCATCATTACGAACCATATACCGCGTGAGGGCTGTTCAAACCTGTGCGTAGATGATCAATTCTCTCCTGGAACGCGCTGATACTATCTCGTATCCTCATCTTAGTCGCCGCAAAGGCCGTTCGTTCCAAACAGCTTCCATTCATATCCCCCCACAGATCTATCATTGCATCACAAGCATCATGCCCGCAAATACCCATTCCAACCTCTGGTCGGTGATCCGACAGGATAGCATCAGCACTACTGTCCGAGGGGATGATGCAGAGTCTTTCCTCCCAGTTTACGAACCCCCTAGTGTGGGAAGCAAAGCGTAACTCTGTGTCTCCAAGTGGCTTCTTTTATCGCTGATTGTTCTGCTCCGTTGCTTATCCTTCGTGGGGTTGCTTATCTGATATATATGCGATGTCGATCATGAACAGTAGATATCGGGGACCGCCTCTCACACTGGCTAGATTGAGCAATTCAAAGTGCGTACGTACTATATCTCAATTGTGGTTTCGTGGTTACTAATCCAGCTTCTCAGTCTCTCAGAGTCGTTCTTGCAGATGGACACACAAGAGACGGTGGTATATACCTACAACTTACAAGTCGGGTATGCTCCCCTGCAATTCTCGGTGCTGTACGTCGTCTTGTCACATTCCCCGGTCGTTGTGATTTACCTGAAATGGGAAGCGTCGAACCTGAAGCAGATCAACCAAATTACTACACCCTGTCCCTGTCAATGAAAGCTGGTCATGTCGAAAGAGCGATCTGTGCTCCAATCACCCTGAGACTATCAATAGACCCCCGGCGGCTAGATTTCTCTGTCTTGTGAGTCACAACATGCCACCAAACTCAACAGGAAGACTCATCCGCCTGCCAGCGTCTTTCCTCCACGAACGAGTTTACCGGCTGACTGTCTGTACAACCTGCGCGTTTGGCTCCATACTGCAGGTATCGACCATCGGATATTCAGCGATAACGAGCTTTGGGTTGGGAGAGATCCCGACTTTCGGTCCGTCGGAGACGCTTCATTTGCCGTCCTGCGAAATGCAACACAAGACATGCTCATATATCAGGGCATCGTAGGTCGTGCGCATGTTAGCTTCATAATACGGTTCGTTCTTCTCCACAACATAAAGACCTTGGTTCAATCCAAATCACATAGATGGAAGCTCGTAGAAGTCGGCCTATACAGTCTCTCCCTAGAGTACGAAGCCGGAGGCGCCGGACGAACACTCTTCGACGACTGCTACATGAAACTAGAGTGCGAACCACAAATCGTCTCATTTCTAATCTAGTACGTTTCCCTTCTACAACATCCATTCATATCCTCAACCCTCGCCAGCGTCATACCTGTAACCTCGACACCCCCCGGCGCATCTCACCGCCTCCGCTTCTGGCTTCGCACACCTTTCGTATCGCATTCCCCAGCTTCCTCCACTATTTCCCAGTCCGAATCCTACATCTACCAGCGTATATGGAAATCAGACGATTTCAAGATAGGTGCTAGCCTCAACTTTGAAGAACTAGGATCAAAACTCGTGATGGGTGTCCGCGATCTAGATTCACCACGAATAGAGCGTGATCTTCCGAGTTTGAACCCTGAGAGACGCCGGAGCTTGCGAACACCCACGAATGCAGTTGGTGGCTCGTCACGAAATTCCATGTTGCAAATTCGTTGACTCCTTATATTATGAACTTGACGTATGCCATTTCTCATCTCACGTTGATGTTTATTTCATTTATCACTTACATCCCACGTTTAACATCGAAGGAAATATATAGTTCATGCGTTAGGTTACGATACAAAATTGTGTCTGGTTTTTAAAAATGCTGAAATACGAAAGGAACATATCAACGTTGCCAAACTTCAGTGCCAAGGCGAAGAGTGATGAAAGTGAAAAATAGCGCGAACGCCGGGAATGGACATGCAACAATAAGTCCAACGAACATAAGTGTAGCACTCATCCCACTGTATTGCGCTGTTGAGGTTTGAACGTTTGCCCAATGTATCTCGTCGTGTGCTTCAGTCCCTGTAGAAAAATGGATAAATAAACCAAACACCTGCAGGATGGCCATGCCGATGAAAACTGGGCTGTTGTGCTATAACCTGTGGCCCCCAGAACGAGCAAGCTGGAGCAGAGCTAGAGCTTGGGGGAAATGTTCAAGGGACCAGCACCGTTGAGGAGACCTTTCTATTTCGCTCCCATAGCGACAATAGCGTTTTCACCAAGAGGAAGCTGAGGCGTCTTGATTTCGTTGATAGCCCTGTTGATAGGAGTATATAGGCCATTGGTTTCGCCATGTAGCGTTGCACTTGAGAATGACAAGCCTGGAATACCATTCTCGTTATCGTGATTCGTCTCCGATCTGCTAAGCGCGCAGCCACGCGAGATCAATGGTAAAAACATGTGAGAGAGTGTGTACCAACCGTCTCTTCTTGTTGGGCATATCAGGCGAGGTGTTGCTCGATTTGCCCGATCCCTTCACATACATCACGATGCAGGTCAGTCATGCTCAAGGGAATCACCAAAACCACCCACTTTGCTTGTTTTTGGGCGTTTCAACGCCTGTTTTGGTTGTCGCTCGCCTTCATCAAACACGTAGTTGGGAAGAGCAGAACTAGGTGAAATGAGTGAGATCGGAAGGGATGACTTGCCACATCAAATTGCACGACCTTTTGATGTTCCGCACCACAATACCCATCGTATCTTCATCGTACTTCTCCCACATCTTGACGAGTTTGGTAAACTCGGTGGTCGGATATGATATGTCGAGCCTCCGCGGGCCCACAGCACCAACTTGAAAACAGAAAACATGATGAGCTGCAGAAATTCCGCAGGGAAATTATATAGGGACCGAGGACGCACGAGGCTTTGGTTCGATAAGAAGTCCAATGTAGAAGGTTGTCGAGTAGACCGTACTCGCACCGTCGAGGCCTTCGATGTCAGCTTTTGTTCGCTTGGCGATGATGTCTGAGATCTGTCCCTGTGCAACCTGTCTGACTTCCTCTTCCGTAATACAATGTGAAACCTGATCAAAGCCTTTGATGAATGGATGCGCCAGAATCAGTGAGTCGACGTATTCAAGCTTCATGACCAGCTGCCGTATCCGAGACTCGACGGTTCCTGCCCTAGACGTGACTTGCAGACTTGCCGAACGTACATCGAAAGGAACTCTTACCATTTGATCTGCGTTTCTGCAGTGCCAGTTGATGCGATAACTTGAAGGTAATATCGATACTTGTGGAAGAAGTCGTGTTTCTGGAAAAGTTCTGACCAACTTGCTGTCCCGACAATGACCTTGTCCACGATGTCTGCTCCTATATGACTTTGAGAATACCACAAAAGACAGAATTACAAGGAGGACGCTCACCTTTCTTGAACTCTTCGGTGACAATCATCTGTGTCGATGCTGTTACATTGTGAGTAGAGCACATTGCAGGATATGCGGGTGTGATGATGGGCATCCTATGTGATCGATCTGCAGGATAAAGCTATGGAAAGTAAATGAACAAAAGTGCCTGATTTTCTAAAAAAACGAATAAAGCGCACTTTTGGATTCCAAACGCGAACTTGTAATGGTCCTTCTTCTATTTGCTTCAACAGTACAGGTTGGGGCCACGACCTGGATATCAATAGCATACATGCACACAAAGTACTTCCATGAACAGACTTACCATTGGTACATGATGATGAAAAATCGGCTAACGATCGCTCCCGCGGTAGCATTAGGATATAATTGACATATTCGGGCGACAAGAATGGCCCATGCGACACCACCCAAAAACCCGTTTACGTTCGAGTAGATGGCCCTCCCTAAAGGCAGTGCATCAGCAAGGCACCTCTCCTAAAGCATGATAGCTTACGTTGGGCCCAGAGCTTGATGCATCGAAGCGAGTCTCGATAGACCTCAACATTGGGTACCAGACGCAGAATTTCATCATTCACCCGTGAACCTATGCGCATATGAATATCGGCGAACAATACGAAAGACAAGACATACCTCCAAGACTTCGCACACATCGCTCGTCTAGATTTCGCAAGAGATTGTCATCCTTCAATGACAGATCATCTGGTATAGATGATAGCGCCAGACGAGCCATCAGGAAATCTAATGGTATTCCCGAGATTTTGGTCTTGATAATTGGAACGTACGCTTCCGGCACACCCTAATCATCATCGTCATCAGTCCACGTTGTAAACGCCATACCGTTAGATCAAACTCACCGATACCTCCGTAGCATCCTCTACAAGTTGTTTAAGCATCGGCTCGAACTTTTCAAAAAAGTCTTCGCGAGATACATGTTTAGGAACAACGCAAAGAGTATCAATATCGGACCCAGGTCCATGAACGCCAAGACGGTATGAACCGAAGGTAAATATTTTGCCACCAGCAGCTTTCGCCGCTGCTTCCGAAAGTCCGCGGGACAGGGACACCTCATACACGAATTTTTTGACGACGGCAGCCACACGTCCGAGCACCGTTTCCCTGCGAAAATCGAAAGCGACCTTAGCATCGTCTGCCTCTCCAGAGGATGCACTCGAAAAGGCTAGGCACGAAGAACAATCCAAGAATGATGAAACGCATTTCCAATGATCTTCAACGATGACGCAGCACCCAGGTTCTCGCCGAGTCGTCCGCGCATCGACGTTTCATGGAAACAAAAAAGTATTGATCCTACCTGAGTCGGGCCTCTTCCACACTTTCAAAGGTATTCTGTCTTCTCAACTCCTCCATCAAGGTCGCTGTGACCTCCTTTTCTCTCTCGGTCGATTCGGCCGTCGAAATTGGTGGTGTTACCCCAAGAAACCTGAGACAGCTATCAGCTCAATGATTAGACGAATAAATGTTGCATTTACCCTTTCTCCGTGGTCATGATTGCGTGAAAGACGAGACAGAAACAAACTTGCGGCTGAACTTGCGTCGAGTTGATCGTGTGGTAATGGAATTGGAATCACCCGCGCGCCACCATTTCAGCAGCCTGCTTAGTCACCATTGAGCGTTTCACAACATTGTCAAAGCATAAATTGGGTAAAACTCTAAGACTAGCATGCAAGGGTAGGGGTATGTACTACCAGAACTCAAAGGCACTGGCGATATACATGTGATATACGCTATGAGTAATACAATATGAAGGTTAAGTATCGTCCCGATTGATCCAGGAAGTGAACAGAAACACCCGGCGACCTATCGATCGTCAGAAGAAAGAGTACCATGTTAAAATCAAGAGAACAGGTGAAGAGAGCGTGGATAGAAGCATGAAATTATGTATGGGAGGCTCAGAATTGTTCCTTGCTTCGAATGTATCCCTTCTGAGGGTGCCGCGTAGCTTTGAGGTGACTACGATCATCTGCACGCCTGAGGGCCCATCTACGAGTATACCATGTAACGAAGGCCAAAAAGAGGATAGCAGCGATGACGCCTAATACGATACCAACTATTTTACCGGTTGAAGAGTGACTGCTCGACGGTTCGGGACTAGTGGGCGAACTTGAAGATGATGGGTTTCCACCGAATGGCCAATAGTCTCCACCAGGAGGGGGAAGAACACAGGTTAACGCGTCTCCATTGTTGTTATCCACGAAGTTCGACTGAGTCGTGCTCTGCGCGGTGTTGTTGATATCGATAACAAAGGCTGCAGGAGAAGGTGTTGGGTCACCAGTGGTGCAGTTAGGACCCCGTGCGCCAATAAAAGAAGTGTTTCCAACGAGGACATTATTTTCTACCGTAAAATTGGTTGCAGAGGAGATGGCAATGCTGTAGCTGAATGCACCAGTGAACTGGTTGTTGAGGACTGTCCCGCCAGTGCTGACGTTGTTGAGATACTCGTTCCCGAACCAAGTCCGGGGACCAATTGCGATTCCGATCCTGAATTAATCTTGTCAGAACCTTGACATGGGAAGAAAACAAAAAGTGGTTGGGCGTACTTTATGATGACATCTTCGTTGTTTGTACCATCGGTGGCCGACCCTGTGTCAGGGCTAGTGGCAAACCCACCCATGATGGTATTGTTAGTGACTACAACCCCCTTGTAATCACCACTATAGGGCGTAACGTCGACCATGTTGATTCCTCCGAGCAGTGTATTCTGGATCAGCGTGAGAAACCAACGAAAAAGAACGAAAGATATATGGGCTTACATTCTCAACCCAGATGGTGTTGTTCTCAACACGAGTCCCGGGAGAGCCAAAGAGTACGATACCTCCATCTGTGGGATTATTGATCATGTTGTTACGAATAAGGCTGTTTGAGCATGCGACACTAATTCCATCCGCCCATTGCTGGAAAAGATCGGAACCGGCTGGTCCGATATCGTTGTTCTGGACGGTAACATTGTTACAATTCAAAGATCCCTCAGCAACGTGGAGACATGACCAGCTCCTGGGGTCATAAGAATGGACATATTCGATGAGCTGGCCGGAGTTTGGACCGCCCATTTCAATATTAGCACCACCAGGGATGCCAGGTGCACCAGCCCGGGTGCCATTTATCTGTGAGATAACAATCAGTGGGAGGAAAATATGGAGGTGCGTGTGATGTCACCTGTATATTTCGTAATATGACACCGTCGCAATTAGCGCAAGTGCCATCAACGGCGGTTGTCTGGCCAGTAGCATTTGTGACAGTGCCGCTAACTACTAAGACAGCTCTGGTATTATCTGTTGGATGACCGAAGGTGCTGATTTCTTGATTTGGTGCGGCGAAAAGAATGGGGGCCTGTATGAAATATTGTGTACTTGGACATAGGCTCAAGACGTAACCTGAACCAGAAGAATTGAGAAGAGTGTTTAGGCGATCTGTGACTGTATTGGATGGATCAGCGGGCTCGCAGTTTGAAGCTGCTCGAGGTACAGCCATCATCCTGTGAAAAGTTGTGAGCGAGGAAAGAGGGACAGAAAAATTCTCATACCTGTGGAGATAATTGAGAGGCATGGCGAAAGTAGTAAACTCGGCGAAATATTGTAGGTGGAAATGAGAGGTCAAAACTACTAGGAAAACAAAGGAGATAGGACAAAAGCAAGGATACAATGGAGCCGGAAAGCAAGGGTGTCAGTGAAAAGGTGAAGAAACTTAAGGAGTGGAGCAAGCAACTCAGCCGAGCGAGCGCCTCTCAAATGATTGATTTGATGGATACTTGAAGTTCAGAGCCGAGGGCAGCCAAGCCGGTCGGGAGCATGTCATGATTGCCTAATCAAGATGTATCATAGTTACGGTCTTCCTTCTGCCCTTGGTAACGTTCTTCGGTCAATATTTACTTCCCGCTCCCTCCTACGAACATAGTACACTGGAACACGTTCAAGGTAATCGATAACGCTTCGTCTGAAAGGCTATGCGAGTTCAGGTGAGCCAAGTCGTGATCGGGCCTTTTGAAAATGTCTGATTCACATCTATGATAAGCCTGGCCCTATGGCATAATACAGGTTTGATGTTTCAGGCTGGACCTTGGCTAAGATCGTCACAGCAAGGCCCCTCTAGGATCGAAAGAAACGGGGACCTCATCTAATTCCAGACACAGGTCAATCACACTCCTATAAATGAACTTTGAAAGGGTGTCCGCCGGTCTCAAGCAGAAGACCAGCTGACAGCCATCTTATCTTGCCTCGACAGGTACTGCACATTGTTGAAATACTTTTTCGGTCCGTAACGTGCAAAGTTAGAACTGCTACATATAGCGATCGGACCGGGGCGAACTCTAGGCCAATGTTGCCTCGACCAGCAATTCTATCAGGCAAGATACTCTTTGCACCAGTCACGAGGCTCCGTCGAGAGTGGAGGTGTTCATGCGAAGAATGCTGTGTAGTCTCGACGAGTGTCGGTGGCAGGCACATTGGCCTCACCCTTCTTGACTTTCATAATTACGGCAAGCACTGTGTTCTTTAAGGTTTGCACAGATTTTGCAGAATGTTTCAAATGTATCTAGGGCACTGATATTATACCGTCATGTTGTGCGAAATGTGTGCTCTTATGCATGAGAGGATCGTCGTAGCAAAGACCTTGAGTGAACCATCTTACTTCAAGCATTGATTTCAAGCTGTTATAATTTTGAACAAGATGTGTACTCGTGCTCAATACCAAGCTAGTATTTTCGCTCATCGACGTGACTTCCATAAGTACCGGTATGGAAGAAGGATAAATTTATAAGCTTGGTACTTCTTCTTATCTTTCTTTCCAAGTCGCTCCCACAATGATTGTTATTCTAGTTTCGTGCGACCGCAAGATCTTGCTCACAGGGCTGATCGCCAACCGAGTAACCATTCTGCTAACCCCATCATGGCTAAACTGCTGGGTGTAGCATTAGGCTTCTTGAGCCAACCATTCACCCATCTTTCCCAGCTATCGTTCTTGACTGATTCCGTCGGGCTAAACAATGGTCAGGTTATTACCCCACAGGTGTCCAACTCTATCCAAGAGACCCTCGATATTTGGAACATCACTGGACTCTCTGTCGCAGTTGTACCGAGGTACGGCGATCCGGAATTTCATTCATGGGGAAACGTGACAGAGGACGGGGAAAAGACAACAGAAAATGTGCGAATCTGCTCGAGTTTCTTCTTGTACGAACTCTGAATATCCAATTTCCAGACATTATTCCACATGGCATCTGTATCCAAGGCTTTCTGTGCGAGCGCTCTTGGAATTTTGATGGATGACTATCAATATGGAAGAAATGTCACCCCGCTTCCCCCTGCTCTGTCAGAATTCAACTGGCACACCTTAGTACAAGATATCCTTCCGGGAGAATGGCAATTGATGGATGAATGGGCGTCCAAGAAAGCTAATATAAAGGACATCCTCTCTCATGTGTCTGGCCTTCCCCGGTAAGCTGGACTCAAATCCTTCGCTCCAGCACAAGATTCTATTGAGCGTGAACTAGCCATGACTACTCGTATGGACCATACGACAGCCCGAAAGATGAAGTATTGCGCATGCGCTATCTGAGGCCAGCTTTTGAACTCCGGGAACAGTGGTCGTACAACAACAATGTAAGGCAGTCTTGGCAAAAGCCCTACATACATCCTCATAATTTTCCAAACAGATGTTCACGACAGCCGCATATATCGTTGAAACTTACTCCGCACAAACGTACACCTCTTTTGTAGAGGATCGAATTTTCACCCCACTAGGAATGTCTTCTTCTACTTTCTCACCCGCAAAGGCTGCGAAGACCGGCAGATTCACCCAGGGATGGACCAGCGCCGGGAGACTCTTGCCTGAGTGTTTCACAGAAGAGACGGCAACCCTGATGGCTGGTGCAGGTGGTGTGATTTCGAGTGCCGTAGACATGGTAGGTGTCTTTCGTATTCGTTCTATTTACCAACTAAAGCGTTTGTTGTCATTCAGTCGAAATGGGTTGCAATGTGGCTTAACAAGGGCATGCACAACAACGTCACAGTCATACCGCTTTCTGTGTATGGAAACGCCTCAGAATCATACTCCGTATCCACCAGCGCCTCGGAAGATCCCGAGAACTCAATTGGGGGATATGGAATGGGTTGGTTCCGAAACTCATACCTGGGCCACGACGTAATAAACATTCATCCGTTATCATGCATGATGACTGATACCAAAGTATTATTAGATCGTGTATCATACTGGTTCAGTTCCAGGATTATCCACGCGAGCCTCATTCCTTCCAAATGACGATGTCGGAGTCCTTGTTTTTGCCAACGGCGGCGATAAAGCAGCACCTGTGACGAACATTTCTAACCGCATACTCGACGCGGCTCTGAACCTGCGATCAAAGCCATCACCACCGATGTTCGTTATTTTCATTACCAATCACCTTTCCCTTTACTCACTCATCACTGGTTCAGTAAACCCAACACCTCCGAGAAGAAACCATTCGCGCCTCCATCCGAAAACGTCGTCGGATTGGAACTCGCACTCGAAGAGTTCTCGGGCACATACACCAACGCTGGATACGGCGCCATCACCTTTTGCACTCCCTCCGGCAGCACCCCGTATTGTCAAGACGTGATCTCCGACTTTGCTGCGGTGGATGCAGGAAAGTCGAGCGCTCCCCAGTCGCCTCAGCTGTTCGCAGCGTGGCCTCGCATATGGTCATCTCATATTCGAGGCGTGCATCGGTCTGGGAATACGTTCGTAGTTCAGTACACCTCGTTGTTCCCGGAAGGATATGGGCGCGACAGCACACCTTTCGAGACGGCGGAAATAGTGATGACAGAGGCTACGGCAGAATTCGTCGTGGAGGACGGAAAGGTTGTTGGGTTTGGCGTGATCGGGATGGTAGGTCAACTCACGGAGAGGGAGCGAACGCACACGAGTGTGAAAGACCGAGCTGAGATTTGGTTCGATAAGGTGTAACAAATACAAATTATGTTGGATACAAGTAGCGCGTTTAAACGGGAATTTCAGCTTGAACTATATGTACATGTACTTATGTCGAGAAATTTACAGACTTAACAAAACGCATCGATTCATACACTATCATAGATATTAGTGCTGTCCACATTACAGGTTATATTTTAATATAATATTATTATTAATCATTATCTTGATTATAATACGGGCTCGCGGAGGGGTTCTGCATACACCGTACAATCCAGTACATTACATTATTGTATGATTACATTATAGTATGACCTGTGTATTTAATCATAATCTTTAAACTTTGAATGGAGCAATCAGATTGACGTGGATAAGGTGAAAACTGTACAGCTGGAGCAGTAGTAGTTCCCACGCTCCACCGTGGTCAGCACTCAGCGCAGAATTTAATATCTTTGCGCTTCTTGTTATCAGGGCAGCACAACTTCATGGCGCAATTGGGCGAGCAGCAAAAACAGCTTGCCCAATCACTTGCTGATCTTCATTCTGTTATAGCCGAACTCCCTGGTTCATTGCCAGAAGCAGCCGAGGATGGTCCGATTGGCCATCACTTATGTGATTTCAGCGTTGATGAAGATGAAGGTCCGTTTTACTCATTCAACCGTGCCTGGGAACGAGTGTTTCAGCTACTCCGAGAATGAATGGCAAAAACTGGTCATGCGAGGAAGACACGGTGTCATTCTCGCACACGATTTTGCTGTGCACTTTGCTGCACTACCGAACATCAAGCAACATGATGGACTCAGTCTTGATGAATGAGCGCATCAAAGCACTTATCAAACTGCTTCAATTGGCTGTGCAGCTCATGTCATCAATCTCGTTGTGCAGTATGTAGCGTGATATTCACCTTTCACAAGACTGACGAAGTATAATACTGGCAGGGCAATATTGCACAGGCTTCACACTGCCCCAAACCCTGATGAGGAAGGACCTCTATGAGAGTGCTCGACAGTTCCCGCTTACATACTCACCTGATGACGACCCCGAAGTCCAGCAAGAAATGGAAGAGATGCAAAAAGAGGCAAAGAAAAATGATGGGGATGACAACACGAACCAAGGTGATGAATTGGATGCTTATGTTTCCAGTGATGATGAAGGTGCTGTGACCATGAGTAAGAGTGCCAAAAAAGCGAAGAAGAATCAATATCTCACTGCAGTTGAAAAGATAGGTGTATTTTGCTATCCGAGTCAGTTCTGATGCCACTTTCAGCTTCATGCAATTGTAGTCGACATTCTCGCTTCAGAGGTTCGTCGGAAATGGATGTGCCGACTTATCCGTCAACTATGTGATGCACGTTACAAGGGGCTTGTTCCCATTTGCAGCATGCCCATTCGGTGGAACACGACACTTGCAGAAATTGACCGAGCTATGAAGCTTAAGCCAGTACATAGTTTTGCAATCAACTCACTTGACCAGGGCAGCTTACATCATTCAGGCAATCAACCAATAGGTTGATCAACTCGATGCACGTCTCATTGGGAATATGGTTACATTACCATTACATTTCAATACAATACCTATATGATTAAATACTCTTGCTCGCTGGCCCGTAATATTATGAATACATTATATTATGCTCCTCAGAGTATTATAATCATAATTGGACAGCACTAACTATTAGATATGCATACCACAAACCCAACCCAACCTATAAGAGTCTGTTTGGCCACCATTATTTACACAAGTTAGAAATTATATTTTGGCTTTCATAATCATACCGTGCTGGTCACAGTGTGACCAACCTCAATCAGTCAATACTAGTAGGCATGCCTGTTACCCATCTACAATCTATCCATCATCGCAACTCTTACAGGATGTCTCGGGGCAGAAAAAGTGCCCGTGGTGGTGCAGAGCCAACGGAAACGAGAGATCGGTGTGTGTGGACAGAAGCAGATGAAACCGTCCTCATCGAGTATGTCACCACCAACCGTTCACAAGTGGTGATGGTATGAACTTTGATCACACATTTTGGGTTGCTGCTGCCGCTAAAATGGAAGGACACCCCTGCTCAGGTGCAAGCAAAACAGCAGCAGCATGTCAATCAAAATGGGGGCGGGTATGTACTACTACTATATCAGCCTTGGTACCCTCACTGATGATTGAGTTTCAGCTCTGTGCTATGTTTAATGACATCAACAAAGTGGCCAATGCTTCTGGACTATCTTACAGCATGCAACACGGAGCTTCAATCACTCCAGAGTTGGAAAACATGTGGACCGACTTTGTGAAGGTAAAGTGATTTCAATTCACATCAAACTACTATGACAATGCTAATTACTATGAACCAATAGAAAAATCCAAAGGCCAAAGGCCTCAGGGACAAGGGTTGGAAACACTATGAGTCACTGAAAGGACTCATACCTGTCAAGACAGGTAACAACAACTCATTCTTTGCCATCATTGCGACACCACCTCCCATCATTCCTTTTCCTTCTCCTGGCAGCACAGTCACCTCCCTTTCATTTGATGAAGTCCATATGATGGACCTTGGAGATGCGCTTGATGGGATCGAGTTCACCAACTCTACTTCAGGTGGTCAGTGCGCAACCACCATCAGCTCAGAGAGCCTCCCTCCATTTAACACCGCACAGCAACCCTCCCTTGAGCCAGTCCATGTTAGTACACCATCATCAACTGTTTCCGGTAAATGGAAAATGATTGATGATGGCAAAGGTACACTTGCTCCCGTTACCCACCCCCCACTTTCAACGAAATCAGGAGACTTGGTGAAATCTGCACGCCTGACAATGCCTGCAGCCATCCAGCAGATGGGAACTAGTATTGGCGGTCTTAACACAACATTCGAGCATGCCACCAATGCTCTTAAGGCTAACACCTCCAACACCTTGGTGCAATCAGTAGATCCTATCCCTTTGCATAGGCAGAAGGTGGTCAAAAAGTTGCAGAGTGAGGGTCTAGAGGATGCACAATTACTCAATATATTGAATAAATTTTAGGCTGACATTGCCATCATTGACATTTATCTCGCTATTGAGGTAGATAGTCTTCGGCAGTTGTTTTTAGAGCAGCATTCAAAGTAGTGTTACATTCATATTCTTGTTGTGTTGTGTTCTCTTGTATTGTACTTGTAGTAAAGCAATATCACTGTTTCTATGGATCATAGTGATCAACAAGAGTCCAATCTTGATCTGACAACAATGTCATCATTTGACGGAGATACTTTGGATCATAGTCATCGACGAGAGTCTGATCTTGCTTGACGGCTATGGTACTAATGTGACTACAGTACTAGTGGTTCTATGATTGCCTGCTCCCCCCTCTGAATCCTTTCCCTGTTGTAGTCCTCCCACATCTCACTAGTGATCTGGTCATGATGGAGGCTCACATGAGTGCGTGCGTGCTCGGTAGGAGGACTGTTAGCAAGATTACCAGTGTCAGTCAGAAAGTGCTCATCTAATACATTACAATAGTCCATCATGTCGTTTGGATCATGAACTCGAATAACATTGTGCACAAGACACAAGGCAGGAGGGGATACGTGCTTGTACGTCCATTTTATACTCTGGTGGTGTCTTCTTAGATAGATGATCTATAGATGAACACCTACAGAATCAAATATCTCCACGGTCAGTGATTCAGACAAATACCAATGACTGATAATGTGGTCATTTGTGGGTGGCCTGTCAGTATATCCAAGCTACGGTCAGACAAAGGTACTCTACAAAATCAGTATAGAAACACTAGTCAACCCAGCAGTATGGTGTTGACTAAAAGAAACAAGAAACAGAAACAGAACTAAGACTAGGCACAATCAATGGTGCTATATTCTAAACTTACTATGAAACAATTGTGTGAAGATGTATTGGTCACTCCCACAGCGCAAACAGGTAGGATCAAAGGTCAAGACTTGTCAAAAGCTTCCGTAGAACTCTTAGCCTAATATTGAATCTGCTGCCAAGGAACTCGCAATTGTTACGACTTGGATGGTATCTGTTGGCGACGCTCAAACAGAGCTTGTGTCGTCAACGGTCTGTGGACGTCCTTGGGCTAGCCCAAGGTTAGGGGTCGTACTTGGCGTGTCTTCGGCAAGTACGATTTAACGCCTATGTCCAAATCGGGTAGCTTATGTCACGCGGGTGCGAGACGATAAGCTATATCGGCCTAGGCTTATGACACCCGAAGGTTAATCGTAAGGATCGTCGTTAATTAGAAGGACAGAAGTCCGACTAGTTAACAGGGGCTTTGCTCGTCGACGAAGTCGATGAGTAAAGGTCGAGACTATAGGCTTATCCGCGATGAGCAGATAAGAAGATAGAATATAGACTGCTGGCGAGGCAGAAGGATCACTCTGGTGAGAGTAGGAGGTCAAGAACCAAGTAGATTCAAGTTAGGGAATATGGTACATGGTAGCGAGTTTATATAGAGGACAGGAAACGTATTAGTGGGTGATAACTCGTACTACCGGGAGAGGCAATCGGTAAAGGGTAAGACCATAATAGGAAGGCACGTTTGGTCTGGGCAGAACGTGCTAGATAAGAAAGTGAGTCAAAGATCGAAATAAGAAGTGAAACGCGCAGGGGCACGATCGTGCAACTGCGGATCTAAGTATAAGTCGCATGTGCGACTGCGCACCGAGTCAGAGATCATAAAAGGGAACAGGGCAAAGGGGATGCGTCGTGCATCATATCATAGGTTACCGTCCGGACGGTAAGGGCAAGGGGACTGTCCGCAGGATCAGTCAGGTGGTGAAACGGAGCATGGGTATGCTTCGTCAGCGAAAGGGTCCGGCCAAATGTACTGGCTTTGCTGAAGCGACAGGTAGAGGGCGAAAGGGAATGTGAGGATGACGAGGATGACAAGGGTAAGGTCGGGGTAAGGGTATGATGCGAGGGCTGATACGAGGAGGATCAGGAGAAAAATAGTAGGGGCCCAAGCGTCTAGATGTTCTTGTAACAGCAATGAGTATTAAACAGAATCAGAAACGGACGTCCTTGGATTTCAATACCAAGTCCCCTATTCAATAGCTAAAGCCTATCTGACAAATGACAATCCTGGCTCAGTATACTACTCAGATGTGTGAGGTCAAGCGGACAATAATCAACTCCTGAAGTCTCCCCACTAAGCCACTCTGAGCCTTTAGCGGACGTAGGGACAACACGAAGAATCAGAGATAAGGCTCAAATGTATTCGCTACAATCAATAGTATGTTAGTGTCAGCAGCAATAAACAAACACTCAGAATATATTCACTAGAATCTATAATGTGTTAGTGACACAACAATAAACGAGCACTCAGACTGTTAGCCTTCAATGAGTAGAGAGAGTGAAACATATCCTGAGCTAAAGAAATAGATAGAGTGAAACAGAGCCCAGACTAGTGAAACAGAGATAAAAGAAATAGATCCCAAGCTTAAAAGAAATAGATCCCAACCCTAGAGAAACTGAGATAGAGAGATGGAGACAGAGACACACGCTGACCTGCACCAAACTGGTCCGGTGTATGACCGTGTGGTGTTAGTGAATATTTTTTGGGAATTTTGCATGGAATGAATTTTGTGTTATTTGGCTCGAAGATGACTCAGCTAGATTCTCACGCATCTGAAGCTTCCATGAAAAATACTTTCCACATATATTTGTTTGCGGGAACTTCCAGGAAACTTTAAATACATATGTTACCCGGTTTTGCTTTATGACATATGCTACGTCTCTAAATAACATCAAATACAAACAAGTTTCAACATATTATGTAAACCATGTTTTCTTACCACAGTCAGCTGATCTATGACTAAGCCTGACAAATCATGTTCACCTACGTACGATTCACACGGATATTATGATCTATGACAAATAATGTAGTATATCTAGGTATGTGATAAAACAAAAATTGAATATACCTAGGTACGCGGGAGTAAATTAGCACAGCCACATAGATTTGTCTATATAAGGACCTCCATTTTGGCCTGAAATGCAATCAATCTGACTCTCAGAGTCACTCTTAATAAAATTGCGAGTGAGGTTTGTGTGTGATCAGCATCAGCAACAACCACGAAGAGTTGTTCAACATTGTCCGGTACATTGATGAGACAGTAGGAGCCATTGAGCTCACTGTGCTCAACAACCTGCAAGGCCTAGTTATTTGTTTTGAGAAATCTCTTGTTTTTCTGAGTGTTTGTGTTTGTGTGCACGTGTCTCTGTTTCTATCTCTCTATCTCTGTTTCTCTAGGATTGGGATCTATTTCTTTTAAGTTTGGGATCTATTTCACTCTAGTCTGGGATCTATTTCTTTTATCTCTGTTTCTCTAGGCTTGGGATCTATTTCACTCTAGTCTGGGATCTATTTCATTTTGATTGGGATCTATTTCATTTTGTCTGGGATCTATTTCTTTTAAGTTTGGGATCTATTTCTTTTATCTCTGTTTCACTCTATCTATTTCACTCTCTCTACCCATTGAAGGCTAACAGTCTGAGTGCTCATTTATTGTCGTGTCACTAACATGTTATAGATTTTAGCGAACTAGCAGTAACCCGTGGCTTTGCCACGGTGGACTATCGTCTGACTCGGAGTAAAAACAAAGGTGCACCGATAGATTCAAAACATGGCATAGCGAATACATGTATAGGTAAGTAGCAAATGTGAAAATAATGTACAGTAACTGTGATTACACTCGCATTCAGCTTCGAAATTAAGTGCGAGCACGTTTGGATGGTGTACCGTCCTCAGAGCTGTCATCATGGTCGAGTAAAGAGCGTTTGTTTGCTGGCGTGCGGTCGACTTGTGAGAAGCTGAATTTCAACTGCGATCGGCCTGGAGTCGGGGTTGTAGAAGTAGTAGCACCTTGCCATGTACAGTGTGTAAGAATGATTCAGCCTATAGTGAGAAGACGGAAAATTAGTACTCACCACGTGAACTTGAACCAGTCGATGCAACGACAGGACGGCCAAGGAATGTGATGTTATCCACCTCAACACAGAAGCGCTGAGTCTCATTTTTGTCGCCAACTTTGGTAGTCTTGCGGCCAACAATGAATCCCCCGATACTGACATATCTATTGGGTTGTACAATAAACCTCTTCCCTGACAGTGACTTCTTCCATCTAGCAGTGTCAGGGAAGGTACACTCAACCGGCATTAATGACCTGAAGTTGGTGCCCGATGGTTCCGGTTTAAGAGCAGCAACATACTGATGAGCATCAATGTAGAACGACCGTGCAAGGTCGTCGACAGCGCTGACCGTGCCGCAGATTTCGATGTAGGGGGTGAATGTGGGCTCAATGCCTTGGCCAGCAGGAATCAACTAAAATGCCAAGTAAATTTCAATGTCATCACGAATGAAACAGAGAAAGATGTGCCCTGATGATATCACCAACTAAATCGTAGTCCATTTCTTCCATTCCTGGAAGAAGTGAGAGGCGCGCTCCAGATTCCATTTTTGCCACCTGATGTAGAGCTCAGCCGACGGACCTAGCTATCAGTTATTGTAGAACTCACCCTTGCAACAACGAAGTAGAAACCAATTTCATCGAAAGCACGATTGGTCGAGTTGAAGAAGCGCAATGCTGCTAAAAGTGGTGGACAGGATTCACCAAGGTAAATCTGGGCATCAAATATAAGAGTCATGCCCTGTCCCTCAGCAACTCGTCCATTCTCAAAAACAGCGACAGCGACAATAGTAGCAGAGCTAGCGCTAGAATTGGTCATGGTAGAGAAAGTAATTAAAAAAAGAGGAAGATTTGAGCAAGCACACTGAGTCTGGATCACAGACCTTGCAGCATTTATACTCTTCAGACTTGGGAATGACGACGCCAAGGGTAGCGGAAAGACACAGAAAGTTCGCGAAGCTACCTACGACAGTGACGGAACTTGTCATCATGGTTGTTAAGGTTGCGCAGCGGAAGCGAGTAGTGACCGCCAGGGTTACCAGCAGAGATGCTGCCTATGATCATGCTAGGGATTAATCTCTGAGCAAAAACAAACATCACACAAAATGTTAGACACAGATATCATTACGAAAATGAGTGAACCAAGCAACTTCAACCCAGCATTATCATCTCACTGCAAATCTGACAAGTCCAACGCACCAGTAGATTAGCAAGGTTGGAAATCACTGAAGGAATAATGAAACTAACCAAATTAAAACTTCTGGATACACAACGTTCAGTGTCTTCGAGGTTTCAGGTGGAAGGAGTACCTTGATATTGCGACCAGATGTAGCGCGTGAGAGGGCAACATAGAGTTGACCATGGCTAAAAACAGGCGTGCGCAAATCCAATCCGATGAACTTCACAGACTGCCCTTGTGCCTTGTTTATAGTCATTGCGAAAGCGAGCCGGACTGGGAATTGGCGTCGCTTTAGAACAAAATTGAGATCAGCAGTTTTTGAAGATGGAATGAGGGAAATGCGCAGGATGAAAGCTGTTTGTCCATTGTGATCACCACCCAGAATTTTCACTTCAAGCACTCGCTCTGACATGTGTAAGAGCACCATACGCGTGCCATTACACAGTCCCTGGTTTGGTGCGAGATTTCGAAGTAGGATAAGTGGGCAACCGATCTTCAATGATAGTTCGCCTGCTGGCAAACCAGATGCACAGAGTGTGCGCAAGAATTCGACAGGGTAATCATTGGTGTCATTTCCGTCTGAACCTTCTTCATGAACAACTTCGTCAGCGCTAAAGTATGTGCGCTCGTCTCCCACCATTTGGGTTAATATCTCCCTATTGATTCCATCAACGTCGCTATTGCGTGGTGCCAGTATAGTCCGATGTTGGAAATATTCTGCGGGAGGAGGGCCCTGTGAGTTATTTGAGATTCCGCCATAGATATTGTTGATGAGTGTCCCAAGATCGTGTGTAACCATGCTTTCTGGCAGCATGACACTGCTATCTGCATCTGAGTTTCGTCCATGACCGATGTCAAGAACCCATTGTGCGAAGTTCTGGTTGTCTTGATCATTTTCGACACGCATATTTCGTGCAAGCCGGAGAATTTGTACATGTCTCCACAGAGGGGAGCGTTGAATTGTCGCTGCAATAATGTCCTCTCGAGATCCTAAATGGAAAGCAGTAAATTTAAATCAAATTGGTCGTTGCATTATTATATGTAGTACGAACCTTTTGGGATCACTGGAAGTGTCTGCAGAAAATCGCCACCAAACACAACTGTAATTCCGCCAAATGGAACATCATACTTGTTTCGAATATCACAACAGGACCTGTCTACAGCCTCTGGTGCATTTCGAGTCTGCATCGCAGCCTCATCCCAGATGATAAGGCTTGTCGCGCGAATAAGACCTGCCAACATCCCGTCCTTTGGAATATTGCAGAAAGAGTCTTCATGAAGACTGTCCACTGGAATCTTGAACATCGAGTGGGCTGTACGGCCACCCCTGAGGAGCAGCGCAGCAATGCCGGATGAGGCAACACAGAGCACAATCAAGCCTGCAGCTCGCACATGATGACATAAAACCTTGTAAACAAAAGTTTTTCCGGTTCCACCAGGGCCATTGAGAAAGAACACTTCACCCCGCTTGTGCTCAATAGATTCGGTGATGCGTGAAAAAGCTTCTCTCTGCTCAACATTCAGAAGAGGGACTTGCATGTGTTCCTGCTCGTGTTCTGCATGTCTGTCATATGCGAGCTGATCAGCAATCAGGCGGTTGTCAGCTCCAGCAGCCCAATTGCGACGTGGTACAGGCATATTGAAATTTTCTAATGAGGTGCCTGACTGTCTCAGAATATCATTGAGACAATAGAGGCCGTAATCGTAGACATCATCATCACTTGGATGGTCATAGCGTAGGGTAGCAATGAGCCGATGTCGCAGGTCGTCGCAAATGTGTAGCCGAAATTGATCCCAAAGTGCTCTTGGGTCGGTGGGAGAGCAGAACAAAAGGAGAGTCACGAAAAGCTGGTGCAGTTGTGCTCCAGTCTGCATTACTGATGCCTCCTCTAGGCACTGTCTCCACTCTCCATCATCCTCCAGCAGGCCACGTGCGAGGCATGCATTGCGAAATGTTGGATATGTGGTGCCATTGAATGTTCGGAGGTCTTCAAAGGATGTCAGGCCCTTCACAACTGTCAGAAGAACGCGCAAGTAGAAGTGTTCACCTGCTGTTAGGCTGACATAGTACATCCGTCCCAATGCGAATCCTTTCTCTCATGGTTTCCATGACTTTGTAGTAGCTTTCCACGTGAAGTGTTGTGGAAATTCTTGATATGTGTATTTTCGTGCTTCGACTTGTAGTGCCGGATCAGCATTTGCTTTGAAAAATGCTGTCAGTGTCGTTCGTTCGCCAGCTGCTCGTTCTAGAATTGCATCCGGGTCTTCGTTAGGATCAAAGGTCACCAAATGTTATCCAGGCAAATGGACCTGCAGTCGCGTGATCGAAGGCGATTGTTCATGGATATGAAATTGGAAAATCCTCCATATTGATTCTGGAGCAGAAAGATATCTGCCGTCAATGAACCGACGAATCTCGTCACGGGAGTCAATGGACATTGAAGCACGGTCCTGTCCTTTGCATATATATTTATTGACGTACTTGACTGAGCTAAAGGACACAGCACATTCAACATTTATGTGACAATCGAAGGCTGCCAACATAAATGGATTGAAAGGCACAATCCAGCGGTTATCGAGGTCATGTTGGCCCACCTTGAAGGTTCGTCCATCGTCAGGTCGAAAGTATCGTGGATAGCCTTCATGGTTAATGGTAGTCTGAGCTTGGAATGGCTTTGGATAGCCCTTCATGCACTGACCATTGTCCATGCATGGAGAATTGGGATTGAGAGCACCACACGGTCCATGTACCATGCAGGCTTTGATGGTCTCGAAGAGTAGTGGATGTGCGTGGGGATCGGGCCATCTTGCCCAGATGGCGGTGTCAATGTCAGCTGGCGTCAAGAGCTTGTGCAGCTGATCGAGGAAAATCAACATGTGCATATGGGGGAGACCACGCTTTTGAAACTCGATCGTGTAAATGTAGGCAACGGTCCGCCCAAACACACCCTTCTTGTAGACATAATCCAGAATTGCCCGTTTTTTCATGTGAAAGACTCGTGCCACTAAGTCAGGGCGGTCTGCGGCTTTTTGACCTGGCAGGAGCTCACGCATGATCTCAGGCCACCTGGGGTTGCAGGTGACAGTCATGAATATATCAATTTTCTTGAAGTAGCGGGCCAGCGCAAGACCATCTTGATAACACTGATACATATAACGCGGGCCACCAGTGTATGACGACGGAAGTATGACACGCTGACCGAGGTCATGGAGGTTCAAGTCATGGTCACCAGCAGCTGCAACAGCATCCTCTAAACCACTGTAAAGTGATGCTCGCAGCTGAGGCTGATGTGTGCGAAGGTACATGAGCCGATTCTGCTCAGCACTCGCAAACATGTCAACAGTCCATTGCTGGAAAAGAGCACCACCTCGAAGTATGGTAGAAAACTCGTTCGGGCGTGGAAAGAGCCGGTATGCCACATAACGAATCTGTGTAAGACGGCTGGGTGTCTCTTTACTTGGTTGGTGCATTTGTAGCTCGTAATGCCAGCCATCTTCTCCGTAAGGAAATAACAGAACATAATGCAAACATGCATATGAACGGTGCCCATCACTGATTTTTTGCAGTGGACCCTCGCGTCGGTGAAGGACAATGTCACGCGACCCTGTTGATTCAGCTTCATCTCCAGGAATAACTGCCGCAATCTCGTCAACAGTGGGTAGATTATACCGACGATGATCACGGCTGGGGTCTGCAAGTAGGCGAATGGTGATGGGTGAATCATCGGGTTGATTGGCAAGGATCTCGTGTGCGTGTTGAAATATGGCGGCATATCGGTGGTTCTGAAGCAAGAGCATCTGGAGCCGTTCCATGGTACGTCGGCAAAGATTTTCATTGCGTTGCATGCGCTCGTCAAGGGCTATTCGAGGATCATAGATATACAACTGAGCGTACACTGGATGCCGACCTTCAGATGGCATGATATGGCCAATACGGTGGCACAACTCCCCGTGAATGCGAAACACATGAGGTCCCCTGCCCACATTGACGGCATGATCCACATCAACACCTAAAGATGTGAATGCAAGGCCAGCATTGTACTGGCGAATATTTGACCGAAACCCAATAGCCTCAGGCGTTTGGCTCTCAAAAAGCTGCTGGAGGTAGGGTGGAGGGTGACGCAGCTGAGGCAACCGAACTTGATCCTGATCACAACAAATACCAAATAATGGTCTTGAATTCGATGATGAAGAGAGGCGCTCATCCATCCAGTGAAATGCTTGACAATGAGGACAGGCCACTGTCATGTGGCCCAGGTCATGACGTGAGTGTGGCTCTACATATGGACGTCGAGCAATAGGAACATTGACAGGAACCCTGCGCACAGCCAAATTCTCATTGTTTTGTGGTGGGGGTGGTGGATGAGGTCGAGCGAGGACATTTGCTGCAGGTGGAGGGTGCCGTTCAAACACCTCATGGCGATTATTATGAATTTGTCCATCTTCGCTTTGCTCTTCAGCATGTTCGTGCTCCAATTGTGAGCGGACGGGAATATCAACATCCATGGGTACTCCTGCAATCGGCTGGTCAGAATTCAGTACAGGTACCAGACGTGGTTCAGTGTGAGCATCAGAAACTGTGGGTGTCCCCACCCGGCAGCTGCGTTCCTGTTCTGCACGCTCATGTGCACGACGACGCT